TCAATTATTTCCTAACTTTTTACAAATTGGAGAATAAGAAATTTAATTAAGCACCAGCCTTTCTAAAGCTTTAATCTTAATTTGAGAATTGAATTTTTAAATTAAATTTAGTATATTTTTAAATCGATAATTTAAATTAAATAATTGAAAGAATTTGTCTTAATCAGGAAAATTTAAGAAAAACCTGATTTTTAAGAAGAATAAAAAAATTTATGAATTGCAATTGACTTCACCAATTTTTTTTTGTCACAGACTTTAAATTTTGTTTGTGTATTTGCTATAACAGTTTCGCTTTTGATACCGTTTTAAATGAAGAGCTTCACTATCAACTCTAGAGGATGAGAAATAACATGACAAACATCTCTCGCATACACATAAATGTGGTTGGAGTAAAATCTGCTGTTTTATACTACTAACTTATAAATAAAAAAGCTTTTAAGTTTTCATTTCAGTTTGGTTTTTTTCTACTCTCGACTAGTAAATTTTATAACGTAGCACGTATCGGTCGGTTGTCGGAAATTTTCAGTGAAACAAAATAATTCATTTGATTCGGTTGTGAAGTATAAAAATCAAAAATATATAAAAAATTAAAGAAGAATAAAGAGAACCGACAATTATATTTAATAAAAGTGAAAACTGTAAACGATGATTGTTCTAGTTTTTCTAGCAACAGTGCTGTTTGTCTTTATAGTGCAATGGTTTATTAAGCAATGGAAGTTTTACAAGTTCGCTGATAATATTCCATCGCCACAGTCGTTTGGTTTGCTTGGCCATGCGCCTCATTTTCTTGGAAAGAATGAAGAAGGTTTGAAATAACTTATATGATAAATTTATCTCTTTAATGCATTTGAAATAAAATGCTGCGATTTCAGGTCGTTTGAATATGTTACACCAGCTCTGTTTGGAATACAACAGTTATACGAAGCTTTGGTTGGGTCCAACGATTCTATGGATCCTTGTCAATGAACCCCGATCAATTCAAAAGATTTTGTTATCGCCTTTATGTTTGGAAAAACCATTTTTCTATAAATTTCTGAGATTGGAGAATGGATTGATATCAGCAAAGTGTAATATTTGAAGATGATTGTATAAGTGACATAGATAAGTAAACGTGCTAAGATTAATAGTGAACTCGTTTTTCGAAAAACGAATTAATTTTAGGGAATTTTTGCTTGCATTCAAATATTGATAAAAATTTTAGAAAAATTGTTATACTATATGTACCTATCACGTCACTTTACTTTCTATCAACAAGTTTTTAGTTAATCTAACCTTTTAATGAAATATTTATTAGATGATGTCTGGAAAATTCATCGAAAATCATTAAATTATTCATTCAATTTGAAAATTCTTCAAACATTCATACCAATTTTTATTGAAAATTCTGAAAAGCTTGTTTGTGACTTAGAAGTGAATTTGTCAAAGAAAAAAGAATTTGATATGCTCTCATTTACGACAAAAAGTGCCTTGAACATGATTTGTGGTTAGTGTAACAATCTTATAACGTAAATGTCTATTCACTTTCACAAGTGAAATGCGTAACAATATAACAAAATTAATTTGTTCATTCTTCTTTTACATCAAGGAACGTCATTTGGATTGGATATTAAAAATGCTGTGATGACTGACGATGTTTTCCATGCTCTCGAAAGGTAATTGAACGAAATAATTTCTTTTTGGGGGATATTTTGTTTCCGCTTAAGTATAACAAATCAAAGAAAAAGAAAAAAATACTCAGATTATTATGGCAAACAAATTAAGCTTTCGACGTTCAGCATGCAGCAAGTCATTCTCAGGAATTGAACATTAAAAATCAATGCGGAACGAAACGTTTGTAGTGAAATTTGAAAGCCTCTAATCAACTTCAAGAAAAAATATATCGAAAAAAAACAAAACAAAAAATTATGAACATCGAAGTGTTTGTAAACACTGAATTTTTTTATTTCCATTGACTGTTTGCGATTTAAAATACGTTCGAAAACTTCCTAATTTCACTTAAATGTAAAGTATCTTTGAGATCAAAGCTATTATTTAATAAATTATTGTTGATTATTCTAAATAAAGAAATACTGAAACAATGAAAATCATTAAATAGATGCTGATGAGAATACACAATTTCCAATCATTTTTAATATGTACCTATTAGGTTTAATTTCTTCATTATCATTTGATAGAACGTAAACAGAGCTATGTTCTCCATTTTTTCACTAATGATTAAAACTTTGATGTAAGTTTAAATAAATCTCGAAAAATTCGCATCTTGTGTTTTCAGAAGAAAAAGTTTATCTTAGATATTCCGTATATTTACGTGACATAAATTTTTTTAGAGAAAACTAATAAATAGCTCTCAGGTCAGCACTCAATATTAAAGAGAAATGGTAGTTTTCACAATCGTTAGGAAAGAAATCATCCAAGTGAGACAATTTTGGAATTTCCCCAATCATTACTTGATTCCGTATGATACATTTTTAGAATAAAACGTTATTGAACCGATTTCGATCTCAAAATTGTTGTTATAGTTAAAACAATATTCTTCCATAGATTGAACAAAATTATTTCGGCACGTAGCCACTCATTTCTTCTCTATTCGGAGCCCATTTACAAAATGACAACTTACTATCGTGATGAAATGGAAAGTAGAAAAGTCTGCTACACAACCGCTAATGAAGTAAGATTTAGATATCAATAATATTTATTTAATTAATATTATAACTCTTTAACAAGGATTAAATTCTTATTAAGGAATTTATTCTTAACAATTCTTAACAACCTTAAAATTGTACACCTTTTTTGTTTTTTTAAAAACAAATTTTTACAGCTTATCAAAGAGAAGCGACGAGCATTAAGTAGTAATTTCGAAGAAACTGAAAATAACAATATTGTGAAGCATATACGACCAGACTATTCGATGGAAGAAGAGTCTGATATTCCAACACGAAAGATTTTTATTGATCACGTTTTGTGTAATGACACAAAATTCAATGATTCTGAAGTCCGCGATCATGTATATACAATTGTAGCGGCAGGGTCTGAAACCACCGCACTTCAAACGGCACACACAAGTCAGTTGTTTGAGCACAATATTTACAAATATGCTATGAATTAAGACGTTCTAATTATTTTCTTGATCCTCTTGAATATTTAGTTATGCTACTTGCTACGCACCCAGAAATTCAAGAGAGAGTTGCTGATGAATTAAAAGAAGTTTTCTATTCTGATGAAATTGATATCAACTATGACAACATGATGAAGTTGGAATATCTTGAGCGTGTGATAAAAGAATCTTTACGATTATGTCCAGTGGTTCCCAGTAAGTCATTACAATTACAGTCGTTACAATTATTATCACATGAAAATCATAAATTCATTATGACATTAAATCAACATAAATCAAGATATACCAGAATATTTTTAATCTTTATATGTTAAGATATTGGCATAGATAACTTACACCTAAACATTGTGCAATCCTTATATCTTTCTTAACTATTTGTATAGGAGAAAGAAAAAGAAAAAGTTGATTGTCAAAACCACGAAACTAATTAACACAACAATAATTTTCTTTGCAGTCATTGGACGTGAAACTCAAGCAACAATAAAGATAGGTAAAGCCATTCCACAAAGTTTGCATGCCCATTTGTGATTTAATAAAGCTATTTATGGAAATTTTCTTAGATGAATACGAAATTCCGCCTGGAATAACTTTGTTGATCAATTTTTATACTTTACATCGACGACCTGATATTTGGGGGCCTGACGCTGAAGAATTCAATCCTGACCATTTTCTACCTGATAATGTCGAGAAACGTCATCCTTACAGCTTCCTTCCCTTCTCTGGTGGTCAAAGAAATTGCATTGGTAAGTAAAGATGTTTTGTAATCTATATTTCTAATTGGAATGAACTTTCTCTTTTACCTAGGTTATCGTTATGCAATGATCGCTTTGAAAATTATACTCATTCATTTGATACGAAAATATAAATTCTCTACAAAAATGAGTTACAAAGATCTACGATTCCGAACTGACATCAACTTGAAGCTATGTACGGAACATTTAGTAAGCATCTCTTTGAGGAATTAACATCTTATCTAGATACTTGATTCAATTTGAATTGTTGCGTTTTGAATCTTGATATTAAATGTTTAGTAAAATTTTAGAACATACTTAAATATTACATTGAAAGCAAACATAAAAGTTAACTATACTCTTTCAAAGAAGAGCGTACAATAAAAGTTTTTCTGTCCTTTTTTATATTGAATCTTATCTGTCTTGTGAAGTAAACATTTCTTTAATGATTTCAACAAGTCAAATAATCATAGATAATGTGTGAAAGACGATAGATTATTAAATATTTGCGTAATTTTTGTGCGATTTGTAACAGGATTTTTCGTTTTATATGTTACTTAGTAATATTGTAGAAGTTTTCACTTGCATGACTGGTGACTGCTTGGACGCCATTGGGTAAATTATCTCAAACTTAATTAATCTTTTTTTTATTTTTATTATTTTTTTTTTTATTTATTTGTAATTTTATTTAAGAATTACGCTCTTTTTAAGACTTTCTAAGAAAATCTTCTCTTTGAATCTTTGCACCAAATATTGATTTTATCGTCAGCGTCGAACAGCTTCATTTTATGTTTCGTTTTATATTACAGAGTTAATAGCATTAAAGTTTGGTTCATTTATTATTCTGCGTAGTACGCTTATTTATTTTTTAAGCCTTCGAAGATGTTTACAATCAAATTTCGAAAGTTTTGGATTTTTTCGATGTTTTATTTCAACAAAAAGAAAAAAGAAATGATTCATCATTTAAGATTTCACATCAAATTAATTCTCAAATTTTTATTGTATTTATTTTGTTTGAATTTCGTTTCAATATTTACATTCACAGCTCATTGATCGCAATATTTTTAGGGGTTCATTATGTATCATGCATTTAAGTTTTTTGTAAATCAATAAAATTTTTGTTATCACTGCGCTAATGTATATATTTCATTCGTTTCGTTTTTAAACCTGATCTCTGTTTATGACGATGAACATTTATTTACGTAAATTCACGTAAAATCTATGAAATTTTCTTGAAGTTGATTTCATTGAAGACTTAAACTTGAACTCACCAAACTCATAAATAAGGAATTTGACAGACGAGGAATATTTAAACTTTAATAAAAGAAATCATCTGTTGAACAAGTTTTTTTCTTTTTCACATTGAGAACATTGAGAGCTTACAAGAGTGAAAATTTGGGTCACTCATACCAAGGCCACTCCAAAAAGGAAATTGATAGTTAGAAAGAGTGTAAATTGTTAAATAATCACACGTAAATATTTGAAACTACATTCGCTATCCTTTGAAAATACCTTTTTTGAGTTCAACTCCAACGTCATGCTCGAAGAGAGAGAGAAATTTTTTTGAAGATAAATAATTTGCAAAGCACGCACAACTACATTTTTGGTTATTGCAGCTATATTTCTCTTATGAATAATGAAAGAAAGAAAAAAAGCTTCAACAAAATAAAATTGTCATGAAAGCCGAATTATGAGGAATAAGATTCAACTCATCGAGACCCACCAAAACAAATACATGGAAGATCTCATCAGTTGGAATGTTGAAAAAACTTTCCGGCACAACTCTCTGTTCAGTGTGATTTTGTTCGTTGAACTGTTTAAGTGTGGAAAGAGCAAATCGTAAACTGTTTCGTTTCTCAAGAAAACAAATTAACAAAGAAAACCGACTAAAAGAAAGACTTTTAAATATATGTAATCGAAGAAAGAGAAGTTAGAAAGATAATGATTATTTTTGTGTTTTTAATTACTGTTTTGATTGTTTTCTTTGTACAATGGTATATTGAACGTCAAAAGTTTTACAAGTTCTCTGATAATATTCCATCAGCTAAAAATTATGGAATACTCGGACATGGACCACATTTTCTAGGAAAAGATGAAGAAGGTTTGCTATATTTTTTTGTATCGATGTTTTTACAATAGAAATTTTTAACGATAATGTCTAATTTTTTCTGTTTCATCTTCACATTGAGGGTTCTTTTGATTGACAATAATATCTGTTTTTTAATGAAAAATTATTTCCAGGTCGTTTTAAACTTCTACATGATCTTTGTTTGAAATATGACAAGATGATAAAACTTTGGCTTGGTCCCGCCATTCTTTGGATTTTAGTGAACGATCCAAAGTTAATTCAGAAAGTTCTGTTATCACCAGTGTGTCTTGAAAAACCTTTTTTCTACAAGTTTCTTCGTCTTGACTCGGGACTAATATCAGCAAAGTGTAAATATTACCATGAAGATAATAATGATCAGTGAGAATGAAATATGTAAATAATTTGTAGACGATGTCTGGAAGATTCATCGTAAATCGTTAAATTACTCGTTCAACTTGAAAATTCTTCAAACCTTCATACCAACTTTCATTGAAAATGGACGAAAACTTGTCGCTGATTTAGCTGTAAACGTTTCAACAAAACAAGAGTTCGATATGCTGTCTTACACATCCAAAAGTGCTTTGAATATGATATGCGGTAAACAAACATTGCCTAACATATTTTAAGATTTACATAAACATTTTAAGCTGAAGGAGAATCTTTTCAACTTTCTTACCTTTAGGCACTTCTTTTGGTCTTGATATCAAAGACATTGCAATGAATGACGATGTTTTTCATGCATTAGAAAGGTAATTCAAATACTCAAACGTGGCATAATTAATTTATTAATTATTTTTCATAAAACTAAAATCATCTTGATTTGTAAAAAAACATGATAATCTTCAGATTAAATAAGGCAATCTCGGCACGAAGTCAATCATTTTTCTACTACTCTGAATCGATTTATCGCATGTCAAAATACTATCGAGATGAAATGGAGAGTCGCAAAGTGTGTTATTCAGCAGCGGATATGGTAAGTTGTGCGTGAATGTTCATTTGATTGTGTGTCTGTCGATGAAATTAAAATATCAAAAGCTTCTCTTTTTATATTGATAATAAATGATGGGAAGCTATGTAAATATAATATGTAATTGAAAGCCAAATTTTCGTTTTTATTTGATTTTATTGTCTCTACTTATACTATTCTAATAGTATGAGTTATATAAACAACAATTTCTTATATCTTAAGCACACTTCCCTATGGAAATAAAATAAATTTACTCGATAGATCATAAAATTCAAGCGGCAAGCCTTAGAAGATGAAGATAGTTGCGAAAATGAAAACAAAGTCAATAAACGAATCGAAGAAGAATTATATGTAGATGCGCTAACGAAATTTCCTGAATTGGTTTCAATGAAAAAAGAAGAGGTTTTAAGTCGCATGAGAGCTATATCTGTACAAAAACAAGATACGAGACAAGAAGGAGAAGAAGATCTACCGATGAGAAAAATTTTTATTGATCATGTGCTTTGTAATGAGACAAAGTTTAGCGATAACGAAGTTCGTGATCACGTGTATACAATTGTAGCGGCAGGATCCGAAACGACTGCACTTCAAACAGCACACACAAGTCAGTTCATTTAAATTATACTAAAATAACTTATAAAATGCATATTTTATTTAGTCATATTACTTGCAACGCACCCAGACATTCAGGAGAGAGCTGTAAATGAGTTAAAAGAAATTTTCTATTCGGATGAAGTTGAGGTTAATTATGATAATATTAGCAAGCTTGAATATTTAGAAAGAGTTATAAAAGAGTCGCTTAGATTATGTCCAGTTGTTCCAGGTTAATTTCTCATTTAAATGTAACAAAAACAGTAACAATTATCCTACAGTACAAAATTTGTTTCAGTAATCGGTCGAGAAACTCAAGCGCCCGTTAAAATTGGTAAGAAAGAAAACTTTGCAGTTATTTTCTCGGCCAAATTTTATTTTCATAATAATTTCAAACGTTCAGGTGACTATGAGATGCCAGCTGGAATAACTTTGTTGATCAATTTTTATACTTTACATCGACGACCTGATATTTGGGGGCCTGACGCTGAAGAATTCAATCCTGACCATTTTCTACCTGATAATGTCGAAAAACGTCATCCTTACAGCTTCCTTCCCTTCTCTGGTGGCTCAAGAAATTGCATAGGTAATGACACTTTCAATTGCTTATATAAATTTGCTTTATTTACTAACAGTCATATCCGTTTACATAAACTTTCACTTAATCTTCTTCTATATGTAGGATATCGTTATGCGGTGATCGCTTTGAAGATTTTACTCATCCACTTGCTGCGAGCATACAAATTTTCAACTTCAATGGCATATAAAGATCTCAGATTCCGTACTGACATCAACTTGAAACTTTGCACGAAACATTTGGTGAGCATTGAGCCGAGAAAATGATTTTCTTTCCGGTTATTTATTTTTACGTCAAAATTCCATTTCTTGTGCTTGTTTTTTTTTCTTAATTTCTATACAAATTAAAAATATATATATTTTTATATATAATAAATTTATTGATTGGTAATTGTGTTATTGTATATTTCTCATCATTTTATTTCACCTGAAACGGCAATTGCGATGCGTCGAATTGTTGCTATGTATAGTAGTCAAGATTATACAATAAAATGAAGCATTATTCAGATGCCTTTGACATGTTAATCTTACTTCAATGGCATCATTTTGTTTTCAGAAAGTAAAAAAAACGTACAACTCTGTAATACGGTGATTAAGTGATTACTCATAATATCCTCGAAATTTATATATGTACATATATGTACAGATGTACATAGTAAATTTTTATAGCTTGTATATAGTTTATTAAACAAGATTTAATTTTGATCTTAACATTTAATTGCTTTATGCTTATCATAGTTTGGAATAAGAGCAAAAAAAGAATAAGAAGGCTAAGGAAACAAAGTTCAATCAAAGTGTGCTTCATACGAGTTAGTTATGATTCTAAGATCTGAACTTGATACAATTTCTGAACTATTTCTTCGGGCATACAGAAGGTTGGGTTGATTTTCTTAAGATTCTGGTAGCCGAGAAGCGACAATGCTCCAACACCGAAAAGAGTATGAAATATGTCTGGCATATTTCCTGGACGGGCACTAAATCCGCCAGTGTCAGCATCTTGACACAGTAAAATAAATTCTTTGAGTTTTTCACTGCTTATCCAATGAAGTCTGCCAAGAATGGTAAGAGATGCGAGAACCCACCATGAATAACAAACATCAGGAAGTTTTTCAGGTCGTCCATTAAGCCCACCAGACTTTAATTGTCTTTCACAAAGCCACCATGCAAGTTTTTCACGTTCAAGTCTATGAAGATTGTGAGTAATTGAGAGAAATCCTACACAGCAATAAATAAGTCCAGCATGACTTTCAGCATATGGCTTTGATCCAAATCCACCATCAGCATTCGCACACGATAGAACAAACTCAGTAGCTTTTTTAACATCGATAAGGTGAATTTGATTGGTAAGAGCTAATATAGCAGCAGCACAGAATGAGAATCTTGTATCAATTTCTCCCCATTTATCCCCGAAAAAGCTTCCATCTGGTTGTTGTAGCGATTGAACATATTTTCCAACCGCTTGAATATCAATTTCATGCAATGCATCATAAGTGCAAAGAATCTAGGTATTCAAGAAAACAAATAAATATTGTAAAATATATTCTTTTAAGTATTAAACTCACTTGAATAGCACTTAAAGTATAAAGCAGATGAGGATCGTGACCATCACATGCTGAAATGCCTCCACTCGACCCACACTGACATTTTTTGATGAATTCTATTATTGATTTTTTGTCAAGTTTATCTAGTTGGCCCATAATATCTAAACATGTTGTACCCCAATATATTCCACTCATTCGTAGAAATTCTGTCATTGTATACTCCTTAAAAATCAACATCAATTAAAATTAATTAAAGTCAATTGAAAAGCGAGTGAAACTTACAAAGTCATTTTTGTCGTTTCCATGATTTACAACATATTCTATGTGCTTTTTGATTAAAAGTTCATGTGTCGTACCTCTCTCCTCATTAACTTCCTAATACGTGCATAAAAAATTTAAAACGATTTAAAGCTAAATTTCGACAAAAATAAATAAATACCTATCTAAATTGACTACTCACCATGTCCATCGTTGATAATCTGTTTAATCCATGATATGCCCCTCTCTCGTCAGTATAATCCAAAATAATATTAAGTTTCTTATCATTCTCTTGTAAACATTGTTGCGTATGCTTCTTTGAACCACAAGTTGATTAATCACCTAACTTTTCCACTACGTGACGTGTAAATCTTCGTGAAATCAATGAAAGTTCAATAAAAGCAGGAAATTTCTTGATTTTTTTTTTCTATTTTAAAAATAAACACAAAAAATTGAAAGTATACAAATAGATTAATCACCTGCCGCTATCAAACAGAAAAAAAAATTATAAATTTTTAAGAATGAGTGAAGTAAATAAAAGTCAAGAGATGCGTGCTTTAATCTTAGTTGGTGGCTATGGCACAAGATTAAGGCCACTTACATTGTCACGGCCAAAACCTTTGGTAGAATTTGCAAACAAACCAATTTTGTTACACCAAATTGAAGCATTAAAAGAAGCTGGTGTGAGAGAGGTGAAAATCAATATCAGATTAATGTTGTGACACAATATAATATATCTGTTCATCAGGTGATACTTGCTGTCTCATATAGAGCCGAACAAATGGAAGCTGAACTGAAAGAAGAAACGAACAAACTTGGAGTGAATTTAATATTTTCGCATGAACAAGAACCACTAGGAACAGCTGGGCCATTAGCGCTTGCTAAGAATATTCTTTCCACCAGCTCTGAGCCTTTCTTTGTTTTAAATTCTGATGTCATTTGTGACTTTCCTTTTCAAGAACTTGAGAAGTTTCATCGTCATCATGGCAAAGAAGGTACAATTGTTGTCACAAAAGTAGAGGAACCATCAAAATACGGGGTTGTTTTATACAAAGATGATGGATGCATTGATAATTTTATTGAGAAACCTCAAGAATTTGTCAGTAATAAAATCAACGCCGGATTATACATATTTAATCCATCTGTTCTATCTAGAATTGAGCTTAAACCTACTTCAATTGAAAAAGAAGTTTTTCCTTTAATGTCAAGAGACAAACAACTTTATGCATTCGAACTTGCGGGATTCTGGATGGACATTGGTCAACCAAAAGATTTTCTTACTGGTATGAGACTTTGCATGATTTTATTGTTCTTTGCATATAGATTTGAATTGCAGGAATGTGCTTGTACTTGAATTCACTCAAACAGAAACACCCAGTTCAACTTTATGATGGAGATGGTGTTGTTGGTAATGTTTTGATAGATCCAACAGCCAGAGTTGGTAAAGGATGCAGAATCGGACCAAATGTTACTATCGGTCCTGATGTTCTTATCGAAGACGGTGAATTTTATATCTTTAACTGCTTATTATCTGAATCAAAAGTATTTTTCTGTTTAAAGGTGTTTGCATCAAACGTTGCACAATTTTAAAAGGTAAGTTAGTATTATGTTACGTTTAATAAATAAATGATGACCACTTTTATCCCTTGAGGTGCTATAATTAAATCACATTCATGGCTTAGTTCATGTATCATCGGTTGGAGATGTATTGTAGGACGTTGGGTAAGACTTGAAGGAATCACTGTGCTTGGAGAAGATGTCATTGTAAAAGATGAAGTTTTTGTTAACGGTGGACAAGTTTTGCCACACAAAAGCATTTCCGAAAGTGTTCCGGAACCATCAATCATCATGTAATAGAAAATATATTTTAACCACATATTTTGGAATTATTTTTATGTTTTATATATAAATTTTTAAGCGTTTTGTGAAAGCAAAAACTCAAATTTATCTAGAATGTTTGTATACAAAAAAAAAGAAAAGTGCATTCCCAAATAAAATTTTCAGAATTCTTCTGAAAGTATGAATATAGGTAGAACTTCTTGAACCTCCCATGAATTATTAACCTGCATAATTGTCATCTAAAAGACACACTCTTGGATGCGACAAAAATGATTTTAAATAAAGATTAATGTATGCTACTTTGTAGTTTTAAGTCAAATTGCGCGTAAATTACAATCCTTCAATAATTGTCATCTACTGAAACAAGAAAAAAATAAACGGTATTTTAAAATTCGAAAAATTAGGATTAAGGTGATTCAATTTGTTTTCTGAGCTTCGAAAAAAAAAATCAAGAAAATATTTGAAGAATAAAAACTACAATTTAAGTTGAAAAAATGAACGAATCGTTGAATGATCTCGTTTTTAATAACCCAGTTTCTAATAAAATCATCTCAGCAACAAAAGTTAAACAATGAAAGAATTCAAAATGATGAAAATTTCTAAATTCTTTATTTTTTAGAAGATTTTGTTCAAGAATGGAAATAATTCATCAACATCAGTTTCTACAATGACAAAAAATTTAACCACTCCATCATCTATGACGCTATTTCAGCAAGGAGGTCACAATTCTAGCGTGTTCATTAGACTTGCTGGATTTTCTGGTACGTCTGATTCAAAAAAAGGAAAAAAAAATCGATTTGAAAAGATGAAGTTTTTTTAGGAGCGACTGCTGTTATTCTTGGGGCTTATGGAGCTCATAAAACTCAATGGCCAACAATGACAGATCCAAAGAGAGATCCAAAAATTATCTTTGAAGTTGCTAACAAATATCATTTCTACAACAGGTGAGAAATTAAAATTTGTTTTGTAAATTTATAACATTTAAAACAATGATATCCTTGAAGCATTGCATTACTGGCAATACCTTTGGTTAAACGTCCATGGCTAACCGGTCCTCTGATGATAACAGGAATTCTTCTCTTTTCTGGAACATGTTACTACAGTGCCCTAACTGGTGATCAAAAATTCAATCGTCTTGCACCACTTGGGGGAACTTCGCTTATTCTTGCTTGGGTTTCGATGATGTGGTTCTAAGAATAATATAATAATTTCATTATTATTAATTAATTCCAAATAGGGTTCAACGTTGTGAATGATGATGTTTCCAGTGATTGTAATAAAATAATTAAAACATAATTTTTGTCTGATATTAATTTCAATTTTTATTCCTTTTTTATTTAATAATCCTTAGACATAAAGTTGGTTTTTTATTATTTCAGTTGCTTATTTAATTTATGATTTTTTATACATTTTTTCAATGCTGTGAATTACAAAGACATATTGCTTCGGTCCTAAAGAGATCGTCAAATTCTAGATCAGACCTTTGTCGCATATTCTTTGTATTGTATTACAACAACACTTGATTATTAATGTTCTTATCATTGCACATCTGCATTCTCTTTCAGAAAACATACCTAAAGGAAAATCTTATCATTTAAAAAACTTGAATATGAGTAAAAACAAATCTAAGACCAACAAAACAGAAAAAAATTGAAATGCGTTCTTGAAAATAATTAAAGATTCTTTTACAGAAGTATTCAAATTTTCCTCATTTGATTAAAGACAAAACTCATTCGAATCTTTCTTTCTATTTCTCAAAACAAAGATATTTTTTAATTGAACTCGAACAATAAAATCGATCATGAAATAAGACATATTAAAGAAATAAGACAAAAGAAACTGCTCTGACCATACATATTTTAAAAAACAAGGACCCTTTTTCATTCTCCATAGGTCCAAAATTTTTCATTTTATCTAAGCAGTTTTTTATTCTTTGTTTTCATCGGAGGGGGAGCGCGGTGTTTGTTTGATCTATTTGTTAGAAAGTAATAAATTTCATTTAAGAAAGATGAAAGCTCATACTGCCTTCACTTGCAGCAAGCTTTAATTTGGCTTTCATGACTTCACGAGACGAATATTCAGGTATTTTTAAATAGTTGACGCATGTCATAACTGATGGCAAATATTCGTCGGGGTCTTGATTTCCATCGACTTTCTTCCTGACAATTGTAAGCGGTGGTGTGAGAGCTTTAAAACCTCCAGTTGGTAATCTTGGAGTTCCTGTCACAAATTGCAAAAATAATCTTTGCTCTTCACGATTATATTGACTTAAAATATCGTAGAAATATTGAATAGCGATTGAGTCTTGTGAGAAACCGTGATCAGCACGACAACATTCAGCTAACATTCGAGTATCCCATTTTGTATAACTTGATGTTCCTGAACCACAGAAAACATTTTCTAATTCCTCAGGATAAAAAATACGAAGATGATGAATCGGAAATACGGAATTGAAACCTGAAATTAAAATACATAAATAAAAATATATATTTTATCAATAAATTTCTCTTCTTACCTTCACGGAATGCTTCGAATTGTCTGTTAACACCTTCAACCAAAAACCAATGTGTCACAAGCGATATGTATTGATGGAGGTTGTGAATAGTAACAGGAATATCACGACCTCCGCGACGTAGTTCAATGTTTGGAAATCCTGGAAGAACAAAATCTAGACCAAGATCAGCAATCGGGCAGCCGTCCAAATCTAAGGCTTCAATCTGAAATAATAAAGAAATTTGATATTAAGGCATTTTTCCTTAATTTTTGTTGAATGACATTTCTATACCTTTTCAGTCTTTTCCATTGCATCAAGTGTTGGATCAGATTGAATAATTTCACGTTGCTTTACAATCTCATTAAGTCTTAACAAAGTGCCCTGCACTTCCGGTGCAATTTGTCCTAAATCACAAAGACTAAGAGAGTTCTCCTCTGCTAACAACCAACGATAAAATGGAATTGAGAATGGAAGATCCAACTAATTAGAAAAAATTAAAAAAGAATGATTTTTATCTTTAAACGTATCAATTAAATTTCATTTTAATTATTAAACTCACCATTCGACTGTCCATTACAGCTTTTGCCATGAATTTGCCCAAGAATTTAAATTTAAACTTGAGACGTGAAATTTGTGAAGTTTTTGCAGTCTTGCTTAAAGACAATGGAAACAAACCACATGGTGCATTAACATATTGCGGATTAGTGGCTAATGTTATTGACAATGCACTTGTATGATGTGTTGTTGAAACGATTCCAATCCCATTATTCTCACTTACATCATTTTGCTGATCTAATGATTGTTCGATTAACATATTTATTTCATTATTATTCATCACACTATTAGTATCACTGTTGTTATTATTATTATTGTTGTTTCCACTTGAATCCTCATTATTGGTGGTCAACGATGATGCACTGCTTGGTTGATGAATATAAATCATTTGTGATTGTTCATCAGATGCTGGAATTGCTGGCGATTTTACAGCATCTGCCATAACTTGTTGATGTTTATAACTGTCGCTATCATTCCACAATCCCAAATCAATGCGTTGTAATTCAGTAGAGACGAGAGCATAAAATTCAAGCGTTGGTCCTAAACCAGTTCCAACTTCATTTTCATACTGAATTTCAAGAAGTGCCTTTGAATGTCCAAAATCCTAATAAAATCAAAGATTGTAAATCAATTCAATTAGAAATGACAATTTATGTCTACTTACTTGTATTATAACTTCAGCTTGCTTAAGAATATCTTCACGTGATATTGCACGTTTACGACGATCCAGACGTGGTGTCACACGTTCTGATGTATCTGCAGAATTGAGATCTGGTGTTGTATCAATTAAACGTTGTAAAGCACGATCACGATCAAATGAGATGGCATAAAACAACAAATGGCGTGTTTCAAAAGGAAACAAGAATGGACATGCTGTTGAGATTTCTTGTAACCATGTTGGAAGATTTCCAGTCATAATTACAAGTGGATCTTGAAGTTGGCGACTTGCTTTTGCAGCAATCTATAAGAGAATTTTTTCTTAATTATCTTCTAAATATTTCCAGTAAATTTTCTCACCTTTGAATGAATGAAATCACTTTGACTAATGACATGCGAATGTGGTACGGAATAGTAAAGTGAAGGCCAATGACGATTAAGTCCATTAAGAATTCTCAATAAAGCAAGAACTTCAATTGATGCATCTTCAACGGTCTCAAGATCGGGTAATTTTGGTACAAGAAATGGAACAAGTGGCGACGCTATTGGCGGTACACTACCATCAGCCCAAAACTCAGGTCTACGACGATTTTGAACTTTTGCTAGAGAATTTTTGCTGTTTTTACGCGATGCATTGAATGATGTTGACGTTGCTAATGAGTTTACACTTTTACTTGAACTTCCACTATTTGAATTCTCTTCGACTGGCCGATAATAAATTGTGTGTTGTTGTATCCAGATACTCGCATTACCTAGGATATGAAAAATTGACATTAAATAATACTGCCGACACAAAATATTCTAATTCTTACCAATTGGAGTTTCAGTGTCTGTATCAGTCTCAGATTGATCATTAACCAATGGGGAATACTGACGTATTGCTTGATAAACTGTCATTGTGTATGGCAACACATGGTCACCAATAAGAAATTGTAATTTATGCTTAGTTCCACCCTTTTCGATAAAAAAATATTAATAAATATTAATATTTATGAGATAATCGTTAAGAAATCCTACCATGCTAATCATTGCAGCTGTATCAATGTTGTCAATGTCTTCTTCAGAATCTTCTTCTGAATCTGTTCGAATCCCACCATAACCACGTATAACTAAATATCTTTCAATTGCTTGGACAAGAGCAAGTGGATCAATTTTTACAGTTCCACCTTTCCATTGGCGTAAATTACTGCAGTCAGAATGGCGTTGTAGATTGCACTGATTAAAGAATAACCAAATATTGATATTATTAGGTATTTTAGTGAAATCAACATTTCTTACCTTTAGTTGATGCGTGTTAAAGAACTTAAGAGCACTTGTATTGGAACGACCACCAGTTCCCGACGGAAAATCATGAACTTTAACAGGGAACTGTTCCAGTTGCGTGACACATCCATTGAGTTTTGCAACGAATGCACTAAATGGTGCTGAATTTATTGAAACTATGCCACTATGACTGAAGAAACAGAGAATAAATAAAAATTCTTAAACTGTTATTCAATGAACTTACTTTCCATCCAACGGTAATGCAGTGAAGACATTAAGAAAAGATCGTAAACGATCATTTCTTGAAACATTTCCATTTTCATTTGTCATATAATTTAACATTGCTTTTATAAGTCCCGAATGATTAACTTCAAATGGTGAAATGTCACTTTCCATTAAAATATTTCTCAACTCTTCCAAAGCCCTCAAACAATGATCGTATGATCCATTAAGCTTTTGAATAGCAGTTTTAAGTCTTTCAAGAATTGTCAATGCAGGATGTACACCGGAAGACTCATGATAACGTTTCACAAATAAAATCGATTGATCTCTGATCCATTGACGTGCTTTTTCGCGATTACCAGCGGCAATTAAATTTGAACTTGATGTACTTTTACTCAAGTTATTTGATCCATCCTTACTTGTGCTACTTGAACCACTGAATGTTGAATGCGATGAAGATGTTCTTCCCCATCGTACAGGATTCAATGATGCTAAGAATGAGGTAGTTTTAGATGATGCACCAGAAAATCTTGACCGTGTTGACGATGACGAACTTGCTGCTGTTGATGGTGTATTGTTACGACCTGATGATGACGACGATGTTCCCAAATTACTAGCCCTGTTAATAAAGTCTTGAACAACATTCCCTGATGATGTTGTTGATGATGAGCTTGCTGATTGATGTTGCTGTTGATCATCATTTCGATTCTTAGATTTATTATTGTGCTGTGACTTTCTTTTTGGCGGAACTTTTCGTTTCAAAATATCCGACACTTTATTTAATCCACCGCTTGATCTTTCACCGCTTGAAGGATTTGGATCTAAAGATGTAAATGAAAGCGTTTCTTGTGATGGTGTTGGAGCTGATGCTGATTGAAAAAGTGTCGGTTGTTGATGCTGTGCAGAATAAACATTTCCACCATGAAGAGCTGGATGATAACTTCGAACAGCTGCTGGATCTGGTATATTATTAACACCATGATAAATGGCATTCATTAATAAATTTCCATTATTTGATGGTGATGGTGGTGATCCACTAAGTGATTCAATTTGAATACCACCACTTGTTATCATTGATTTATTTGCCGCAGCGGCTGTTGCATTTAAGTTGATTGCAAACGTTCCTTGAGCTGATGATGTTTGCGATGGCTGTAATAATAAAGAACTTGTTGATGGCATTGGCATCGTCATTTTACTTGCCATAGCCATTGATGAATTTAAATTTTTAACATGTGATGATGTAATTCCTTTTGATGTTGATGCTATAGCATTATCGAAATCAAATTGTGCGAGAGATGATGTTGCAAGAGCACTTGGTGGTGCACTCGTACTTGGCCCAACAGCATTTGATTTTGGTGATGGTACTGAACAAATTGGAACTAATGGATCAGCTAATTGATTTATTTGATGCATCACACCTTCACGTTGAAAATGAATAGAAAAAACTTCAGGGAGTTTTTGCATTAAAATTTCAGCCATTTGAAGTGCACCAACAACAATACGAAGATCATTTGAAGCCATCATTCCAGCAATGTGTGATGACACAAGTTGATTCTTTAAAACATCACGTAAAAGATCAGCATTAGCAAAATAAACCATACGAAGAAGTGCACGAAGACATTTGTAACGAACTGATGGTCCAGCTGATGAACTGTAAACTTCATACAATACTGAGAAAAGATTTTTAATGAATTCAGCTGCTAAACCACGTTCTTCTTTTAAACATGCTATACGTGCATCTCTGGTTGCATTTGGTGGCCGTGCAGCTAAATTCATCATACCAGAGAATCCTTCATTATCTAATCCACCAGAAGCAACAGGTGATTGTTCAATGTGTGCATTTACTTTGCGTTGTACAGCTCTCGTTGTTCCACTATCTTCATTTATTTGTTGCATTGCATGAAAATCAATCGTATATGTTCGCCCCATTGTGCTTAAACTTATCTCCTCATCTGAATTTAAATGTGCTGCTTCAATTATTCTTGAATCTATTGCTGAATATGAACGCCATACACCTTTCTCATCACGCCATTGCCATTGAACAGCATCTTGTGAATTGTTATTAGAACGTTCTAATAATGCATCGACAGAGAAGATTCCGTCATTTGGCAAACGTGGCATAAGTTCGCCTATTAAACATGTGATCTCATAAAGTTCTGATGGACTACGCTGAACAAGATCAACTTCACCATTTGATGTTCGTATTGCTGAGTTTGTAAGAAGATAAAGTAGTGTCGATGCTATGTCATTTTTGAGTAACGTTATTGCCAAATCAGGGCAATTGGCACACATTACACTTAACATTCGTACAACATTTGTGAATGTAAGTGAGTTAAGAACTGGTGGTGTTACAACAAGTAATTGTTGACAGTTCTTAAGTAATTCCATGCTGGCAATTTCTTGTAATGTCACTGGATCTTGTTGAAAACTATCAATAAGACGATAAAATGCATTACATATGCGTTCGACACTTTTTTTATCTTGTTGTTCAAGTAAACGTGCCAATAATGGTAATGAATCTTTAACAAATTGAAATTCTTCGGCATGAAGATTTAAACAGCAATTTGCCGTGATTGCCAGCGCTGCATGTTGTGCATTTGTTGAGAAGAAATCTAAGAATGTGAGACAAGCTGAAACACCATTCGCTTGTAAGATTGCTTTGTTATGTCGTTTTGATAAAATTTCCAAAGCTGTTAAACTTTGTTCAGCAACATCCATACATTGAATTGTTTGCAACTTTTCAAGTAAAGCTGGAATAGCATCAACAACTGTTCCTGATGATCTTGGCAATGCCTCCAACATATAAGCAAATGCGCGACATGCATGATTCATCATATCAAAATTATGCTCCATTCGAACGAGATTAATCAATGCTGGAACTGCTTGTTTTATTGGAAAACCAGCGAGTGTGTCTTCATTTCCCATTACAAGCATTTCACACATTTCTATTGCTGCTTGAAGCTGTTGACTTTCATCTTGACACTGAAGTCCTTGAAGTAATTGTTGTGCTTTTGATGAACTATTTGCACCCATTGTACGATGTAAAAGTGTATGCATACGTGGTCCAAGTGCGCTAAATAATTGTGGTGGAAGTCCGCGAGCTTCAAGTAATGCTTGTAATCTTCCAACCTCACTATCATCACTTTCTGAATCTGGATGATGGCCAGATGTCCCTGCTTGTGATGTTCCTGCAGCTAGATTACTCACTAAAGCTGATGTAACACCACTTTGTGACGTCAATGATGAAGCTGATGGAACATAAAGTGTTGTAGCATCATTTGTACCTCCACTACCACCACCACCAACAGCAGCTGATGATGCTGATGAATTTGTTTTATGAAACAATAAGAATGTTGGAGCTGATGATGATTGTTGTTGATGTGGATGATGATGATGATCATTATTGCGTGAATCATCATTTGCCATTGTTGGTGTCGGTTGTACTGATGTGCTTGGACGATTTAAATCAATGATTCCACTCGTTCCACAATTTGAAAGCTGTTGTTGATGTTTTCCTGCTATCGCTGCTGATGCTTTTCCACTACGATTTGATGTACGTGATGATGTTGATGATGAAGATGCTACGGCTATTGTTGAGTTAGTGGCGACAGCGTTGGTGGAAGTTGATGATGAAACCTGTCAGAAACGAACAAACGAAAGATATATTAAAAGTATTATTAAATCTTCAAATAAACGATAAAAGCTTACGCAAGACCCCGTTGTTGAAGAAGAAGAAGCTCCTTTGCCACGTGAGCTGCGGCGCAGCAAATTTTGTGGTGGTTGCCCCGGCTGCTGTTGTGTGGTGTTATTGACGGTTAAATCTTGTGTTGTATTTGAATGGGGCTCCCGACCACTATTACGAGATAAACGTGCCCCCAGGTTCGGGGCTTTACTACTTGAACCCGTACTTTCTGGATTCGTTAACACACTACACGATTGATGAGTTTGTTGCTCACCAATACGTTGCCGTTTCTTTGGTATTTGAACACTTGTTGATGTTTTAGTTGTTGTTACTGCTGTTGTCTTACTTCTTAAATTCAATGCAATTGTCGAAGGTTGATAACTATTTTTTATACGTGAGCGAAGAGTTCGAGATGTTGATTGATTTTTATCACTATTTAAACTGATCTTCGATGAACTTTCTGTCAATTTATTTGTTACTGTTTTGTCACAAATTTTACTTGAGTTGCTTACACCAACTCCACGTAGTTTACTATTACGAATTGTATTTGAAATTGTCTTTTGTCTCTTATTATTTTTATCACTTTCAGCTCCTTCCTCTTCCAATTCTTCTTCTTCCTCCTCTTCTTCTTCTTGACTTAGTTCGTCGTCAAAATCACTGTCACTTAATAAATGTGAGCGAGACGCTCGTAATGATTTGCGTTTAAGACTACCAATGGAATCTAAATCAACCCCACGTTCAGTCGATTGTGTTCGTGAACGTGTTCGATATGCAATCAAATCTTTAACAGAAGATGATGATGTTGCTTGTTGTTCGCGTGATAGTTTCTTACTTGATGATGCTGGTGCAACAATACTCGATTGGACTGTCGATGTTGTTGCCAATGATGATGAATATGATGACGATGTTGAACTTGAAAAGTTACGACGACGTCGTTTCGTTTTCTTACTTGATGGAGTTGTTGGAATTTCTTCTTCAGTGTCTTCTTCAGTTGTACTATTCGCGTTTAATAAAATATTTAAAAGTCGTTTTCTCTGTGCTCTGTTGCTATTACTACTCGTCGTTGCTGATGTTGCTGTTGCTGCTACTACCGCTGATGATGTTCCTGATGGTGTTGTTATTGATGATGTTGTTGATGAGTTTGTATCAGATTTGATATTTTTTACAGCTTTAAAAGAAAAATATTTAAATTGAAAAATATTTGAGACAAGTAGAATTTGATGCTTTCTTCATTTACATTTTGTGACTGTTTGTTGCTGACTGCCGCCGCTACTGCTGCTAACACCCCGAGGGTTTTTGTATACACTTTTTAATGTTGATCTAACAGATGATGGTGTTTTATTATTTTTTTTATTCGCTGTTTTTGTAGTTCCCTTTTCATGCCCCTCCGTCAATGCAGAGAGCAACTGTTTACTAGCGGACTCGGCCATAGACGACACTTATTCCATGAATACTGCTGATTGCCATTAAACATTCCCTCACTGCCCTATTATTCACAAAGAGTACTTTTATTAGGTTGTGATTTGATCCTCTCAGATGAAACTAAAATCTATGAAAAATAAATGACGAGAGATCTGAGAAGCACAACTAAGGGCTGAAAGCTGATTGTTTTGAAGGAAAAATATAAATCCAAAAAGTCCTTTGTTGCAATAAATTGTTTCGAAACCTGATGTATCTTCTTCCGCTTTATTTATTGTAGATAACTTAGAAGTTTTTCTCTTGGTCTCTTTTAAATTTTGGTTTAACTAAACAAATGGATCTGTAAGAATAAAATAAATTAAAATTTACATTACATATCTCATATTTTTTGTTAAATAAATATCTCATGTTTTTTAGTTCTTTCAGTTTTCGTTTTAGCTCAATTTACATTAGAGTCAGAGAGTAAAAATTAAATGAATAATACATAATATTAATACCTTATCAATAAGTTTTTAAAACATATGCAATATTGTTCTTTAATATTTTTATTCAAAATAATTATTTCATTTTGAATACTTTTTTATGTTCTTTGTCTTGTGTCAAGTTTCTATTTATTAATCTTTAGGAAACAGAGTAGAAGCACAAGCACATAAGAAATAATCGCAATTTAGTTTAAGACTCACAAACACACTTAAACTAAATAGGAAAGAAACAAGAGCCATAGCGATGTTACAAGTGAGTGAAAGAGAGAGAGAGAGAGAGAGAGAGAGAGAGAGAGAGAGAGAATCAAAATCAATATTTTTAGACAAATTTAATGTTCTTTCTTACTCTGTTTTGATTTACTATTAAAAAGAGTTCTTGTTATCAACAGTTTGCGAAAATGAGAAATGTATAAAAAACAAATGAATAGGCAACAAATACCGCGATTTTTCTTAACGAGGGTGTGAAATGAAATAGTTTCATCAACCTTGATCGCATTGTCAGGATTATTGAGGTCTACAGAACAACTATGAGTTTGAGATTTGAAATGATTGAATTTGTATTGAGAAAATTAAAATTAATTTACAATATTTTTTAACTCTTCAATTCTAAGCCTTGACAATTTGAAATTTTATATTTACAAGACCATGTGCGTGATCTTTATTCTCTTGTGATTTTTGATATTTTCTTGCTTGTTTTTATCATCAAGTGAGACATTACAGTCTGTAATGTCCATCTATGAGGAAAAACTGATTACTCTTTAAGGTTAAAGAGATTCCCTTGTTTGTTTAATAAAATATATTACCTACTACTCCCTTATATACTTTTAAATTTCTTTATGTATCTTTATATTTATATATGTATATATAAATATTTATACTCGATTTACATATGTACAAGTTGCAGCAGCAGGAGAGAAGGAAAAATATTTTTTCGTATGTGTGAATTTATTCTTTTTTACATATCAGATCGACTGGTTTTAAAACTCAAAATGTTGAAAAATGTAATTTGAAGAGTAAAAAAAATATTTATTATATTCTTTTCATATTTTTAGTGTGTCAGACTATGTATGATTTGTTACGAAGGTATAACCGACAAAGAATAATTTATTTTTTCTGCCCCATCGTCATTTTTATTTCTTCAATTCTCATCCTGTGAAGGGTTAGTGACCCTTATTATGCTGCCAGATTGCCTGCCTGATTTTCCGTATATTTATCTACCTATATACTAATTTGATTATAATCATACATAGCACACACTTTCAAGTAAATTTTTAAAGTTTATAGAGACAAATTTTCGAATGAGAATAAAAAAAACATAAATAATATGTACTATATGCAGCACTAACAAAATCAAACAAATAAATAAATGACTTGAATGAAAAGTAACTATTTCGTTTAAAAAACAAACTGAAAACAATGAACGCGATCACTATGAAAATCATTTTCACAACATAAGGCCTCAGACGAAGACCTTGAGATATTCATCGGAAGTTTAAGTTTATACAGTTTTTCATTTGTAACTGTTTCGCCTCGTGTCATGAGCGACAAGCGTTGAAATATTTTTGTTTAAGTAAATGCACTGAGATTATGCCAGCATATGATGAAAATAAAAATTTCGAGGTGAGATTCGATAACGTGTGAAAATGCACACGAACATTGAAAATAATCATTGAAAATAAGTTTAATTATAAATCTTTTGTATCCACTCTCTTTCTCACTTTTTTTCGTTTTGAACTTTTTGTATTCGAGACGAAAAAAAGAAGATTCTGAAGCAAATAAGTATAAGAGAATCTTATCGTAAGGCCTAGAAAAAAAAAACACAAAATATCTTATATTTTCAAGACGTGTTTAAAAATGTTTTTTCCGTTTCTATTATTAAAGCATCTCATTTTGAAAAGATTATAAGAAGTTGAGGCAAGGATCTCAGTCGATGACATCACATTTCAATGAGAAATGTAGAACTTAAAAAAAACTTCCTTCTTACTATCGTACTATGTACTAATAAAGAGTAAGTTCATTATATGATCGTAAGTAGGTATTTTCATCAACGTGTTTGCAAGAAGCAAAATATTTGTTTTATTTTTCACTAGTCTCGAAAAGATCTAAGAAAATTATCAAGAAATCTTTCTTTTTTTTCTTCATTTTTAGGTTCTTTTTTCTCACATTTATTTTCGTTTTTGAAATGCTTTTCCAAAAAGTATATGAATCATTTTCATTATGTAGTGTTATCGCTTGTGTCATTGTTGAAATAAGACATATCAGAATTTTATTTTGTTTGGGACTTTCAAGGACTGAGTTGAAAAACTCTAGTATCAAAGCGAATGAAAAATGAAGAAATAAAAATGTTGGAAAAAAAGCAAACACACAAAGAGTCTACATGATTTTTCAGTGGGAACTTGACATAAACTTAATGAAGGGATTGATCCCAGTTTGACCATTGTTTTCTGACTTATAAAGTAGAATATAGTAAACTTGTTATATTGAAGGATGTTCTACTTATTTCCTATTCTTTTTAAGAAGACTTTTTTTATGCCTCTAACTTTTAAAATTCCCCAAATCAACATCATTTACGAAACATTCCATTTCGCCATTTTAGATTTAAATACAATTCTCTAAACAATATGCCTTGTTAAGTAAATTTTGTTTGGAGCTAGATCATGATTTTTTTGATTATGAATTATAGCAAATCATAATCATATTTTCTGTATCACTTCTTTTAACAAAATCTCCACAGAGGAAAGTTTTTATTGATTTTTCTTTAGTTTGAAATTATTCCGTAATACAAAGACTTTAATTCTTTTAATTTGATTAACAATTTAATAGTAGCTTGAGTTGATCTTTTAATTATTTTAAATGCTTAAGCAGAAGCAAGAACGTTCTAATACAACTGAATTATCTAATATTTTTATGATACGAATATACATTTTGTATTTCCTCATATGAGACATCAACCATTTTGAGTTGAGAATAGAAATTCTTTTTTTCTTTCTTCTTATAATGAACAGAATTTTCCGAAAAGATATTTTAATGGGAAAACGACGACACAAGAAAAAAGAACTTAAAGTTAGTAAAGATCAGAAACGAGGTCTTTCTAATGCTAATGAGATTTGAACACAATTGAAGGAGTTTTTTTTTTCAATTACGTTTTTGATTCCAATGAAAATTTTCATTCGCTATTTTTTCACTATATTTTACTCACATCGACAATATTTGATACTTTACTTATTAATTTAGTCTTTCTATCAATGTTTGAAGTATTTTCAATCACAAAATCATGCTTAATAAGATTAAATGTTTAAAAACACGGGAGATTATTTTTTCCACTCACCTGATATTTAAGGGGACTTAATTTGAATGTTCAGTTCAATCCGTTCGTTAAGTTTTATAAAATATTTCCAAAAGTAAACTTAGACCAAGTCGAATAACTAATTGAGTAAAATCATAAAAGAAAATTTGAAACAAATGCAGGCTAATATCAATGAACATCAATTTGATTCTAAGAAAAAGAACCAGGAAAATGATGTTAAAATATAATAATAAGCGTAATCCAAAGAAATCTTAGCTTAGTACCCTGTCGGATTATTTTGTTTTCAAACAACGAACTGTTCGGAAATTCTGTAAACAAATGCTTGAACAAGCGACTTAGACTCATTTTAAGTTATCTGTTTGAATAAATATAATGAATAATAAGGGCAATGAGTTATCAATTTTTCAAGGAGGGCCTTCAATTCATGTTGATAACAATCGACAGCGAATTGAAGAGGAAGAAGCTTTACAAGATCAAATTCGGCGGAATGTTGAGGTAAATAAACGTTAAAAAATATCGTGGAATTTTATCTTAATCATTGAATCTTATTTTATGATCCATCGCAGCTTAATAATGATCTTCAAAATGCGTTTGAAGATTTTGAAGAAGAGGAAGATGTAGATGAAAGTGTGAATTCTACAAAATATTCCCAAGAAAATTCCTATCATCAACATCATCATTCTAATGGAAACCGTCAACAGTATCGGGCACAACAACCATTTCAATTTCAATTTAGAAGCGAAGAAACTCGTTGTAAAAATGTCCTCGAATCAAAAATTCGTGAAATTGAATTTGTTACAAATCAACTGAAATCAGAAAGAAAGCAACATAAAAATGCTATCGATGAATATGAAAAACGTCTCTCGGTAGCAGAAGCTGAAAAGGAACGAGCTCTTATGACTCGTGACCAAATGCATGAGTTACTGGTAGAGAATAAGAGTAAACTTATCGAAACTGAAGAAGATAATCAGAAGCATTGCTCAAAAATAAAGTTCCTCGAATCAGAAAATTCAGCTCTTATTGGTGAACTTGAAGGTACGAAACTTATGTTATCAGATATTCAAGTGAAATATAGTATGGTTGAGAAAAATGTTAAGTTTAACGCAGAACGTAACACAGATTCAATTTTGAAACAAGCCCAGGAAAGGCACACCGCTCAAATTGCAATGATGCAGCAACAAGTCGATGGACTTAAAGCAAAATACGACGATATTGAACATGATCACAAGAATCTAGAAATTCGTTATAAGGAGCTTCAAAGATCCCGTGAAAGTATGTTGATTGAGAAGAGTGAAATGATAAATCAACTTAATAAGAATCTTGAAGATGCACAACGTCAATGTAAGGATCTTCTGTCACGACCAGATTTAACTCAAGAAAACCGTCAACTTCAATCTCTTATTCATTCAATGGAATTGCAAAGAAAAGACATGAAAGAAACAATAAATACACTTCATAAACGATTGGAAGATCAAACACTTGAGATGGAAATGATGGACAGCATTGTTCACGAATGTGGTGGGAATAACACCTCATATTCGGAATGCTCAAAGTTTACTCATAAAGATCCTCTTAAAAGTAAAAATAATGGTATTCTTTTAGGCCCTCAAGCCCGTCTTATTTGGGTTAAAGATGAACTTTGCAAATCTCTTAACAACATCAAGAGTAAACGCGAAAATATAAAAATAATGGAAAAACAGTTGATAGAAAAGGATGAAGAAATAAAAAAGATATCATTAAATGAGAATAAGGCTTTGGCGCAACTCAATCATTATCGTGTTGAAGCTTCCCGTCTTGAAAGTAAAACACGAATTCTTGAAAAAGAATTGAACAATGTAAGTGATGAGTTGAACGAGCTTAGAAAAACTAGAAGTAATCCACATTGTATAACTAATGAAAAGTATGAAGAAATTATCAGTAATCTACAAAAGGAAAAAGAACCACTTGAAATGGAACTCCATGAAATTAAAACTGATTTTGAAAACATGATAATGAAGAATAGTGTCTTATCAGATAGGGAAAAAGATTTACAGATGACGATTGCATATCTTGAAAAGGAATTGAAAAAGCTTCAAAACCATTCTTCTTCAATTGGAGATTTAGAAAAACGAGAGAGAGAAAAAGTTCAAAAGCTTCCAGAAGATTTAGAAAGATTACAGCTTGCAGAAATGAAAGTGGATAAAGGTACTCAAATTGAAGGTCAGTCCTTAAGAAATTTCTAGAATAAATTTTTTAATGATTTAATATTCAACAGATCTATCTGATAAAGTTAAGAGAAATTGTCAGAATTGCGAAGAAAATTTAACGAAACTTGAACAGGTAAGAGTTCTTTTTTCTTGACTTCAGTTTCTAAAATTTTATCACTCCTATTTTTATTAAGTTTGAACTTTCATGTTTTCAAATGAAAAATACAAATACTGAAAATTTTTCGGAACTTAAAGCACTGAAAGACGAATTAATGGACGCAAATCGAACAATTGCAAAACTTGAAGGAAAATTAAATTTAAAGGAACTGCGAGACCATGAAATAGAAAATCTAAAACTAAAAGCTCAGGAATTTGAAGAGTTAATGAGATCCAGTACAAAAAGTGATTCATTAGTTTCTTCATCGAAAAGCTTAGCAACAACAAAACTTGACACTTCAAATGATATGTCTGAAATGACTGAAGATTTTAGTCAAAAAGTTCTTCAAATTGAAACTCGAGTACGTGATGAAATGGCAAAAATTTACGCCAGTGAAATGAAGTTGATGGAGAATCGCTTCCGTGAAGATGTCACTCAGCTGCAAAACCATATTATTTCAATTACAGAAGATTTAGAAAAGAAATCTACCGAATTGGAAGTTCGTGGAGAGCAATTGAAACTCTTAAAGTTTACAATAATTCAAGAACGCGAAGAATCTGAAGCAATTCTCAGAGAAACTGAAAATGGATTTGAAAGTTCTATTGAGAAGTATCGATTAAGATATGAAGATAATCTACGGCACACAGAAGAAATGACGAGGCATTTAAATGAGAAAAAGGAGCTTATTAATGAAGAACGCATATCAATAGAATGCCTTAAGAAACAAATACATGAAGAACGTAAGTTGCTATTGAAGCGTGAAGAGGAAACATTAGAAAAGGTTGGAAAGTTAGAACAAGAGAACAGGAAAGCTATTGGAGAGCTAAATGAAAAATATTTGTCAGCGAAAAAGACAGCAATTAATTACAAGCAATACTCTGAAGACAAAGAAAAACACTTTCGCAATGAATGTGAACGGATCAAGTCCTCTTGCATACAGAAAATAAGTAAAGCTGAACAGTGCTTCAAGGAGACATTGATGAAAAAGGAAAAAGGATATCAAGAGCGATTAACAAAAATTGAAGCTGACTTTGAAGCGAAAGTTGGAGAATGGAATCACAAACACGAAAAACATGAATAATTATTTTATTAACTTTCTGTTTACTAAATATGTATGTTGTTTAATTGTTTGCATAACTAAAATAAATATTGAATTGAGTTTTTTTTTTCTAATTTGGATAATTATTTTATTTCTCTACTAACTTTTTCTTTTTGCAATCTTGTTATCTTAAGCAATCTAAACTGTTTTTAGGTTTCGTTTATGGAGTAGGAAGGATGAACATTTCTCCTAAGACATTTTTTTCTAATATTTAGTTAGATTCACTGATTTTACTCATTTTATGGAGTGGAAATTTTTGTTGTACGACAATTTTCTGATTAGCTATCATGCTATACTTGCTACTTAATAGAAGATTTTTCTTCGTGAAATTTCAGTAACGGTTATAAGTTTTATTACGTTCCAGGATATTACTAAATACTGTCAAAGACATTTGAAAGTGAACACCAAATATGTATAACAGCAAGTGAAACATCCTAAGTGGTGGGAACATATAACATTTGTTTAAACTGTCGTACAAGTTAAATATAAAGTAAATAGATGAGTTTCTAAAATCAACCATAGCTTAAAGTTCCCCTTAAGTTCATTAGAACAGTTTTCAAGAAAATAGAACAATTTGTCTCTTTTTTCACATCAAGCATTAAACATAAATTTCATATTATGTATAGGTATATTATTAACATTTATTATATTTTTATAAATTAAATAAGATGATCATTTACTAATTTTTTTTCTCATATTCTTCTTTTGAAGCCGAGACAACTAAGACAAAATATCCATGCATTCCTATGGACCATTTGAAAAACTTTTACAATATTTTACTCTACCAAACATTCGGTGACAATTTAAATTTTTCATGTTTTATCTGTTTAAGGGAAGAAAATATGTTAAACTTTTGGTTCTAATAAAAAAATAGAATAAACTGATTAAGTATTTTTTTCCACTAAATAGGTAGGTACAATAACAAGAAATTTCTTGATTAAAGTTTCTCGTTTCCTTATTTCAAAGATGTTCTCTTGCTTTCACCGTCAGCACTCTTTATTCTGAAAATAAAACAAACAAAATACAAATTTATTTAAATAAAACTAGATTTGAGATGTTTATTTTTTCCACATTTTCTTCGTATTGAGTTCTTTTGATGTATTATATCGCATGTGAAAATTTTCATCACATGAAACAACTATTGTTATTTTTAATTTAAAAGCTTTACATATATTCTTTTAATTTTTTTAAAAAATAAGATGATTAATATATAAGTGAATAGAAAAACCTTTTTTTAGAGAAATGAATTTTTTCCCTTACCTTTTTCGTAAATGCTTTGGTACGACTCTTATAACATTACTTTGAATCTGAACTGGCATTGTATGTTGTCGTTTCATTTTATATGCTTTAACAGGAACTTGATTCGCGGGTTTTGGTTTCGATGGTATATCTATAAATATTATTTACATTTATGAACAATTAAGGAATAATTAGAGGCGTGAATGTTTTTATTTTCGTTTCAATACAAACCCAAAGTAAGTACAGAATTTTCTGTATTGATCACCAAGTCTTGAGTAGCAAACGGTGCTACAACTCCCTCGATAATTGCGTCTTTCTTATCAACGAGTTTCTTTCCTGGAGCATCTGAAGACTTTGATGAATCTTCATCTTCTCTTGTGCTGTTTCGTTGAATGGCATCTTCCCTATGAAGTGTACGACGTCGTTCATCGACCGTCAGGGAAGAATTTTTCTGTTTCATTTTTATTCCAACAACAATTCTTTTTTCAGAGTCTGTGTAAATTGTTGGATCGTTTGTCCATATATCAGTGCTTTGTGGTTCCCTTAAGAGTGGGCTGTCGTATTCTTCATCGTCTTCATCAAATCGATCAATTCGAAGTTCTTGAGATTGGATAAAATCTTCAAGAGATTTATCAATAGCAGAATTCCCAATTGATGAATATTGCATGGATTGTGATGTACTATTGTTATTATGCTTCATTTTCTTCCTATCTTCATAAGGAATTTTCGTAGCTGCTGATGCAATTGTTGATTCAGAATCTGTTGAATGAATCGTTTCTAAAGCTGTACGAATTTTATCATCTTCGATTATTGATTGAATATTCACTGGATCATAATAATCTGAATCAGTGATTGAAAATGAAGATGCCATTATTTTTTTTCTGAGGTTTTCCGAATTATAGAAATCATCAAACTGATCTTCATCGCCAGTACCATCAAATAAATCTTCAGAATTACATTTATTATCTTCATCGCTTGTTGACTTCTCATGTAACTTCTCCAGAAAATATTGACTTCTTATTCTTTCTTCCAACACTGGATTGAATCTGTCATTAGGATAAACATCCTTCTGCGAATTTTCTGAATAATTTTGACTCAAAGTTGAGCCCAAAAATCTTTCATCCATACTCATTCCATATTGCAATCGCTTCATTGTTGTGGGTCGCACTCTAGCACCAATCACAACATCATCATCGTCTTCATCATATTTCTCGGCTGTAGCTTCGTCTGATTTATTTTCTATGTTGTCATTAAACGTTTTCCCAGGAAGCGAATCCTCATTAAAATCATCTGCTTTCTCATCAAATGACGACTGCATCTCAATATTTAATTGTTTGTTATGTGAATGGTTTCTTTGAGTTTCGAGCTCATTCTTCTTCAAAGAATAATACAATTCTTCAGCTGAGTTTTTCTTTCCATTGAAATAAAAATTTTCGGTAATTTTCTCATCATAAATTAAATTGGTAAGCTCTTGTTTAGTGAATGAAGTTTCATAGACGTCGCGGGCCGAAATCGTATCAAGCGAATTATTGCGTTCAGGATTTTTTTCTTCATTTGAATTGCTTGTTAATAGTTCTGATGATTCACCAGATAGCTCAGGAAACGTTCCACCACCTTGCATTAAATTAATTTCATAGTTCGATGTCTCTAATGGCTCGTAGTCTGAGCTATCGTAGCGCTCTATATAATAACTTTCTTCAACTGGATAACAATAATTTGCCATGATAAAGGAATCTGAATTTTTTTCTTCCGAACTTTTTTCTCCAACACTTTCGAAATCTTCGTTCATTTGTTGTTGTTTAAATGGATCTTCGTTCGAGTTTAACTGCTTTTTTACTTCTTTATCATCATGTTCTTCGTCGTCACTATTATCACGAGTTGAACTTTCATTTTCTTTCTGCAATTTTTTTCGAGATTTCACTCGAAAAGCGGATTGAATTTTCAAAGCGGTTTGTTCCATTTCAGTATCCATAACAAGATTCGCGATATCTTCTTCGTCCTGTAATTGCTTTGCACTTTTTTCTGTGGATGAAGATTGTGTTGCCTCTTCATTCTTTAGATTTTCGTTTTCTTCTGATTTTTCTTCTTCTTCATTGTTTTTCTTATCAGAATTTTCATTCTTCTTTATATCTTTTCTCGTCTTGTGACCACGAAATGTTGATTGGATTTTTAATGCCGCTTTAGCCATTTCATCATCCAAGACCATGTTAGCAATCTCTTCGTCGACGTCTTTTGTGGAATCTTTTTCTTGTTTTGATTCATCAGCAATTTTGGTTGTTCCACTTTGGGAATCATTTCTTTTAACCCCTATTCGTGTTTTATGACCGCGAAATTTTGACTGAATTTTTAATGCTGCTTTCTCCATTTCTTCATCTAACACCATGTTTGCGACATCATCATCTTCTGTGTTTTCCGGCTGTTCGGTTACTGCTGCTGCTCCTTCTTCTTCTTCCGATGTGCCGTCTGGATAATCTCCAGCTGTGATTATTTAAAACAATAATGAAAAATGCTTTATAATAACTCAAATTGTGCACACAAATCTCTTACGCATACCATTCTCAGTAGTTTCATTTTCTTCTACCTCAATTGCGGTTTCGGTTTCATCGCTATCCTTCGTCTCTTCTTCTTCCTCTTCTTGAGCATCTTAAACAGCAAAAAAAAAAAACAATATGAGAAAGAAATATTGTGACATGATATTATTTAACAACACAGTTTCGATGTCTTCAATAATAAGCTAAAAGTTGAAGTTTCCATCACATTTTCTTGTATAATCACATTAAATGAATAGAAAGTTTAGATATGTAGGCGACCTTCTCTAAGATATCTTTTGAATGGTTATTACATTTCGTTTTAGGAATTTGGCGACAGAAAGGCGAGAATAACATGTGAAAGAAATGATATCTTGTAAAAACGAATGAATATAAAAGAAAGTCATGAACGCCATTCAGAGTTAACACACACAAGTTTCGTGTTAAACTATCTAACGAAAAGACACCAAAAAATTATAATGTGGAATAAGATTATTGCTTCCTGAATGAACCTACGTAGCTTATCTGAATTAATTATGTTTGAAAATGAAGTCTACCTATTGTGATTTGCTAATATGTATATGTATGTGAATTCATGATGGTTAAATGTGTTTTAATAATTACCTTCCCGTTTTTCTTCTTCTTCTTCTTCTAGAGTTTCTGAATCATGAAACTCCTCAATGTCACCATTTGTGTCTTGTTTTTCATTTTCCTGTATTTCTTGTTTTTCATCTGAACATTGATCAATAACCACAGTTCTAATAGCCTCAATTTCCTTGTTGTGCTGTTCTGAATCTTTTTCTGACTCTGACTGAACAATTACATATTGTTTTAAGATATCATTGTCAACTTTGTGAACACTAAAATCTTCCTCAATTTTCAAAGTAGTATTTTCCATATTTTCGTTGATAATCATATCATTAACATCGTCTTCCACTTTGGGTTCATCCACTTTTACATTAAATTCATTTTCTGGAGAAACATTTTTTTCATTTTCGGTCGGTAAACTTTTTTCATCCATAGAAATTATCGGAACGTTCTCATCTTCTGGTGCATTTGTCTTTTCATCGGGAATTTCAGATTGTTCACTTTCGGGTTGAAGAATTTCATCTTTTATTGCTTCAAGTTCATCTCGATTTACATTTACAATTTCTTTATTTAGATCTATTAATTCTGATGCTGTAATCTCAGAAATCGGATTTTCCACAATCAATTTCGGTTCGAATACATGATCATTAATGATTTCTTTTTGAGATATTATATCTTTCTGAATAACATTACTATTATCACTCGCAATCACATCAATAGCATCTTTCACATTTTCTTTTATTACATTGATTTCTGAGATATAAGTTTGAATTTCATTAGAGGTTGTTTGAATTCGTTGATCTGCATTTGAATCCTTTATAAAATTAATATCATTTTTTTCATCATCTGGTGATGACGTAACTAAGACAGTGTCCTTGTGTGACGCTTCATCATACGATTGCTGATTTAAATGTGATGCTTCTTCATTAGTTGAGCTTTCGTTATTAATTAATTGAGAATAATAATCACCTTCATCAAACGACTCCCCTGTGATTATATCCGCTCCGGAAAGAGATTCTTCCAATTTCGCATATTTAATTTCATTTGATAAAATCTCATTATCCTTATCGGTAATGGTTTTTTTCTCATCATCATCATCTTGGTCAGGTTCCAACAATGATATCAATTTCTTTTTGCAGATTGGCTCGTTAACAGGAACGTCATCGATCTTTACGTCACCTGCATTTGCTTTGTTATTTGTTTGTAATTCATCGGTATTTTCTTGTATAATAACATTGGCAGTTTGATCAACCTTTTTTATATCATTAGAGTCTATATTATCTTCCAAATTTTTACTAACACCAATGCTATGTACATTATCATGTAATTTAATTACTTCCGAAGCTTTCGTTTCAACCGTAAATGTTTCTACTGGGAACTCGTCTTTAACATTCAATTTTTCTTTTTTATTTTTACTCGAATAATTTTGAGTCTCTTTAGTGGTTATATTATCGTTAATAAGCAGAAGATTTTCATCATAACTTTTATTTTTAACGTCTTCAGATATAACATTTTCCAACTCAATAAATTCATCAATATTAACTTTTTCAGTTCCATTGATTTCTGAACTTGTTTCAACTTTATCTGAAATAATTTTGCTATCTTGAATTTCAATGGGAAAATTTGTGGAATCAGAAATATTTGTGGCAAAAATTGAAATGTTTTCTGCATCAAAAGATTCCAAACTTTTCTCAGGATCAACAATAGTAGCATCTTGACTGGAAACCACATCAAAATTTTCAGATATATTGTTGATTTGGTTGTTAATAAATGCTTCAGAATTTAGGTTATCAATGAGGCTTTCAGATATATTTAAATTCTTCGAAAGCTCTTGAGACTCTGTCGAGCTTTTAATTATAGTACATTCAAGATCTGGAAAAGATTTTATGGAAGAATTTTTTGATTTATGGGTTGTTTCTTGTTCAATGTGGGCTGCGACATTATTTTCTTTCGATTGGGTATTCATAGTTTCTGTGTATTTCTCAGCTGCAACAGATTTATTAACTTCGTCCAAATCTTGTTCTGGTGAGATGTGAAGAGTTTCTGCATTTTTTTCAATTTCAAAAGAAGAGTTGACCTTATCTAAAGATTGTTTGATTTCATCTTTATCTCCTTGGACATTTAAAGTTTTGGGGGCTTCTTCAGTTTCGAGTGATTCTTCAACTTGTGTCAAAGTTCGTTCTGCTTCATTTATTTCTTGCAGGGTGTCTATATTTTCTGTGACTTTTCCAACTTCCACAGAAACATCAGCTTTCTGGAAATCATGTTGAGTTTCTGTGACTTTTTCAGCTTCAATAAAGCATTCAACTTTTTCTAAAATTTGTTCAGCTTCATATTGTTCTGACTTAGTTTTTAAAGTTTTTGCGACTTTTTCATCTTGAATAGAACTTTCGATTTCATCCAAACCTTGAACGATTTTTTCTTTTCTTGAGTGTGTGTTCAAAGTTTGGGTCACTTTCTCAGCTTCAAAAAAATCGTGAACTTCATTGAAAGCTTGTTCAAGTTTATCTTTTACGGAATCGATGTTCAAAGCTTTGACTTCTTTTTGATCTTCAACAACAACTGTTTCATCGATTGATGATTGTTTCACAGTTTCAACAGCGGGCACTTCACTTGTAATATTTAACAATTCAATATCATTGAGCGTTTCTGCTTTCGTTTCCATATCATTCTTATCTGGTAACGCAGATGTATCGCTAACGTTTTTTTCCATAAATGTTTCTTCTGTTACTTCAACAACAGAATTTTTATCGTTACCTTGTAGCTGCTGTTCTAATAAAAAGTTTGTTTGAAAAGTGTTCTCATCATGTTCAGGTTTATATTCTTCTTCGGTCAAAGTTTTGATAGCTTCTGTTTCTAAATCAACGCTCTTTTGAATTGCAATTGAATTATCTTCGTAGCTTCTTTCTTGAATTTCAAATTCTTTTGTATTTGCTTGTTGTAAATTGCAAATAGAATTTTTATGTCCCAAATTTTCACCTGATATTTGATTAATTTCTTTTCTAGCTTTGTGACCTCGGAATGTTGACTGAATTTTAAGTGCAGCTTGTTCCATATCATCGTCGAAAATCATTTTTGAAACATCATCTGCTTCAGATTTTCCTTCATTCAAAAGATTTTCTTTTTCAATTTTAGGATTTTCTTCCTTTTCAACTTCAACTATTTTAAAATTACTCCCGTTAAAATCATTTCCTTGGTCATCAGTCTCATCATCAACTTCATCTTTGTCTCCTATTTTTCCACCTTCCAATGTTTTCCTTCTTTTTTCTTTGCGACCTTTAAATTCACGAAAGGTAGATTGAATTTTCAGAGCTGCTTGTTCCATATCATTGTCAAGCACAATGTTTTTTATATCGTCATTTACATGGGTTTTCGCTTCACTGTGAACTTCGATCGATTTTTCTTTTTTGATCGATTCATTATTTTCTGATTCCTGAGTGTCTGTTTTGAAAGATTTATGTGTAGATTGGATAGAATGATTCGATTCAACTATGATCCCTTCCTCAGTAGATTTTGTTTTGTTTTGAATAACATTTGAATCATCATAATTGACAGAATTTAAATTTCTTTTATATGCGATGACGTCATTCAAGTTTTCCTTTTCGATCATAAATCGTTCGCTTTTATTCTTTCTATAAACTTTATAAGTTGCAAAATCCTTATAACTTTGATCAACCGGTCCATCTCGTTTCTTTAGAAGATTTTCAAAATATTCAGCAGCAAACTCGTAAATGTTTTGAGGATTTTCTTTAATAACACTTTTTGCAAGTCCTTTCATAAGCTCTTCTAATCCCGAAGGAATTTTAGGCGAAATAATTGGCATCGTTTCTATTTTACTACGTTAAACCGTTTAATTTACAACAAGAATTTAATTTGTAACGACAACTACTTTTGATTTTCTTGACATAAAACCAGTTGGAAAATCGATAAAGAATTTTTCTCCACTTTCTTTTTTTTTGTGTATATTTTTCTTTGACGGGTAGTTTTTCTTTTTCGTCTTTCAAAATACGTCTTGACTATTCAGTAGAACTCACGAGACTACCACAATAAAGAGGAAAACTCGACAAAATATGTTGAGACAGTCGAAGTTGTTGTTTTACTCTCCTTTTTTCCTTTCTTACTCTCCGTTATATAAACGAATAAGTTTAGGCATGGAGTGAGAAAAACTTAATATTTCAGTTTACATTGTACCTATCTAGGTTGAGTTTATTTATGAGAAGAACAAAGGCTTATTTCTAATAAGAATGTCAGGAGATTTCAAATTGAATCAGAGATTTCACAAAAAAAGATTAGGTAATTGCTATTTATTTCTCACTATGCAATTCAAGTAATATTGGGTAGTTGATATACACTCGTTGCCACAGATACCGGCTTGGATCCTTTCATTTAAAACGAGAATATGAGAGAATAAAAGAGAGTGACAAGAGGGTAGCTTTTGTATAAATTTCATGTGCTTACTTTGAATATGCTGCTTTTCGTCACTAACATTATAAAAGGAGTACAAGGTAAAAGTATAATCATAAAACCAAAAAATTAAAATGGAGGGACTGTCATTTACTCATTATGCAACAGAAAAGAACATAAAATTTAGATTAAACTGACTCAGGTGGAAGTTTATTATAATGTAATTAGACTATAAGTTATACTTTTACGTTCGAGTATAAGGTTCAGCAACCGCCCCTTTTGACTTCTCTTACAGAAGTTCAAGGTTCTTTGGTCATACATCTTTCTTCATGAAAGAAAAACCAATAAAATTTCGTTATAAAAAATAATAATTTCATTAAGACGTACATTTTTCTATAACTTAGGTCACTTATTCACAAAGTGAATGTACAAGATATAAAATAATTCAGTTTACATATTTCTTAGCTAAATATTCTTATAGAAATTTCTAACGGGTCATTTTCAGTAAAAATGAACTTTCAAAATTCTCAATCAATATTTAGAGAAAACATTTCAACAGTAAAGCGATGAAAAATATTTTCATTTCAATGTGTTAACAAGTTTTTTTTCATCCTTAATGAAAAATATTATTTGATGATAAGATTAACAAATAGCTGTTTCTTTGTCTCTTCATCATTAGTTCCACTAAGAAATCTTAAAAGAAGCATTTTGAGGATTGAGTTTAAAATCAGAGTTTATTTTTTCTTACGTTGTCATTGTTCATATTGCTGTTTTCCGTCAAGGGTATAATGAAATCTTATGGAATCATTTGCAAGAAAATAAAGAAACTCGATTTTCATGACCGAAAAATTTAACTTTTACTCACTGAAATTATTTACTTGGTTCAATTCTAGTTTTCCTTATCTACATATTTTGCCTTTTCGTCAAATGTGCGTGTTAGCACTTTTGAAAGACGATTTTCCAGCCGTAGAGATTATTCATTACGATAACACCTGAAGTTTTCAAGTTGAAAAATAACAAAATCATGATTTATTCGTTGTTGTACATGTTAAAAACGTAAAGTTTTACAACGTCATTTGATGGGAGAAAATCACCGCAAGAAAACAGAGAAATATTGAAATGATTTCATAAAATTTTTTGATTTAATGAAAAAAAAATGATTTGCTTTCCCATTTCACTATTTAGTCAGTCATGCTATTTACTTCAGATAATACCTAATTAAAATAAAATTCTCACTTTCGGAAGTCACGAAATAAAGGAAGAAAAACCCATAAGAGATTATTCAAATTGGCGTGTGAATGAATTACATTTCTGATAAAATCATTACAATGATTAATAAATCCTCGCAGTATTATGGAGTGTCCAACAAATCGAGTCAAACAATATCGAGGATTAAAGAAAAAAAAGATTCGCTTTTATTTTTATCGAAGATAAATTCTGGTATCTACATTTCTAAAAGTTTATTAAGCTGGCGCCTAAAAGCTAAATACACAATTCTTGATATTAGTAAGGTCTCGCAATATATTACACATATCTCACATTTCACATCTCATATCTCTCAATCGCTCATTCATAAGATTTGAGCTAATATATGATCATAAGATTTGAGCAATAGAGTCAATTACAGTTCATATTTATTATATTTTTCTCCTTTTTTTGGTTCGTTTCTCCTGACTGGCAAAATTTCTTTTTTTTTCATTTTTTATTGTTCTTTTTTTCCGACATTTCGTTATGTAAATAAATTATTCATATCATTCGAAGAATATTTAGGAGAACAAAACGAATAAACTCGCTAAAAAAATAAAAAAATTTAAAGAAATAAAAGTAAAAATTTTTTGGATGAGATAAGACATCAGACAGTTTACATGGGTCGATTTCATTAATTATGTAATAATATCTTACGTTTTCCAATTGAAACAATAAGTAAATAACTATAACATCATGGAATGTTTCATCCAAATATTTATCAACAAACATAAATGTCTGTCGCATTCAATTTATATAAAACTTCACCTATAAATAAATCCTTATTCTAAAGTGAAAGTTATCTTATATAGTGACATAAATTTAGCTTCTTAGGTAACTGTTATTGTGGATAAAAAGGGAAAAAAACGACATGGCACGTTTCATGAACAAAAAGTGAAATAAAATTAAAATTAATTCACCTTGTATCTGCTCAGATAACTTGTAGATATGTAATTTAGTTTATAAGATATGTTTTAAATAGAAGACAAAAAAGTTTCCATATCTAAATTTTTAGGAAAGGTTTTCAGTAAAGAAAAATCAATAATATCATGTGAAGAAGGAATAGATGGAAAATTTTCAGAGATGAAAATTAATTGTCTACCTCTGTGCTTTAATATCAAAGTCATAAAGACTTGTTTTCAGTTGATATTATTCAATTTGTTCTTTAATTTTCTTTATAAACTTTCAATAAACCTGAGAATATTTTAATGGTTCTTCCATGTAAGTGTGAATTTATTAATTAATATTCTCCTTCGATACTTCCTATTTGTGATGTGCATAAAAATGTATATAAATTAATATCAAAACTTTAACTGACTATCAACGAAAAGTCAAAAATCTTTCGAGAGAAAAGCATTTAATTAATAATAATTAACCAAGTTTCCCAATATTCTGATATTACCTAGTTGTTTATTTTTCACAAAGCTGTCTCTTTCTTTAAGCCGCTAATATTTGCTTAATTTTATTTAAAAAATCATTAGTGACATAAAATGAAGCTTTCACAAAAGTGATCCTTACATAAAGCAAACTCAACCAAATTGAAATGAAAATTTCACATAGAACATCCAATCACATGGTACAGTAATCCTTACGTTCTTTTATATACTTATTTCAGATTTTTTATTTTTAAATAAATAGCACACAGTAAAACATACCATAAAATTTGTAGCTTTTGATGATAACCAGGTTGGACAATTTAAAAATTCTTTTCCTGTAAATATTCAACATCCAAATGAAAGGGACAGGTTGAAACAAACACGACATCATTTAGGTAATGATAAATTATTTTTTAATGAATAATATTAAAGAATAAACATACATGCACAAAAAGCTTTTTGATTCATCTAAGAGATCTTAAAAGTTCTTTGATAGAATCTTCATTGATTGTTTCAAGTGGATAATTCATATTAAAGTTATGATTATTGTTGACAATTGGCAAGTTATAGTTCGTATCTATCGTCAAGTTGCTAAAAGCTATGGTACTCCCATTCATATTCTCGTTGAATCTATTATTTGTTGAGATTTGTGGAATGAATTGAAGTTGAGGCTCATGGACGTTATTCTTCATTATTTTATCATAGGAATCGTCTTTGAGTAGATCGTCGAAACACAAATCATGCGTTTCGTGTTGTGCCGTATTAGAAATGGAAATAAAATCATTGGTGTTTAAATTAGTAACGTTGGTAACCGTCGTTGGTGATGTGATGGTTGATGTCGGTGAAATCGATGAATTTTGCATTAATTTTTGGAGCAATTCGCCTGGCTGTTTAACAAGAACTCCACTGCATTTATGAGAGCGTTGACTAACCTTGTACCGAAAACCTTTGCCACATTCTAGAGCAAGCAATGTTAAAGAGAATGACATAAAAAAAATTCTAATGGATAATGAAACACTTTGTTCTTACCAGAACATTTATAGGGTAGCGCCCCGGTATGAATACGAGAGTGAACAAGATACGACACTAAAATAATAAATAAATAAATGAACAATAATTAAGATTATCACTTCGTGATTTCCATTAATTTTCAGATATATCATTTATATGTAATAATTTTGTATGGATTTTTTCTGTTTTCGTTCATGTTAGTCGATGGTCTAAACTTAACACATTGCTACCGAAAATCGAAAAACAATTGTATATATTATAAATATAATTATTATACGAAATAATTTATACATATAGATATTTACATATTTCTGTGACATCATGCTCACCTCTTTGGCGAAAAAATTTCCCACAAATTTCACATCCAAAAGGCTTAACACCGCTATGAATTAAAATTGAAAATAAATTGTAATAGCAATAAAGTATAGTTAAATCGCACGGCTTTCAATTTATGCATTTGAAGCGTACATATTTTAAGCATTTTACAAAACTTTTGTGGTAATAAATACCTATGGATTCTCTCATGATTATGCAAAGTCGAAAGTTCTTTGAAGCTTCGTCCACATTCCGCGCATTTATAACTACGAATAGAAAGGAAAATGATATGAATTATTCAAGGTATGACTATTTAGGATCCATAATTTTTCGACTCACGGCTTCTCATCGTTGTGATAGTTCATGTGCTTATGAAATGATTGTTGGAAGAAGAAATTCTTGCCGCACTTCTCGCACGAATATGGTGTTTCACCTAAAATTATATTTACCCAACTAAAGTACATCAGAGAATCTTATCTAATATTTTTTTCTAAAAGCATCACACAGATAGAAGGTTTGCGATATAATTTATCATAAACATTCATGTCACACTCAAAAAATATATTGTCCGACATTAAAAGAATAATCAATGAATCTCGAACCTGTATGAAGACGTTTATGTTTCTTTAAAAAATATTTCGTCGTGAAAACTTTTTTACAGTCATCGCACTGAAATATTTTTGAGCTTTTATCAGCACTCCTCTTTGTGTCTAAATTATCGCCGTTAACAGAGCTTTGAGGCGACGGCGCTTTGCAAGAAGCAGGAGAGGGAACAACTGCCAAATAATTATTTTCAGAACTATCTGGTTCTTGCAATGATAGTCTTTCAGCTTTCAATGTGCATTGGTCAATAGACTTTTGGCTTTTTAAGAAATCTGCAATATTTATTTGTTTTTTATCTTGATCGTGATACTTAAAATGGGCCACTCGAATGTGAATACGTAAAGCGCCTTTCATCTTAAAGTGTTTTGAGCACAAATGACATTGAAACCTTTTTGTTTCATTCTTGATTGAATGAGTACTTTCGCGTTCTTCATCGTTATTTGGCATGAAATTATGTACCAAATTCAAGTGTAAATCCAGCAAGTGTTGATCGACAAACACAAAGCCACAAATTTCACATCGAAACTTCTCTTCCGATGCTTTTAATGGTGACGAAATTTTCACTAATTTGATTCGACTTTGCTTCGGTTTTTGTTCTTTTTTTGAAGATGGATGAAGAACCTCACTGTTTGCTTTCAAATCTGTCGGTAATGAATGCCCAAACAAATGAATCGTTAGCTTGTCTAAACCTAAAAGAATTTCATCACACAATGGACATTTGATTGGCTTGCTGTTTACTTTGATTAAATTTAATTTGAATGTTTCAATATCCGGAAATTTCGAAAGACAGCATAATGGACATGACAAATCCGAACACATTTTTGTGCCTTTAAATGCTATTCACAATACTAATAAATTAACACACATTTAACAATATCTAAAGGATTGTTTTTAAATTTAACTAATTATTTTTGATTGAATTGTCTTAATTCTTATCTTTTTATTTACTCAGAAATGAGACTAAGGAACACTTTATGAAAATGAGAAAATTATTTTTCTTTTCGCTGAATTCTGAGAGATGAAATTTTCTAAAAATAGACGAAAATAAAAAATACGAAAAATAAAATTAAATACAACGTTTGAATGTTTGAGCGGAAAATGATCGCTTTTGTGGCGAGAGATGTAAACGTATATGTGAGGAAATTTATGTGATGAACAAAGGAGTGAAAATCACTTTCCACAACTCCACTATTCTGAAAATTCTTTTTGCTTTTCCTTTAAAAAATCACATACATAGGTATCTAATACCTAAACATTATAATATAAAACTGTAGTCAAAATCATGAATCGTTGTTTCAGTTTAAACTTCAATTTGAGTATGCTGAACACCAATAAAACTTCTTATCATGTTAATTATTGTTGATTGCTTCTGTTGTTTTATCCATCTAGCCTATTCTAATGATGATAGGTCTATCGCTATTGTAACACGTGCTAAAGTAAATTAAATGTAGTAAAAAGTCATAAAAATGTTCAGTGTTTCAAGATTATTGTTTTAATTTAATGAATATACTTATTACGTGATTTTAAACTAATTAATGAATTATTAAAAAACATCCCTCGTTCTAAAACCATTTTAAGTATTTTCTCAGATTAACTTCATAATAAATTTATTAAAAATCTCATCATAAAAAGCTGATGGGCAAGTTCTTTCAATAAAAATTCTTTTTCTTTTTCACCATCTATTGTTGAAAGTTATGCGATTATTGATTTATATATCTTCCATCACCAATGCGCACATATTTGACTGATGGAAGGGAAAACATTAAATCAGATATCATCCCACTTTGAACTTAAGCAACCCAAATTTTGATTCCTATTTCCTTTTATTGATGTTCTTCCACTATAATGAATTCAAAGAAATCCCAAGAACATAGTTACATAAATATCTTAAAAGAAGACTAAAATAAAAAAGAAAGAAAAATAGTTTCAATGGGGTAAAGTAAGTTTCCATAAAAGAAAAAAACCATGGACATTTTTCTACTTTGTTGAAAAACAACAAACAATCAACAACAAAAGCTGAATTACCTAGTGATTCAACAGGTGTCGGTTTCTCTCGCCTTTAAACGATTTTCATAAATTTATTTCAAATTCCTGCCTTTCAGTTGAATTTTTCTTTCTATCTTTGTATCGTTTTCTAAACATCATCGTTCACCTAATAAATAAATGGTAGCGTGACGTGATTCAATAGATTGAAATGAAAAGTTTTTACTCACAAAAAATTTGTGCTGCGCATCAACATCAAATAAATTTTCAATCATAGCAATCAACTTTTATTGATAAAACAAGTAAAGAAATATTCGATGTTTTTTTTTGAAATTACGAGAAAATTATATGAATAAATTGTCAAAAAGTGAGTTTCTTAAAAAATTTCGTAATATGGAGGAGTCAAAAGAATGTGAAATTGATCTTATTAAAAATGTAATGTCATCAATGGGATGGAGTAACACTTTCACGCCGATTGCAAATGAAGAGAACAAACGGCTTATGGATTCAATTAGATTCCTTGGGAGTACCAGATTGGAAAGAAATCATGCTTTTGAAGATCAGAAGAAAAAAACTTCGAGATTTAATGCATTATTGACAGCAGCTAATAATGAATTCGATCAGAATTTGAAATTATTAACAGCGCATAAGTCACAATACTCAACTGAGTACCACCTGATTAAATTATCGGAGTATGATGTTTCGTTTTACATGCAAACCTCGAAAGAGTCTGAAAAGTCAGAAAAACAATTGTTCCAACAACATAAAAGTTTGAAAGGCAAGTATCTAAATAAATTCTTTGAATTCATGCAATGACTTTTAACTTTTTAATTTTTTAGATGAGAGTGAGAAAATTAATTCATCAATCGATAAGTTGACTGAAGGTGTTCAGTGGGCAAAAAGTGCGTTAACAGAATGGTGCAAAGTTATGCTGTCAGGTGATGGGACGAGAAAAATAATTGAGAAACTATGTCGAATGGATGCGGGACGTGCTGAATCTCTTGATTCTAAACGAAAGATTATAAATGAAATTATCGTCAAACAACAAACAGTTCTTGTTAATGCTTATGAAGAAAAGAAAGCTCTCGAATTTCTTCTTGAAAGAACAAGTCAACTCTATCATCAAGCTCATCACGAACGTCGTCAATTGGTCAATACCTGGAAAGATGCTGTCAATCAAATGAACCAGCGTGAAAAAGAAATCAATGAAACGGAAATAGAAATTGATAATGCAAGACAAATAACAGATCAGAAACGTTCAATTTTAAAACACGAAGAGATGATTATGAAATTGAAGCAAGATGAAAATCATAACACTGAATTGTTAATTAAAGATCTGAATGTAACAACAGCAGACCTAAGAAGTCGTTTTTTCAAACTTGAAGAATCTATTGGACTTAAAAATTCCGAGTTCTTGGTGTTTCGAAAGAGTGTTCAGATTGATTCACTGAAATTAAATAATTTACGTAATGAAAACCGCCAAATATTAGCTCAAGAGAAAGACAAAAAAAAGTTATTGAATTCAATGGTTTTTGAGATGAAATCAATCCGAGAAAAGTATGACAAATTCAAGGACAACAATTCAAATGCTCAAGAATGCCTTCGACAGATTGAAGAAATGTTGGATATGGAGAAAAAAAATATTAGAATGATTCAAGATGAAACCAATCGACTGTCATCAACACACTATCGATCTGAACAACAATTGAAGAAGCTTCAAAAGAGTGAAGCAAATCTTATGTTGGAAAGCAAAGTTCTTGAAGCTGGAATAAAAAAAACACAAACTGCTTGTAAGAAACTTGAAAAGGAATTAGTTCGACAAACTGAGATTCTTTATAGTATGGACAGTAAAATTCAAAAAGCAGAAATTAGACTTGCAACTATGAAGGGAAACGTCGATGATGAAAATTTAATAAAATTGGAACATCATCGTGTTTATTTAGAAAAAAAATACAAAGATAAGATCGAAACTGATGAGTTGATGAAAGCACAAGTCTCGAGAGTAGAAGAGGACTTGAAAAAACTTTCAAGTATTTATCAAAATTCATTTGCTGAGTATAAAAGAAATGTAAGTATTTTTGATTCTTTATTATGTTTATATTTAAATTTCTTTGTTTAGGAACAACGCTTAAAAGAAAGAAAACGCACCGTTGATGGTGGAGAAAAGCAACAGAAAATATTGAATCAACAAAATCAAGAGAAGCTTGTAGAACAAAATCTGTTGAAGATTCGCATAACACAAATGGAAAAACAAATCTCAAAACAAACAGAAAAAGCTTTTTCTCTTGAGAAGCACAAGATGGAACTTGAAGCAGCAATGAATGATCGTTTAATTGACATGAAATCACAAATGAATTGGTTGAACATGAGGAAGAAGTGTTTGATTGAAGAACGTGGACAGATGAAAATTGAGATTGGCGAAAGACTTTTGAAGATTGGAAAGCTTAAGAAGCGTTTTGAAATCTCATTGGATCTTATTGGCAAAAATGATGATGGAACAAATAAAACTACAGTTCAAATTAAAGTTCAAATGGCACAAGAAAAATATCTTCTTATTAATGAAGGTAATGAATTAAATGAGAAAATTGTTAACGCTGAGAATGAAATAAATTGTTTGGACAACACATTGAAACTGATGAACTTTTCAAACGATGAATACCGTAAAGTATTTGAAACAATCACTGAAAGTAGTCCAGAAGTAAAGAAAATGAATGAATTGTATTCTCAATATTGGGAAACGATGAATGACATAAAAACTCTTAAAGGAAATCTCGTTAACTTAATTGATCATATTGAACTTTTGGAAAGTCAAAACCAAGAACTCGAAACAGAATTCGAGGAAGTTCAAAAAACAAAGCTTGATAATAATGACATTTTATTAAAACTTCACAAGGAATTGACAGATCAAGAGACAAAACTTGAACGATCTGATCGAGATATGAAAACAGCATTCAAGACAGCAAAACGACGCATCAAAGATCAAGAATTTGTGTCATTTTACGAGAAAAACTTAGCGATCAAGGAGTGTGAAGATCGGAACAATTCATGCCTTCAACAATTGGCTGCCTTAGTTGATATAATTACAGATATGTCACAAAAATTAACCCGTCATTTCCTTGAGCGTGGCCTCAGTGTTCCAATGAACATGCAACGTGCCAAAAGTCAGTCATCATGGAAAAGTGAAATGTCTATTGGTGATCAAAGCCTAAAAGATAACATGAAATGTAAAATATTTTTAATAATCTCCTTATGACTTCAATATTAATCAACTATTTCTTTAGATTCTCATTGCTCATTCGTATCTGGTTATTCAGCATCATTAAGTTCATCATCGAAGGCTTCAACAAGAGAGTCTGTTAAAGAAACAAATTATTCATCGGGTTTATCAGTTGTTAAAATAACTTTCCCTGATATTAGTCCAATAAAAGGACCCCAAAAACACTAAATAATTAAGTTTTTTAAACATTTTTCGCTTGTATTTATTTAAAATAATAAAATAAAGTAAAACTTGTACAATGATACTGCTTGGAACATATTTCCAACTTCAACAAGGGAATTCTTAGTTTGTTTTTGATGACAAGAAAATAAAAGATGTACAGATTCAATTACCTACATTTCTACGTGAACAAAAAAAAAGATCTTATCGCTATACATTTTTTTTTTAGCGCTAAAATGTTGAAATGTTCTGATTTTTTAGGGGATTTGTTGTATCACAAAAATGTATTTTGATTAGTAAATAATCCACGCGAGACATGTAATTTCAAGTGCTCGTTCGTTTGAAGGCAACCACTTACAACTAATATCCTTCCAATTCTTTTTAATTCCCTTATCTAGTAAATTAAGCGTATCAAAATTGTGCAATTTTAATACTTCTCAATCAAATCATGGAAATCCAATCTTATCACTCATGATCAATTATGTAAAATTTGATGACAAAAAGTAATAAAAGTTACTGTTTCATGTTCTGTGAACGTGTCACGCGAGTTGATTTTGTAACTACTTCTTCTTTCATTTTCTTAATTGGCGTGTTATGAGATGGTTTACTTGGTTTAGGTAAAGTCTTTTTTAGAGGTAAAATAATTGTCTGATGACAATTATTTTCAGTGCTAGATTCTTTACACTTGTTCATTGAACGTGTTTTACGTTCATGTGTTGTCTTGACAGTCTTTTTTGGAACTTGCTCATGTAATGCGAGCTTATTCAAGGTCAAAATATCTCGTTTTGGTCGTTTCGACGAAGGTCCATGTTTTGAGGGGCTAGTTTTGATACTTTTTCGTTTTGTGGGTTTAGGTTTAATAATTTTCTGTTTCTCTTTGAATTCGTCCTCTACGTTGCCAACAAGCGAAAATGCAGATTGCCGCCGTGGAATTATAGGAATGAAAAAAGGACTTGGACATGGAGAACTTATGTGACAGTCAGTTGATGATGTCGACCGAATTGATGGAACACGAAGTAAAACAGATTTAAAACTCGATGGAGTTTTTGGCTCACGAGTAATCGGTTTGAAGAAAATCATTTCCGTTTTCAAAGAGTCAGGTGATGAACAATTGCTTGAAGTATCTGATGAAGAATTACTATCTTGATTACTTTCATATTCCGTTGGTTTCGAACCAACGGAAGTGGAAGTTGTTGGTGTATTCGATGCGGAACTATTGGCGATTTTAGAAAGGAAAGTAATCCCACGAGTGAACGCTGTCTTAAAAATATTATTATATTTGCTCGATGATGAATCTGTTGCTTGAACTGACGTTGAAACTGCATCGCTACAAAACAGAAATAGAAATTGACTGAAGAGAGTATACAAAAGAAAAACAAAACTAAATTTTTTACTTGTTTTGAGATTCTGACTGCTTTGTGGACAAATAATTATTATGAAATATTGGTGCTACAAGCATGACGAACTGTTCTTTTGGAATCTTCACAGAATATTTTTTAATTTATTTTCATCAAAAGAGAACAAAATACAAACATTTTATCGTCAAATTAAAAAAAGAAAAAAACTATCTTATTATTATAATGTTTACCAATAATTTTCTATCCTTAACTAATAAAATGATTTTAACTAAATAAGTTTTATGAAGTAATTGTTTGAAATATTGTGTTGATTTGAATAAGTTAAAGAACTATTTTTCTTTTTGTGATTTTTTTACTTTGACACCTGTACGTCAAACTTAAAAATAAAAAGTTCGTTTTTTTATCATAATAATTACGGATCAACATGGAGATCTACCAGGTAGTAGATTTTAAATTTATTTCATTATCGTAATTAAGGACAAAGCATTAAAAAAATCGATTATGGGAGATTATATCAAAAAAAGCAATTACAAATCAGAATCCTCTTTAACATTCTCAAGCCAGGTTTCATTTGACAACAATTTGTTTACTAACCTGGCACATGTAGAGAGTTGCACCAAGTCAAATTCTGACATTATAGGCCAGCTAGGTAGGTTAGCGGTTTTATTACTTCAGATTTCTATTTATATTTAAAGCGAAAACTTTCTCTTAATAAATTTAACTACCTATTTGATACCAGTTTATTTTATTTAATAGAGCAAACGCTTGACACTATGAAGTTGAAATTATGCGCTACTGATGCCCCATCATATGTAACTTTAATTGAAGGCTCTTCAAAAATTCTCGATGAATATAAAACAGATTTGAAAAGTTTAAGCATTGAAGTAATTAAAAATGAAGTTATTCAATCTTCAACATTTCTTTCCGATATGATTGAAAAGATACCTAATAACGGAAAATTTGATGAAATAATGCAGGATTTCGAAAACACTCTGGAAAGAGTTGAAAAAATATATGGAACATTAATAGAATTTTCACGGAGAATAACTTACGTTTAATCATTTTCCAGAACAAATCTGCAGTTTTTATTGTTACTTTAATTATCTACTTTCTTATAGTCTTGAATAAAGATATAGTATAAGTTTGATGTAACGTAAAAGAAAGATAACGATTACCTAACTTTTAAAAAAGAACTTCAGCGTATTATTCATGAATATTAAAGCCTATTATGATCAAAACAAAGGGTCTGTAAACTACAAACGTTTTTCCTTTGCAATTCCTTAAGGAAACGTGTTTTAAATGCAGTGTTTTCTTGAAATTTTTTAATTTTTATCTCTTTAATCGATTAGCGTTTGCATATTTTTCATACATTAAGGCATTTCCGAGATATTAACGAAAAATATCAATGACCCAAGTTCTCCATGAAAAGTTTTTTTCGCTGAAGTTTATTCATCAAGCCATTGAAAAGTTAATATCATTTTTAATGAAAGTCAAATAGTTATACGCACAATCCCCATGTACGTTTTCTTCCGAGGATTTCGAGGATATACGTTTTCAGTAGTTTGACACCCTGCTTGTAGAATTTTCGACCATTTAATTAAAAAAATTCGACCATTATCCTTTGAATGTTTAACATTTTCCAGATTTTGTTGTGCAAGTTATTTAAATTTTTTGGTGATAAATATGAGTTTTTATAAGTACTTGTTTACTCCGAAATTATTCAAAGAATATTCCGACATGACATCAATTGCGGTATATAATGAAAAAACTAGTTTAACATGAAAACATATTATTATGTTATACTTTTTGTTTCTTCTTTTCCAGTCAATTTACCAAATGGAGGGTTTGGAAAAATTTGGATCCTCTCTAATCAGCTTTGTGAGTATAAAACATAACAACTTCTTTGAGCTATACTTTGAAATATATCATTTTACAGTGTGGGTTATTTTTCTCACTTGCAAAATACGGTAATTGTTGGAAAAAATCGAAGGGTTGGATTTATGTATTAAGATATCTTATTCTCTTTCTTGTAGGATCTCCTATGCTTACGCTTTATTTCTACAAGAAAGGATACCTTGCAGTTGATAATCTAGGTCATTTAATAAAAATCTCAACAGGAATTGGATTAATTGTTGTTATTTCATATTGTATTCGAGGATTTGGACGGTCACAGAGCGAAAGTTACAAACGTTTTGTTAAAGTCTTAGAAGATGCCAAGGCGAACTACAATGACACAGAAAATAAGAAGAAGCTTAGATTATATGATTTTGAATTTGAGCAATGGCCTGTCGATTGGAGCATGAACACAGAAAATACAAAAGGAAACAAATCTAAGAAGCTTGTCGTGACGTCATCACGTGGGAATGTTAAATGGGTTTCTCCTTGTAGTATTGCAGCATTTGTCGCAATTCACACTTTTGGATTAAAGATGATTTATCCGTGAGTTATTTTTTAGTCATATATTTATGTTGTACTTAATATTACTATAATAAAAGATTTGTAAAATTTCCAGAGGAAGTATAAAATTAATACAAAAGTATTTACACCCTATGCTAGTTCAAGGAAGAGCTAAGATGATTATTGAAAATAGAGCTATACGTAATAAAATTGAAACTGTTGACAACAACCAAATTGATACAATTTTTATTGACAATCGTGCGTCGAAATCAGAAAATGGTAAAACACTCGTTATAACTGCTGAAGGAAATGCTGGTATTTATTTTTTTAATTATTAATAGTATTGTAATAAGTTCATTTTTACATTGAATAATATTTGATTTTTTTATTTATTTATTTATAATTTTCTTTAAGGTTTCTATGAAGTCGGAATTATGACAACACCAATTGAGTTGAGTTATTCTGTTTTGGGATTCAATCACCCAGGATTTGCTGGAAGTAGCGGTGAGCCATTCACAGATCAAGACCAAAATGCGATTGATGCTGTTATGCAATTTGCATTAAGAGTGTTGAAGTTTTTACCCGAGAACATAATATTGTTTGGCTGGTCAATTGGTGGTTATTCAACTCTCTGGTTATCAACACAATATCCGAATGTGAAGGGAATAATTTTGGATGCCACTTTTGATGATTTACTTTATTTAGCTCTACCTCGAATGCCTGAAAGTTTATCCGCCATCGTAAAAATCGCTATTCGCGAGCATTGCAATTTGAACAATACCGATCTCATCACAAAGTACAATGGACCTGTTGCATTAATACGTCGTACTGATGATGAAGTAATTTGTACAGAAGAAAATAATATTGGAACAAATCGTGCAAATTACCTTTTGATTCATATGTTGAAATATCGATTCCCGAATATTTTTCAAACAGAACAATTGACCTTTGCACAAGAAATACTCAACGGAACAATTGATCATGGTAAGTTTAAAAAACATTTTTCTTACGTAAATATGTATGACGTAAATTTTAACCATTAAAATTTTCAGGCCATTTAAGCGACGATCAAATGTGTCTCTCTTTGATTCTCTCTTATGTTTCAGAAAACGGTTCGTCGTATCCAATTCATATCGGCGATGATTATACAAAAAAACAGAGAGATCAAATGGTTTTTTACTTAATTAAAACTCATTTATCTGACTTTAAGAGTACACACTGTACTCCTTTGCCAGTTGAATTTTTTAAGAATCCATGGAATGTTCCACAAGAAGATTTTGTATTCACATAAATTTTTTTCCAATTTTGAGATTGCCAATTGAAGTTAAAAGTTTTCCTTAAATGTGTGCTTCATTTTTATTTTTGCTTTTTTTTTCATGCACATATATCTATATAAAAATATAGTTTTACGTTAATAATAAGAATTTGGTGTGAAATATAAACAAATGTTATAAATTATCTAATACATAAATTTAATGTTGTATAAATGGAAGAGGAAAAAAAAAAAATAAACGAACATCTATTTGAAATTTAAAAATATGTTGGATGTGTACATGTATACCCCTGACGTAGAAGAGAGAGGTCGACACATAAAAAACATAAACTTTTATGGATTTTCAACTTTGCTTCACTTCTGTGTGAAAAGTTTATTTTTCAATAGTTTGAAAATGTAAAAAATGCTTCCATGGTTGCGAGAAAAAATTGCAATAAAAAAGCAGCGCTGGTTAAGGCCAAGAACCGAAGATATGTAAGTAAATTGTGAAAAAGAAGAGAAAGATCCAGATGTGAATAAATAATAAATGAAATCATGTTGTGATTTATTATTTTAGAAAACCTCAACAAGAGCTTCAAGATGATACTAAAGATGCATGTTTACCTGATTCTACAACAGATCTATTATATTTAAGAATCGTAACATCAAAATTTGGATTACTTCTCGTTCAAGTGTCCTACTTTGATTCAGGTTTACAAATTAAAGAAAAAGCAATTAAGAAACTTGAAGCATCACATAGTCCTTCGTCTTTGTTTACTGATAAAACGAATTGTTTTAAACTAGTCAGATTAAGTACAAAAAATACATTTAGAGATTATGATTCCATTCTTGGAACTAACGTCAGGAATATGGAAGAATTTTTAATGCTAACAAAACGCCCAAAAAGCGCAATTGACAATCTAATGAAAGTTCACAATACTTGTGGACCAACAGAAAAAGAAATTCTAATGAAAACGAAACATCTTCCAATCATTCGTTCATCAATTTCCTCAACACTGAGCCCATCGATGGACGCAACGTTTTTCCAAGGTGATTTGCAACACGACCTGAGAAAAATTCTAAGTGAGATTGCAAAATATTCGGCCTATATTCTCGGTTCGTTACCGTTTGCCGAGAAACTTATTAAATACTACCGTCAAAAAATTCTTATGAGTTTATATAATCATCAAGATATTGTTAAGCTGTTAATGGATATGGGCTTCAGTCAGGAAAACGTAATTCGTGCACTGAAACTTCAAGGCAACAATTATACAATGGCACTTGACTGGCTTGTTGAAAACGTTAGTAAAGCATCTGTTGAAGAACATTCAAGTCTTGAGTTGTCTTCAGAATCTATTGACGATCTCACCGAATCGACTTACAAAAAGCTATGCAAGACGACATTCCCATCAACAAATTCAATTTTTTATCCGAAACATAAAGCAATTGTGAGTATTTACTTTGGCATAAATCCGAAATTTATTTGATACGTTGGAATGTTTTCATTTCATTCGGATTAGAATTGCTTCTTAGTGTACTTGCCGAGTGCCTTTTTTATCGATTTTTTTCTTCTTTTTCTCTGTTTTTCTTTCTTCACAGAATATTAAAGAGAAAGTTGAAGGTCTATTAGAAATTGTGCGATATTATAGTGAAAAAAACAACGATTCAAACGGTCTACAAGATACCGTCAATTCTTTGATAAACATGGGATTTCCAATAGATGAAATCCAACAAGCATTGCGTGCCACAAGTAACAATCAAACAGCGGCGTGTGAGTGGCTTCTGGAACATAGTGTCACTAATCAGAATTCTACTGCACTTCGTGAATCGATCTTTGTCGAATCACATATTCTGAAAATACTTCTCAACACACCCCAAATTCAAATGAGTCTCAGCTCGCCAAAATTCTTTATCGCTTATTGTTCTATGTTGGAAAACTATTCATCACTTAACATTTTTTTCAATGACATCGAGTCGCAAAGTCTTTTACAGCACATATTAAGAACGTATCATGAAGAAAGGATCTATTTTCACACTTTTTCAAATTCATCGTCATCTTCGTCGTAAACCTTATGTCATATTTTTGTAGTTGAAGCCACGCATTAAAAAAAATTGCTTAAAGCTTTAAGAGAGAAACAAAAAAGTTTTAATGTTCGTTGAATAAAAGAAATTAAAAGTTAATTATAGAATCTAAACAAGAATTAATTCCATTTCCTCTTTTTTTTCTTTATTACATGTTTCATTTTGGTATCAAATGTAAATTGATTTCATTTTTTGATTTATCGTGCTAAAGGAATATTAGTGCGACAATATGACCATATCGTGATTTCTGTGAGTAATTTATGGTTAAGGTTTGGAGAAGCAAGTAAAAAATCGAGAACCAATTGCTTCACTAAAATACGATACGTAAATTAGATAAAAGTTTTTTTTCTGACGAAAACTTTTCTTAGTAAGATTAGAAGAATTCTAGCATATTCAGAGTTTAGTTACAACTTCTTTTCATTGAATAAATAGAGTAAACAAGAGTGGTCATAAACATGGTGGTGGATTTAGGAACAGTTTAGGATTTGTTACTTTTATATCAAGGTTTTTGAGAGAATACACTCAAACTGTTTTGAATAATCAATAAACAGTTTAAATTATTCATTCTACAATTAATTTCCTTTGTTCCCAATCTATCTTTTTTTAGAATAGATAGGTATCTAACAAAACTGCGAGAATTCTAACGGAACAATTTTCGAAATGTTCTAATCAGTACAATCCATCGATGATTCGACTTTTTATCGCAAATTTTTTGACAGACAGACAAAGAAACCCTTATGTTGTTAATTATTGAAACATTTTAAACATCAAAAAACACATGAAAGAATAATTTAGTTGTGACTAATATAGTGAAAAAAAAAGATCTAAATGGCTGATGATGCACAGTTTTCTTCTTTGTTGGAATCACTTCTATCAATTGATAATGATGTGCGATCCCAAGCTGAGGTGAATATCAATCAAATGTTTAAATGATTAGTAGAAAATCAATAAAATTTGGGGATCATTTAGAAAAATGTGCTCGCAGGCGATTTGAAAAAGAAGAAATTAATTCAGATGACGAATAATAATAGAATTAATTGTTTCGTTTTATTACATTTCCTGAATATATTCATATTTTATTAATCATTTATCTTTAGCTTAAATCTCTTTTATTTGAATCCTCAATGGGTTTTCCCTCCAAATTTATAAATACCAAGCGTCATTTTTATTGAAAGATTGATTGATGTTTACAGGAAGCTTACAATAATCTAACTATTGAATTGAAAGTAACTCTTCTTCTTCGTGCCATTCAAAATGCTCAAGTTGATGAGGACCGTAAGAGTATAGCAAGTGTTTTGTTGCGCCGTGTTTTCTCGTCAGAATTTCAAGATTTTTTTCCAAAGGTAAGATCGACATTTGTCAATATGATTGGGTGACATTTTCATTGAATAAAATAATTTTTAGCTTCCAGTTGATGCGCAAACTGAATTGAAGCAGCAAATTTTACTACTTCTCCAGCAAGAAACGAGTCCAAATCTCAAGAGAAAAATCTGTGAAGTTGTTGCTGAAGTGGCGAGAAATCTTATTGATGATGACGGGAATAATCAATGGCCAGAAGTACTTCAACTTCTATTTCAATGTGCAAATGCAACAAATGTTCAACTTCAAGAATCAGCATTGCGCATTTTCGCATCAGTGCCAGGAATCTTTGGCAATCAGCAAAACAATTATTTACAGATCATTAAAGAAATGCTATTGAAGTATCTCGATCCATCATCAAATCGTGACGTTAGATTTCAAGCTGTACGCGCTGTCGTTGCTTTTATTTTGCTCCATGATAAGGAAGTTGAGATACAAAAATATTTCTCTGATCTTCTGCCACATGTCATCATGATCACAGCTGATTCGATAAAAGAAGAAGATGATCAAACACTCATTAAACTTCTCATTGAAATGGCTGAAAGTGTTCCCAAGTTTCTTCGACCACAATTAGAAGCTATCTTTGAAGTTTGTATTAATGTTTTCAACAGTCCCGATGTTGAAGACACTTGGCGTCATCTTGCATTAGAAGTCATGGTGTCATTGTCTGAAAACGCTGCTCCAATGGTTCGAAAAAAAGCTGAAAAATATATTGCAGCACTTGTGCCACTTGTGCTTAAGATGATGACTGAATTAGAAGATGAAGATGATTGGGCGGTATCAGATGAAATAAATGATGAAGATAGTGGGGAAAATAATGTCATAGCTGAATCAGCATTGGACCGTCTCGCTTGTGGTCTTGGGGGGAAAGCAATTTTACCACACATTGCATCTAACATTCCTAACATGTTAAACAATGCTGACTGGAAATATCGACATGCTGCTCTAATGGCAATATCAGCTGCTGGCGAAGGATGTCATAAGCAAATGGAAGCAATTTTGGATAGTATCATGCAAGGTGTGCTTAAATATCTCATGGATCCACATCCTCGAGTTCGTTATGCAGCATGTAATGCAATTGGTCAAATGGCATCTGATTTTGCTCCAACATTCGAAAAAAAATATCACGAGCAAGTGATTCCGGGCCTATTGACACTTCTTGATGATGTCGCAAATCCGCGTGTTCAAGCTCATGCCGGTGCTGCACTAGTCAATTTCAGTGAAGATTGTCCAAAATCTATTTTAACACGTTATCTTGACAGTATCATGACGAAACTGGAAGCGATTCTCACAAAAAAAATCAATGAATTAGTTGAACAAGGGACGAAATTAGTTCTTGAACAAGTTGTTACAACAATCGCTAGTGTAGCTGATACAACAGGGAAAGAATTTGTTGTTTATTATGATCGTCTTATGCCGTGTTTAAAGTATATGATTCTTAATGCCAACACAGAAGAGTTGAAGATGTTGCGTGGTAAGACAATTGAATGTGTAAGTTTAATTGGTCTTGCTGTTGGTGCTGAGAAGTTTATGTCGGATGCAAGTGAAGTTATGGAAATGCTGTTGAAGACACATAGTGAAGGAAATCTTCCCGATGATGATCCTCAAACAACTTATCTCATCTCAGCATGGGCTCGCATTTGTAAGATTCTTGGTAAACAATTTGAACAATATTTGCCACTTGTAATGGGTCCAGTTATGAAAACAGCCGCAATGAAACCAGAAGTAGCTGTCTTAGATAACGACGAGATTCAAGATGTTGAAAGCGATCCCGATTGGCAATTTGTGAATTTAAGTGATCAACAAAACTTTGGAATTCGAACAGCTGGCCTTGAAGATAAAGCAGCAGCATGTGAAATGCTTGTTTGTTATGCACGTGAGCTTAAGGAGGGCTTTGCAAATTATGCTGAAGAAGTTGTACGTTTGATGGTTCCATTGTTTAAGTTTTACTTTCATGATGGTGTTCGACGTGCTGCAGCTGAGTCCCTACCAGTCTTATTGATATGTGCAAAGATAAAAGGACCTCAATATCTTGAGAATATGTGGGCTTATATTTGTCCTGAACTTTTGAAAGCCATCGACACAGAACCAGAAAGTGAAGTTATTGCTGAACTTCTTCAATCTTTAGCGAAATGTATTGAAACACTTGGGGCTAATTGTTTGTCACAAGAAGCTATGGAAGAAGTTATCAAAATCGTCAATCGATTTATGAATGAACATTTCGTTAATGCTGATAAAAGAATTCAAGCAAGAAATGAAGAAGATTATGATGAAGCTGTTGAGGAACAATTAGCTGAAGAAGATGAAACTGATGTTTATCTATTAGCCAAGATTGCTGATATTCTTCATTCCTTATTTATGACACAAAAAAATGCTTTCCTTCCATACTTTGAACAAATTGCACCACATTTTGTGAAGCTTCTTGATCCATCACGACCATCGTGGGCTGATCGGCAATGGGGAATTTGTATTTTTGATGATCTTATTGGTGAGTTAAAATTAAATATTAACATACTCTTATCGTTATTATTATCTAATTTAATTATCTTTCTTTCAAGAATTTTGTGGACCAGCATGTGCACAATATCAAACATGTTTTCTTCAACTCATGATTCAATATTGCAAAGACAAACAACCAGAAGTACGACAAGCAGCAATTTACGGATGTGGAATTCTTGCTCAATGTGGTGGCGATCAATTTGCACAAACCTTCTCTATTGTTATGCCGATTCTTATAGAAGCAATTTTAGCTTCAAATGCACGTGAACCTGAAAACATGACAGTCACTGAAAATGCTATTTCAGCTGTTGCCAAAATTCTGAAATACAACAGCACAGCAATTACCAATCCAGATGAAATTGTAAATGTTTGGTGAGTTATTTTATTCAAAATTTGTTTTTTCTATTGGTGTGTTTTTATTTACCAATGTGATGAAAAATTACTATCTAAGTAACTTTCCAAAATGAAATCTGCTGAACATTAAATTCTTATGGTTTAACCTTTGCTGAATAAAATTTTAATTTAAAAGTTATTAGTTTCACAAAAGGTCAATTAAAAATATATTTTTTAATCTACTTTTTTTTAAAGGTTCCAAAGTCTACCAGTAACGGAAGATGATGAAGAAGCCCCACATATCTATGGATACCTTTGCGATTTAATTCAATCGAATCATCCAATAATTTTGGGTAACAATAATAGTAATTTACCACGTATTGTTGCACTTATTGGTGATGCATTTTATCATGGAGTGATTCAAATTATAACACCAACTAACGAGAATATTGATAACATGAGAATGGACTATGTTCAACGGAACAATGAAGTAGCTGGCAGATTATTAAATATTGTAAAGCAAATTCAAGGGAATCCTGAAGTTTTTAATGCTTGCATTCAATTTATTAATGACCAGCAGAAGGCAGCACTCGATGAAGCTATGAAAAGCTTCGCAAACATCACAGTTGCATAAAAATATTTACAGAAAATTCTGTTTAAAATATTTAATCATATAAAGAACATGTTTACATAACTTTCAAATGCACCCCTTCACATGGCATACATATATGCGATTGAATAAAAACAAAAAAGAATGTTTTATTTAAATAAGAAGAGAGAGAGAGAGAGAGAGAAAAACATACAAAAGAAGTTTCTATTTTCATTCAACTTATTTTTATAAACAAAAGAAAGAAATTGTTAGATTAAGGAATGAAAAACCGTAAAGATTAAACGGTTTGTTAAACAAATGAAATTTTTCTCGTTTTCATAATGATTTTTTCAATAATTTATTCTTGCAAACGAAACAGACTTTGCTGGAAAAGATCAAGAATTTGGTCTAATCCAATTATTTAATCTAATCTTGATCTTTCAATATTTCTAAATCTTTAATACAAGTTTTTACTTCATCTTACTATAGATATCGAAGGAAATAGTTTTAAAATGAATGTTTTATCATTTTATGTTAAATCGATTTTCAAATTTCCAACCATTTTATTCAGCATTTCAATTTCACTCGAATTGTAAAAACGATTTTGGGAACTCAAAGTAAAGTTTAATTTTATTACAAAAAAAAATTTGTTTGAATTGTTGGATTCGTAGAAAATTGTCAAGAAAATATGATTCACGGTAGTAGTCATGAGTTCATAATTTAAAGATTTTTACTAGAGTAAAAGTTGCTAATTCCGTCTGTTTTTAATTTCGTTTTTTTCAGTATCGTAAATCCGTCTTGGGATTTTTCATGTGAAAATAAGAAAATGTTTTCAATTTTTAGCTTAATATCAAGATTTAAAATGTAATTTAAAGCCTTGATATTAAGCTAAAAGTTGTAAACATTTTCTTATTTTCACATGAAAAATCCCAAGACGGATTTAAGATACTGAAAAAAACGAAATTAAAAACAGACGGAATTAGGTAGGTACTTTTTCTCTAATTAATTAATTAATATTCGAAAAAAATGATTTTAAAAGCGTGGATCATTTAGAATCTTATGTCAAAAAGAAGCTTTTAAATTCATTGCCTAATACTTTTTTTTTATTCTTTATTAATTTCAACCGTAGTATCGTTCAGCATAATGAATTATCTCGAAACAGACTTCAATCATAATAAGGTAAATAATAATTTTCTCCAAACGAACATGATGAATATCATTAAGATTTGATGTGATGAGATCAGCAAGTTCAACACAATGATTAAGCCTCTCGTTCATTACTCTTGTGCGTTTGGAAATGCTAAAATAATTTATTGTTTGTGAATAAACATTTTCAAGATGTTCCCTATCCCAGTAAAAGTCTGGCGTGTCAAGAAGATCCGATGAAAGATTGATAAGATGACGAAGTGCAAAAAGTTCTCCAGTTTTTCTTAACATTTCAGCTCGTGTAACTTTAATTTTGTTTCCCTGTTTTAAATCTTCTGTCACATATGCCATTGAATCAACATAATTATCTAAAGAAGCTTCCCAAATTCCCAGTTTCACTGATAATGACAACGCATTCGAAAATGTATATTTTTCTAGTACATTATCCTCTTCAGATTTGCTGATGTAGAAGTTATTATTTCGCAGAGAAGGATGTTTATGATCTTTTGTGTAATTATAGAACATAATTTCACTTTCATTTTGAACAATATTTTCATCGTAGCTATCCTGTCACACATTTGAAGGGATTATATTTAAGAATTTATTTACTTTAAAATAAATTAACATTTACCTCTTCAAAGTCTTTGAGAAATCCAAGAATGTTTGAACTCTCCATGTCAGAACAATTCCACATAACAACTGTTCCTTCACGAAATAAATAAATACCCCGTGATTCGCTTCCTACTTTATATTTAGCTGTAGCATAGAGCACATCAGGCTCATTGTCGTTATTGTCTTCTGAATTGAAAAACTTCTTAGGGTCGTATAAGTCTTGTGTTATAAGGGCATTGTAAAGTTTTTCTAGGTCGTATTGCTCTGCTGTAGCATAGGCTGTGACAGGAAAGTAACCTTTCATTGTGAGCTGTTCATGTTGCTCGTTTCGAGGTCTTCGTCTTAATCCAAGCCTTTTTTTAGGTGTTAATGAAGAATCGTGAAGTTCACGCTTTGATAAAAGACTTGATACAGTAGTCTTCGGTAATAATTCATTGAGTCGTTCATTTAAATCATTTGATGAATTTCGTAAAAACCATTCCGATTTCAACACGTTTTGAGTCAATCTATTTGAAAAAGGTGTTTTTACCGATAACCGGCTAGTGATAATGGCACTATTTAATGGTTTTTTATAGAAACTTTGAAATGTGTTTGACAATAGTCTCTGTTTAGAGAGAAACTTTCTAAAACTATTCATACTTTAATTGTTTACAATTTTTTTAATGAATTCTTGTTTTGAAATTCTAATTTTCACATTGGGTAACACATATTAGAGGATTTTACAGATTCATGACTAAATTAGGCAACACTTGATTTATCAAAATTTTGTATGATAAATTGTGATGTAGTTTGAAGAAAATGAAAGTGTAGTATATTTTTATGATGAGATATTCCATCTAAGACAATTTTACCTTATTAAAAACTCATAATATGGAAAAATACGAATAAAAGAATTTTAACACCTAACATGTGCTTGTTAAAAATTTGTAACGACGAAAGAATTTTGAATTTTTTTATGGACTATTCAGACAAGTTCTGTATAATCCTCGATACCAGAAATAAACACTGCAGAAGAAATAAATTTTCATTTAAATTTCTAAGTGTTTTCTGTCCACATTTATTTGATAAAAATTCTGAATTGTTATTAACAAGTAAAATACTCTTCCAATTTGTACAAGTTTGAGTGATAACATCAGAGAAACTGGACTTTTCAGTAGATGAAAATTCTCCCCCATTGTTCTAAAGGAGGAATAAAAAAAATTACGCGCAGTCCGAATTGGTAAATGATAAACTTATGTATTTTATGTGCTCACATTTTAAAGCAAAATTCAAAGCTATAACTTTTATCTCTTTTATTGTCTTTCCTCAGTAGTGTTGCCCCATAGATTAAATCTCTTGTCAGAAGTTTCCGAGTTAATTTTCTAATCGAATGTCTACAGATACAACTGCATCGTTGCTACTCAAGAAGCAACTTGCAGAACTTATGAAAAGTCCTGATTCTGGTAAGCAAACATCATTAAAACAAGTTCAACAGTATTAAAAATTACTCTTAAATTGTTTCCTTGATTTCATCAAATTAATCGATCATGACCTCAAAAGTCTCATAACTTGTTCTCTCATTTTTAGGATTTTCTGCTGGTCTTGTCGACGACAATGATATTTTCAAATGGGAAGTCCTCATCATAGGACCTCCAGGTTAGTTCTTTTCACGTTTTTTCCCATCACAAATTCATATATTTTTTCTTCTTCCTCGAATGAAAAAAAAATCTACTCTTCTTTCTCGCATACATTTTCTGTAACTGTGTAACTCCATCTCGCTCATAAAACACTCAGATACTCTTTATGAAGGTGGATTTTTCAAAGGTAAATTTTTAATCTTTTCTACAAAAAACTGATATTATTAATTATTCGCTTTGCTTTTCAACAGCACATCTCTACTTCCCAAAAGAATATCCATTGAGACCACCAAGAATGAAATTTGTAACGGAAATGTGGCATCCAAACATTGATCAGAATGGTGACGGTGGGTCATTAATTCTAATTTTATCATTTATTTATTAAGAAGATGTAATGAGTGAAACTTTCTTTTTATTTATTGTAGTTTGCATAAGTATCTTACATGAACCTGGCGATGACAAATGGGGATATGAGAAGGCATCTGAACGTTGGCTTCCTGTTCATACTGTCGAGACAATTATTATATCCGTTATATCAATGTTAGCCGAGCCGAATGACGAGTCACCAGCCAATGTTGATGCAGCAAAGCAATGGCGAGAAGCGTATCCAGAGTTTAAACGTCGTGTTGCTCGTTGTGTACGCAAAAGTCAAGAAGAATAGAATAATCAATTTTTTCAAATCAAAAATTCTTATTAAACTACAACATCAACCAGCCTACTAGATAAGAACTCTTATCCAGCTCTTTCCACATCTTTTCCCTTCATTCGAAATAAAAAATACACATAAAATAAAAAATTTAAATCATTAGAATTATACAAATAGAAAACAAACTTTATGCCGGAAAATTTTAATTTTATTTAAAAATTTATGTCACCATAAATAATTTTTTTATCAACCATTATTCTTCATTCGATAAACATTTTGCGCGACTTGAATAGACAAACAAACTCCTTATTATTCACATGATGTGATTCGTGATTTCACAATCATTTTTCATCTCAACATAGGTATTTTCAGTGCTTTCTTTTACAACTTTAAGAACCCTTAAGAATTATTAGCTGAAAAACTATTATGAAAATCAAAGTGCAAAGAAATCGAAAAGTTTTAGAAGCGTGCGTATGTTTGATAGATTATTATGAATTTAAAACAAGATTTATATTGATCAAGCTTTCAATTCATTTATTTAGTATAAAATGAATTTTTTTAGTTCTAATCTTTTATGTTGTTTCGTCTTTCTTTAAATTCAATTTGTCACATTTGTAATCGACTCCAAATCAAGTAGCCAACAGATCAGGCTTTGTTTAAAATTATGATCCTTTTGCCGTGGAAACTTTATAACATATGAGAAACGGAAGTGAAATCTTTTTTCTAATAAAAGGAAGAAAAAAAAATATTTTGAGTAAAAGGAGAATGATAAAGAAAACAAAACAAAAAAACATTTTTAATAAATAAAAAAATACGAATAAAAACCGTGAAAATTGAAGTTTAAAATGATTGATTTGATTTTATTTTAATAGGTAGGTAATTTGGGAGAATAATGTATGAAGCACAGAAATGAAGTTTTGGTAAATATGAACATAATCAATTTCAAATTTTACAGTGAGTTCTACTTCCAGTATTGATCGCAGTTCTTTATTCCTTGTGATAATGGTGACATACTAAATTTGGACGTATTTTGAAGTTCTTTTCACTGATCAAAGATCAATGACTGCATCTCTCACTTTAATATATTTACCATTTTTATATATTACTTATTGTTCAATTACATATAGTAATCCTTAAAATATGACATTGTGTCTTTAAAAAGCGAGTTTTTTCATGAGGAGATAAATTTTCTGATCAATTTCAAAGCCGTGGACATTGTTGGCATCGCCTTGGAGTCTCATAAGGAGTCCACCAAATGAAACAAATGCGGAGAGACGGCTTGATGCTTCTGAATCATCACCTTCTATTCTGTAAACTTGTCCGAACATAACATACTCAAAGCTATCAGCGCGGGATCCTTCGATTTCGCTCACTAAATATTCCTGACTCGCTAAAATTTTCATACTTTTTTTAATATGTTTTATATTCTTTATAATTATTAATTACCTGGCCTTCCATCTTCTTGTAAAGTTGTTGCCAGTACTAGACGAAATTTATCGCCTAATTCCATAGGATAAATCCAAGAATTTATATCTAATATTAAGTCCATTTTGAAAGATTCTGATTCGCAGTGTAATCGAGAAACTCTGTCAAATTTTTTTCCTTCTGGATCCATGTCTTTAACGTTAAAGATGTCTTCAAATAGAATTCCGGACATATTGTGTTGAACTTGCTACTTAATTTTAATATGAATACTTTTTTTCCTCGTGCAACTGTTTGTTTAATGAAAACAAGCAGTTAAGTGAAAATGTCCGTAGGGTGTTCAACTATATTTCGATATATCTAATCATTTAAAAATCTGAAAATCGGTATACCTAGTTAAGAAATTTTTCTCCCTTCTTTCTCCTTTCTTCCCCTGCTATATTTTGTATGCCCCTTTTGAAAGGAAAAAATTAAGTGAACTTCACGCAATATAAAGCCTTAGAACCATTGTGATAAAGTTAAAATTCGAAAACTTAACAAAATTTTCGGATGAAAATACGAAAATAATATACCAACAAGTGCTGCCCTCTATACTTTTTATATATAAAGTTGAACCACACAACTTAAAAATAGTCTTCAATCTTACTTCAAACTGAAAACGTGACTGTAAACAATTGTGCGCATGTGAAATAATTTTTTTTTGTTATTTTCATTTTACTACTTTTTGTGTTTTCTGGAAAAAAATATTAGTTTTCGATATAATTTTCCTACAAGTGCTTTCATTATTATTTGAATCATTTGGAACAGATTTGTGCTAAATAAACCAGTCAAAGTGGTGAATATTTGAGTTTCAAGAGACTGTATTAAAAATCATATCAATAGAGTGGAACACGAAAAAAAAATTTAACTTTTAATCCTGGAAAAAAAAATTTCTTTCTTCCTGCCTAGGATTATTTTAAAGGCGGCTAGAAGTTGCTTGCTCACAAAAAAAATCAGAAAATATAAAAAACAGTCTCAACTTTCAGTACTGTCAAGTGGAATAACTGAATACAATTTGAACAACTACAAACTTGCAAAGTTCAGTATAAATCAATGAAGTAATAGTTAAGATTATTCAATTCAGACTGATAAGAGAAATTTCTTTAATTCTGTGAAAATCCCGAAAAATATGAATCATAAGTTAGTGTAGAAAAAAAGAGAGTAGTTTTGAAGGTAAATAAATAGTTAATAGATTTTCAATTATATATTTCGGAAGCCCGTTTTAGTGGAATTTTAAGACTCATATGGTAACTTCCTGATTTGAGTAGCTGCGACGAGGTCGTTTAACTCTTTGTTCATCACGCTGCTGTGCGATTTTTTCTTTTTTCATTGGTAGATACAAAATATATAATAAGTTAGTGGTTTTCTTAAGTCGCATAGGTTGTTGTTAAGTGCACAACAAGGTAAAGAACACTTACTCTCTTTAAAATTTTTCGACAATACGATGCGGAATGTGCAATAAAATGTGACTACATAAATTTCTCGCTTAATCATACTGTTGTAGAAAATTTCGACTTTTTTATTGTTCTATGACTAATCTTGTCGCAAAAAGAAATTAAAAAAATTCGCGAAAATATTTGTATTAAATTTCTTCATTTGATTCACTGAATGAATTAATGAGCTTAAAATAGAAAAAAAAATTTATGAGTAATAAAAATCAAGAATGTACGGTAAAAAGAATTGTCTAAAATTCTGTGAATTCTTTGAATGGTTGTCTCATTCTCTTTTATTATATCTTCCACAATAAGAATAAGAATCAAGATTTGGAAGATTGTTATTAATTTTAGAATCCGTTAAATTTGGATTTATTTCTTGTTTTTTTTATGCACCTATCTACCTGTTTTTATTTATCTTCATATTTATTTATTTATTTTTGAATTTGAGCTACATGAACAGGTTTACACCCTTAATTTGCAGCAAATCAGATTTTCTAATCAATATTTTAATAAATGTGAATATTTTTAACAATTTTAGCTTGAGATTTAAGTTTTTTATCTTGTGTTTATATTTGTGTGCATAGCTGTTTCATATTAATCTTTAAGTAATGAGAAGAATATAAAATGTTTGTCATGTTTGTAATCTGAGCATTAATTTAAGTTTTAAATTTTGTCAATGATTTAATGTTGTTTGAGAAAAAGGTCACTGGTTAATGCTTCTGGAGGTAAGCTCCATGTTACTCCCTCCTCCAAAGAACATTCCAGTGACGTAGAAAAAAACTCAAACTTAAGGAACATTTGCGTTTGATACAATGTTATCACGAATGATCTGCTTTAGCTTGTCATCAGTTGGTTGGTGTTCGAGGTATCTTGGATCTTTGAGAAACATGTTGTAATTAGTCATGAGTCTGTTGAAGAGTGAATGTTTTCCAGTGTCAGTTCTGCTTTGTTTTGTTTTGAAGACATCATGTTTTCTCGTTTGACTTTCTTGTGTGAAATTGAAATTATGTTGGTAAGTGCTTGAATCAATGTGATTGTTAAATGATTTTGTTGTGAATTTCATGTCCGTAAAGATACGTCTCAATTCTAAATTATCAATATTCAATAATTTTTCGATATCATCATATACAATATTGAGCTATGTACATCTAATTTTCCTACATAATGAATAATCCAAGGAATAATCTAAGTTTTTTTTGTCATGAAAAATCAGTAGATTTGATGGATAAATTCTCCCTGAAAATAACAAAGAAATGAAAAAAAACTGAACTAAATCCAGATTTTATGGTTTTGATGATTTAAATTAATATTATCTCGCCAAAGGAAAAGCATTATCAAAAATGTCGGTGCAAAATAAAAGCGAAAAAATCCAGTTTTTCTCATTTTTCTCACCTTCATCAACAAAAAATGAACGCTCGATGTAACTTCAGAAATGATAATTTATTTTTATTTTTTCAATAATAACGAATATTTTTCAACTTCATTTCATCCTTATTCATTTCTTTGGCAATTTTTTTAACAACTTTCAGTTCAAATTTTGAAGTGAATTATTGAAACTTCTCAAAATTATTGACTTTGCAGTTGTTAAGCGCCTCCTTAAGGTCATTACAAGTACGCTATTAGATTCATATAAGGACCGATCTTGATCGGTATTTTAATTCTCCGGGACAGTATCATAAATTGACATACGTTCCCTTCTTTGGGCATCCTTGAGAGACAAGTTGCATTACTGTACTTGCCATTTAAGAGCCGTTTGTTTGTTTCTATGAAAGGAAATCTTTATTCATGCACATACAACAATCTACTCTGCTTTTGTCTCGGCATCAAACTTAAAAAGAAATTGTTAGGTATTATTTCTGTGAACTTTTTTTTGTTTCCCTTCAAAACCTTAAAATTACTATTTTTGTGAGAATAAAACTCTATTTCGTGATTAATTTACGTTGATCACAGACAATGAAGAGAAGTAGCTCAAATAATTCATTCGAAAGAGAAATCATGATCTAAGAATTGTATGGAAGTATATTATGAACAAATAATTTCGAATAGAACTGAAAATGTCATTTGATAAACATGTGATCGACATTTTGTGTCGTAGCTTTTTAATGGCTCGAAGAGATCACGACAAGAAAATCTCGAGAAACATTCGCAAAGCTCATTCATAACTCATTACCGAACAATTTGTTAAAGCTAAACAGATGAATGCTGAATGTCAATGTCGTGCATTTTTGGTACACAATGTATGAATCTATATTGAAAAAATTATTATGGGTCAACATTTTATAAGTTCCATTAAAGTTGGAAAAAAAGTTATGCCTCAAACAAAAAAATTAAGTGAGTGCTAACTTTTTAAAAATTCGCTCATGTTTGATTAACGCACTTGCATGATTGATCAACTAACCGTATGGTAAATTGATTACAAATGAAAACATGTACATGTATTTGTATTTATTCAGTAAGAAGAAGAAATAACAAAGTTGAGAAGTCAGCAGAGCTCGAAGACTGTTAACGAAGCGTAAAATTATCATCGCCAATCACTGAATCAGTTGAGGGTTTTTTGAGTCACAAATTTAATTTATTTTCCGCTGTTTCAGAAGTTGTGAAAAGTTGTCCCTCTCTATGCACATTTCACATAATTTTATGACTTTCCTTTCTTCACATTATTTTTCTTAGAGGGTCTGTCGTGGGTTATTTAATTAATTTTTAAATATAACTACAAGCGGACTAGCAATTAAAAGAAATGATTCATGTGGGCATGAATCCATTCTGCTTGGGTTATTTTTGCATTACTAGGCAGAGAAAATATCTATCAGTTCAATAAACTCATTAGAACGCCAAACTGTTTGGATTATTAAAACTGTCGAACTTTTTGGTCCACGCGTATTTAGAGATTTAATGATATTAGATGTTTTCAAATAAGACCGTTGTTTTTATTCTTTTTTGATCTGAAGACTGTTAGCGAAGGTCAGAATTCTTGTAGCCTACAGGCTTACACCGCTATACGAAATCATCATTCACATAATTATCTCTTGGGGAAATATGTAGGATGATTAAATAAACAAATCAATGTATAAATAAGTTCATTTAAATTGAACCTTATCGACTATTTCATTATTTTTCATTCTGGTTAGTTTTGTTGACTCCAATTTAATACAACCTCATCTTGAACCCCAGGTAACACTTCCTTCCAATAATAATAAAATAAGTTTAATTCACGTTTTAATGTATCTTTACTTAATTCTTTATTTTATGTTTGTCTTCTGATGAAAACCAACACCGAATGACGTCTCATGTCAAATATTTCCCTTCAATTTTTCAGGAAATTAAAACTTCATTTACGGTCTGATCTGCTGTAGATATGAATTGCCAAAAATTACTTTCAATACACGTGTCATGATCATTCATGCTACCATACGTATTAATTCCTACAAAGCCTCCATTAGATTCAATATAAAAAAGAATCAAAAATCGGAAAGAAAAAGAAACGAGAAAATCAACACGACTTGTTTAAATAAAATAAATTATTCACGGTGTCGATTGTTAACTTATAAGCTTTTCAAATACGTCCTGTTATGTTGAGGTGAGTTTCAGTTTTAAAGCAGAAAGCAAGAGGTCCGGAAACAAAATCTTACCTCTTAGGAAATGTAATCGTGAATGGTAGAGAAGAGAGATATGTATATCTTTATCTTGAATGGCTTACAACGTAGCAACTTCCCGATTGTTCTGAAGTTCTGAAGCTTTGAATTAAAAATGATTTTATTTATCGCAATTATCACTAAATAAGTGGTAAATTTTATTGATATTTGTTTTGAAACGCTCAGGAAAATATTTAATATTTGGCAAGACAGAAAGCATATATGACTTATATATCAAAGTGAAGTATTACTCACAACATGAATACAACGTTTAGCAAATTTCATCAATTTTTCTTATTTAATTCAAGAAAGTTGCATGTAGCGCACAAAAACTGACTAAAACAATATCTATTTTCATAGAACTCGAACAATATTAGTCACAAATTTGCTAAACTTTATAATTTATACAAGATATAGTAATGTTTCGAATTTATTTATTGCATCTCGTTAAGTGCTTTAATAAATAATTTTCTTTGGATCGTTTCACAACATGAATTAAATACATTGAGTCGCTGTTGTCACGAATATTTTGAATTAAATGCCTATTTTCAACTTCATAATCTAAAAACGTAACTCTCGTGAAATTGGAAAAAATTTAAACGCTTGTCAATCTCGCGAATTATCGAAGAGTTTTTTTATTATATTTAAAAAATCTATCATCACACGTGCTTGCTCAAATTTGTTTTCTATAACGTTTTACATCCACAATGTTATTGGAACATCTTTTTGAAAAATTAAGCAGTCTTTTTTAAACATATTAGCAAACGTTCTTGAAACAACTAAGAGAAAATACTCGAGGGTTTGCCAAAAATATTTCTTGACACGAAAGCAATTAACATTCCTGCGATCTTAAAACTAATTTTCCATATTATTGTATTAGGGAGATGAATGAAAGTAAACTAAATGATGTTTGGACATTTATTGAGTAAAGAATAGAGAAATCTACAAACAAAATCTTCTTCCATCTGTTCAGTAATACCATCTTTCGACACTAAAAACTATTGGCTAATTTTCTTATTTTCTCATTTTTCTGTATAGAGTACCATAGACATATGTAGAAATTTTGTTGTCTATTCTTTTCCTTTAGAGCATTAATAAAATTTTATAACACACAAGACGGGAGAAAAGATTCACCGACAGTAATTTCTTCCATATTGCGTATGCAGGTTTCATCTAAAATTTTATTCTTGAAATTGTTTATGTTCAAAGGCGTAAAGAATTTATTTTTTAAGAAAGAATTGGTTGTTTTTCCAAAGTTTAAATGAAAACAAAACAAGGCATTAAATATCCCAATACATTTTGTGTGTATGCTGAAAAAGCAAAAACACAATTAAAGTGAAAAAATGCTGCAGTATTAGAACCATATTCTGAGGAATGTAGCTTAATAGTAATTAAGTTTTTGTTTTGTAGAAAATTGTTTCAAATGTTAATTGATTCGCAATGGGATTGTTGTGAAGTTTTTACAGTAGGGAAAGTTCGTTAATGAATGAATACAGGACAAAAGGACTTTAGTTTTTTAACAGTCTTGCTTCGTTTATTCATGTTTCGTCTAAATTCAAATGCTTTTCAAACTGATAATATCTAACTTTCTTTTGTTGTTAAGTGTAGAACATACTCAATATGCGCAATTCAACCAGATATTTTTGATATGAAAAGCAACAAAAGCGAATCATTTTCTTTCGAAAAATTGAAAATTGATTAGCGAACTATTAATCTCGCCTAACTTGTCCATTTTTCACCTGATGGCTGATGCATGAGATTCAAAAAAAAAATTCAAAAATATCATCAATAGCATTCGCAAGTCTATCACACTGGTGTGTGTTAGGAGATTAAAATAAAAGTAAATTTGAAAATAAGATAGAAGAAAAAAATCGGAAGCGTTAAGCAATAAATAAAGAAGAAATGTGTCAGCAAGTGATGGAGAAAACATAGATCACTCTCTTATGTTGAGCTGAAAAAAAAATTTACTGTAAGATTATATATTTTACATGTTCGTTAAGCAAAATGTACATTATGTTTATTCAGACAAGACGTGTGGTGGTGCGTTGCATTTTCATGTGATGAAAAAATATGAGAAGTAATTGGAGATCAAAATATCTTATTTAAGGCAGTAACATCGAGATTTTTTTGTTGAGTTCTGTATAAACTGATCAAATTCAAAAACTTGACAGTTACAAGTTGCTTAGAGGCAGTAAATTGAAATATCTATATTTAAATAGAAACGAAACCATTAAACTCATTCCCCTTCCATATCCGCTACAAGTGACATGATATTATATTAATGCCAACAGATAATTCAACAATCCAAGCAAAATTCTAACAGATCTTATTTTACCTTTTTGTCCATCACAGGTGAAAGAAATTATGTTAAGTAATTCAAATTATGTACACATTCCATTAAACAGCAAAGATATAAGAAGTCGCAAATTTTAATTGATGATTATCTTAAAGTTTTTGAGACCCTGATCAATTTAATTTCTTTTGAATGGTATTAAGATTCGTACTTATTCAATTTTGTTACTAAGTTTTCTCGCTTTTTTCTATTTAAATAGTTAGAAGAAAAATAAAGTTGATAAAAATTGAAAAAAAAATGACTCATAATATTAATTAAATCGTACTTTATTTTATTCCATAGACACTTAGTACAAGTTAACTGAAAGAACTTCAAAGACATTTTTGAGCTAATTATTATCATACGGACAACTGATCTCTTCTAACTGGCCATTCATTACGAGATTCATGATTTATCAACTGTTTGATGCTGAATTGAAATACAAAAAAATACATTAATAATAAAAAATCGAGGAGACGAGATTGAAGAAGAATTCTTGAAAATTTCGACGAAATCAACTGGCACTGCCAATTGAATTTTTAAAGAAGTCTGGAAAGAAAACACAGAAGAAAACACAATGGCAACAGTTCTGTTAGAAGCGCGTCCTTATCGGCCGTTCAAATCAAGCGAAGAATATTTATATGCAATGCGAGAAGATTTAGCTGAGTGGCTAAACACACTTTACCCCGAGCTCATGATTAATGTTGATAATTTCATGGATCGACTTGATACTGGTATTGCATTGTGCAAGGTAAGAAACTTAATTGATTAATTCGCATTGTTTATGCTTGAAATTTTATCATAAAAAATAATCAAAACTTCAAATTATTAATGTCCATCACCACCTGTTCTGAGACAGGGTCTGATTAAGGATCCTCATCTGATAGTCCCGGCTATCAGGTGGCAATAGAGTCTAAATGACAAATATCAGTTAGAAGAATTTTTCATAATATTATCAGAATTGTAAACTTTACTTCAAAGATTGACTACCTAATATTAATCTCGTTGATAATCTTGCAAGAATTATAAAAACAATCTAATCTCATTACTTTTCAATGCATTTCAGAGACACATTGTTATTGTTTCTATTATTATTTTTATTACAGGCTCTTATTAGCCCAAAAAAATAACAATAAACATAAGTTTTTATCTCAACAAAATAATCAAATAAGAATAAAAAAAATGTAGAAAAAAAAACTTTCAAGAAATGACAAGAACACAAATTGTGTTGTGCAAATTTTCAAAGACATGTCTTTGTGTCTTCGAAAAAATGACTGGCAGACCGCAGACATGTTTTGCAGACACGACTTCCAGCCATATTTTCGGTGTCTGCCAGACGTCTGTGGCTTCGTGTTTCGCAAACATTTTTTAACGTCTTTGTGTTTTACAAACATTTTTGAAAAACAAAATTTTTTCCTAAGAAAATCTACTAAAAGCGCTTATTTTCGCATGTGTTCTACAATTTTTTACAACTTTCAGTGAGTTTAGACAACGTATTCTATATAAGCTTGCTTCACAAGTGTGCTATAATTTTTTGTAACTTGCACTGAAAGTTGATAAAAATTATGGAACACAAGAAAGAATAAGCGCTTTTAGTAAATTTTTCTTGAGAAGTCTTTGAACATGTCTCCAAAACACGCAGACATGACTGGCAGTCATTTTTCAAAAGATGATGTCTGTGGCTGCGTGTTTTGAAGACATGTTCAAAGACGTCTTTGTCTTTGAGTTTTACAGACATTTTTTGATGTCTGTGCACAACACTGTTACACAATTATAGTTAAAAAATTATTTCTTTAAACAAGTTGCGATAGATAGCTCTTAAATAAGTTACAAAGTAAGCGCAGTAAAATTGATCAAGCTGCATCTAACAGGGATTTTAATTAACTTGAAGAATGGCTACTGTTGATGGTTTACGAGATCGTCATTCATGATGTTAACTCTCTTACTTATCACAAACTAATTATTAAAAATAAAATATTGTAATACTATGATGAGAAAAAAAATCTTTTGTCTTTTTATGATATTGCTGAATCTATTAAAATTGAACTTAAGTCTTAGATTAACCCAAAATAAAACTTACTTGAAAACATTTTAAAAATAAAGAATTTTACGCCTTATTTATAAAAATTTAAAACTCTTAACTCAAAATGCTATAATATTCAAGCAGACTGCGTTCCTTAGATCTGAAAATGCACTATCAATAAAATTTATAATTTTCTCGTTTCGTGTTCTTTACGCTCGCACACATCTAACATTAATTAAACGCATACATCTTGAAACTGATTTTATTGCACTGAATATCAACTTTTTTTGTATACAACAGAATCAGAAAACAACAGAGCATGAAACTAGGTAAAAGAAATTAAAAAAATCATTCCGGTTTCATTCATTTTATGCAGAGTTTGAAAATCTTTCGCTTGTTGAATTGTGAATTAAAGAAAGGAAGACAAAAGTTTAAGTCACACAAAAAGTGGAGTTTGACAGCAATCAAAAAAATAATTTATTTGTAAAGTTGCATTGTCAATTTTGAGAGTTGCCAAACAATTTAGCGATCCTTGACTTCAGATGCAGTAGAAAGTGAAAACAAAGTTTTGTGGAATTTTATTTACGACAAGAGTCGAGACCAAGTGTTTTTGTTTACAAGCAAAACGAAACATTAAAAAGTCAAAAATCTATTTTTAAATATGAATTCCCTCCAGCATCAAGCTTTTAAATATCAGGGAAAAAATGAAGACAGCGGAAAAGGTTTTAAAATAAAAATTGTTTACAAAAATTCTTCCCGTTGGTTTTAAAAAAGCATGGCAAAAGCATAAAAAGAATCTGTAAACATCACAAAAAGAAGAATTCATTACGAAGAAATAATTTTACAAATAAATTCAAGAGTATGAATTTCCTCATGTCTTTGATAAGGGAAAGAATAAGTCATAAAAATTGAGAACCTTGATAACGATTTAAACTCGCTTTCTTCTGCTCTTGGGATATTTTTTGCAATGTTAATTATCTTTTATCAAATTTTCGTCATAATTTAAAGCGATTTTCTGAAATCAGATTTTTTTATTTCAAGCAGTTTGAGTTGATTTAATCTTATCCAAGCCTTTTGATTGTTTGTTTCAGCGAAAAGCGAAATAAGGTTTCTGAAAACCAGTGCTGGTTTGCTGGTTTTCAGAAAAATATTATTTTTGATAAAGTGTTTATTTTTTCTATGTCAATTGATTGATAAAAAAGAAATGTCAAGCAGAATGTCATAAAATCGAGTTTTAAATGTAAGTTAAACATTTGGATATATAAAACATTGCATATTCCTTACAGTCCCTTTATATCATAAAATTATCAATGAAAATTGTATCATCAAGTGTTGATGTCTCTATAAAAGTATAAATTTATATGTGGAGTTTTATTTTGGTGGGATTAAAAAGTTCAAAATGAAGAACTTGACTCTTACAATACCAAAATTTTAGTCGTTTGGTTTATATTTTAAATGCATGAACATGGCCTATTCCGTAGTTCCTACGATAAGAATTCAACACTTTTTTAGAATATAAATTATCGCATGAACTTTTAATGTATGGAAAAATAATTATGTAGGCTTCGGAAAAATATAATTTACTAAAATAAAAAATAATACGAGAATTCAAAACAGATAAAATTAAAATATGTAAACAATAATCAAAGAATTTCTCCGGGCAATGTCTGTTATGTATGAGATGAACCAAACAAAAATCAACTTTCAATCGTATGGTTTTTGGACCACCAAGTCCAAGATGTTTAAAAACTGTGAAATAAATCAGACCATAAATAAGTTTGAAGACTTTAAAAATGATTTAACGTCTTGTGAAATTATATACAGAACTACTTAGAGTGAGGATTCATCAGAATTCTACATTGGGCATTATTCTCAGTGAGAGAAAAAAAGTCATAAAATTTGAAATGGAGACAAGAATAAGAACAATAAAAAGAATGAGTAAAGAAAGTGTAAAGTTTGTAAATAAAAACGAGTTTGATTAAATACGCTTTTAAGGCTAGTAACAAACTTCAAATAAGAATTATGCACATAATGTGAACCTAGTGTCGTTTATTTTATTATTAACTTTGCATTTCAATACTTCAATTTGTCGTTATGGGCAGGGTTGACAATATTTGAAATTGATTGTTGCATAGTTACAAAAGCAGCGACTGTTTAAGTATCCGACATTAGATATTCGTTTTAGAGTTCATCACAAAAATCTTCAATTAGAAAGTTTCTGTCCCTAAACGATTACGAGAATAGAAATTCTAATCCCCGAAAAATCTTCTTAGATGTTTACAACGTCTCGTTAGACATTCCAATGCATTTAAACAACGAAACAAAAGTTAACTAGAAATAAATTAACAAATCTCTTTTTCTAATTTTAAATTCTTGATGTGGGTTCTTAGTGCAAGAATTAATTCTAACGATATTTTCAATTAAACATTTGATGAGAGGTCATGAGACACATTCGTAATCAAAAACTTTCATTAGAGTTTCATTAGAGAATTATAATTTATCTGCTCAGCGATAGAAATTTAAAGATATAATAGTTGTTAAACTACTTGGTGAATTATGATTATCATCAATCGATTTCATCATTCTTTAAGTAACAAAAATAGCAATTGAATGAACTGTGTAATTACTTACGTCATTGTTTGTTGGTTTTATGGCTTTTTCGTTTCTTTTATACATATTTCAAGTAGGTAATTAGTGAAAGTGATTGCTATGTAGACAAAAGATATAAATTTTTTAAATGTTACGTAACTACAGTTAAACAAATAAATTACTGTTAATTTGCCACAAATGATTTTGAATTGAGTGTTTGTTGTGACTGATTTCATCATACAGAACTTCTCACATGTCATCAATTAAAAATTTAAATAATGTTTCTATTCTTTCGCACGCGACACAATTAAAAGCTACTGACAAAATATATTAGACATAACTTCATGGAGTCATCGCTAAATATTCACAATAATCATAGACAAATTATGGTAAAAAATTTTTTTAAAACAGTTTTTCGATGTCAGTCTACTTTACTTAAAAAATGTAAAGAAAATATAAAAATGTGTTCACAGTCGTCGTTATGCTTTCAACAAAAATTAAAATTTTTCTCTATATTTTATAAGTCGCTTTACATAAAAAATATAAATAGAATATAAATCTGTTCTCTTCTCTTCTTAATTATTTAAAATGCAAGAAGAAATGACTCTCTTATGTCATACAACGACGTAGAATGAGAAGAAGAAATAGAACTGTATTGAATGAAGTGCAAATTACGCTACTGCTTTCAATCATGGAACAGCATTTGAAGTTGATTTACAACGACAAAATATGCGAAAAATTTCAACGTTAACATGACATAGACGATAACAGCACTTCCGTAGTTGTTCTTCATATCACAAATTGAAATGTACGCTTCTTCTCCCTCTTCAGTTTTTATTATTGTTTGATCATTTTGAGTGGCGTAACGAATGTTTTTAAATTAATTTGCATGAAACGTGAGAATTTTTTATTTGACTACGAAAAAGTAGAAAAAATGCGTTACATCGTTTTATTTGCTTGCTTTCAGAGAATGTTAATGCTAGGCTTAACAATTATTAATTTATTGTAAGAAATAATGAAGTGAGAATAATTTTTTTATTTATTTAGTAAGACGTGTGAGTGTCACGATACTCATAAATTGAAATGTTTTAGAATCAATTTTCTTCTTATATTGGGCGACAATTCACGTGTGATGTTAAACTAAGCATATTACCAAAGGTCTCATTTAATTAAGATTTTTTTAAATTTATTTTGATGTAGTATGAAATTAGACGGAAATTCTTCATCGAAATTATTATTCAAATATCATTTTAGAAAACTTTTGCTCCCACATTTATATCAGTTGATATGTACATCGTTTATTAAATATGTTTGTATTAACATTTTCATCAGTTTAAAGAGAAAACCAGAAAGACTGTAAAAGAAAAAAATTTCTCTTTGTTGATTATTTTGTCATTTTTTTTTGTCAGCTAAGTAAACGAGATTAATACTAACATCTTAGCATCAAGTTGCATCTTTCTCATATTATCTGACATATGAGTAACATATACAAATAAAATTCAAATATGTAGATACATAAAAAATATTATTTGTTATGATGATAAATCCATCAACAAATTCATCACTTGACTGTTTCATCGAGATATCTAAATAAAAATAAAAAAGTTGCTCAGAAATGAGATTTTGAGTATGATGACTTTATTGAGCCCTTAAATACATACATAAATAAGAAGATAAGGAACGTTTTAAATGAGAATATAATCTCGAAATAAATGTCTAACATTGTTTTAGTGATTTGTTGTGATTATTAACTTATGGTGTAAATTTTTAATACATTGAATAGTTTCAAGTTTCAATAAATTATAGAATTAAATGAACGACGATTCTGCTCATCTCGAAATGTTTTAAGAGTTTCACTACGAATTAACATCCTGCAATAAATTTCAAAAATATTGCAGCTACTTCAAACATTTTACCGTTTATGTTGATCGCTTGCCGTACGCTAAATGAAATGTCATATCGTTGAAAAGATAGGAAAGACTTTCATAAATTATTCGTAGAAAAACTCGAGCGGACATGATGAAGTTCTTAAAATTTGTTAGTGCTCTCACCATCATAAATTTGTTGTTATATTTGTATTATGCCTCGTTCAAATATCTACTCTGTTTAAGTTGAAAGTCTGTTCTAGATAAAAATGCATGTTGTCTGATGTCGTTATAAAACAAATAGAATACGCGTCCTAAATACAGATTTGATTTTAAATGAAATGCTATTGTGAAATTTCGAAAAGATATTTACTTCAAACTCTTTCATTTTGCATTAGAAAAAATTGTTTATCATTTATGATTTTGTCAATGACATTTTTGGGATAGATTATTAATTGTGCTGTCTACATCTCTTGAACGTTGATCGTCACTATACACTATATACGCCTTTTTGCGCAAGTAACGAATTTATTTTTGTGTTTTTTTGCTCGATGATAAGCTTTATGTAATTTTTAATAATTTCCTCAACATGCAAATTGAAATATGTCAGAGTTCATTACTCACTCAACCTCTTGATTTCTTGTATGATTTTTATTTATAATTCTTATTTTTGGTTTTAATTTTTAATTTTTTAAGTCGATTTGTTAATCATCATTACTAACTGATGATGCCCTTACTGCGAGAATAATCACTTGGAAATAGTACAAATTATTATCTTTAGAAAAGATAACCAAGTCTATAAATATTCATGAGTAAATAGAAATTGCAGTTGAGTTAAAGTAGGAATCATTTAAGTTAACATTATTATCCAGAACAGAAGCAATGAGTTAAATAAAGGTAAAGAAAGACGACTCTTCTATAATTTCGTTCGCAAGCAGATTGTGGATAATGTTACACATCCGTAAACAACATAATTGTGAACAACGTGAATAAAAATGTTGAGAAGAAAATAAAAACTAATCAAGTAGGACAAACCTGCTGAGAACATTCCGTTCTACTCACTACTGATGATGATGATGATGATGATGAACGTGAATAAATACTAAGATAAAAAAATTGTTTTCAATAATAAAAATTGTTAAACAAAAATTCACTGATTCTAAAACAGATTTGTTGTTAAATTTCTTTGCTTCTTTGAAGCCTCAAAAATCAATTCGATATGTAATGCTTTTTATTAATTTATATGTGAGCTTTGATTGAAAACATCCACGCATTGGGTATAATATTCAAAGAGACTACCTGTTTTGCGTAAGTCGTAAAGTTTCAGAAAACACGAAACACAATAACGAATATTGGCCAAGTGTTTTCTAAAACATATTGATTTTTGCATAACAATTGTTTTGATCGATTAATAGCTTTGATAAACAAAATTTTATAATCTATTTAACCTAATGTCCAACTCAGTCAATCAATGCACGATTTTTTTGAAGTACAATTAATTGAGAATTAAACAAAAAAATTTTGAAAAACATCCCCACCTCAAACTCTTGATGAAAACCCTTGTAAAAGAAGAAAATAAGTTAAGGTTTCTCAAAATTCATTAAATTTTGTTCACTAGAATTCTCATTTAACAAGTTTGAGGGTTTGAGGCCCTCATTTTAAATAACTCACTATCTGATTTCAGGGGCTTCAAACCCTCAAACTTCTTAAATGAGAATTCTAGTGAACAAAATTTAATGAATTTTGAGAAACCTTAACTTATTTTCTTCTTTTACAAGGGTTTTCATCGAGAGTTTGAGGTGGGGATGTTTTTAAAAATTTTTTTGAATATATTTTTATTTTCAAAGTTTTTAAATGCTTGTTATGTTTCAACATAATAAGTTGCAACGAAATAAGTTTATAAATATATAAAGTCCTTTATTTTTTCTTCGCAATGTTTTTTTTTTTTCGCTGGCATGTTTTTTTTTTCTCAACAAAAAGTGTTGAAAGAACATACATACAAGTTTTTTTGTAAAGTAAAGAGTTTGGGGTGGGGAAAAAATAGAAGAAAAATATCAATATCAGAAACTTATAAAGCACAATGGTATATCCGCTTCTTTGCGATTTAGTGCAAAACCTATCTATTTAAATTAACATGTTTTCATAATACCTATGTGGAAGATCTTTTGAAGCTTCTTGGCCGAAGTTTTACCTTCAGAAATTGGAAGGTCCAAGTATTATCTATTGACTTCAACACTTACTCAGACAGATTTCATGTCTTCGAGATGTTCCAAATATTTGGCGAACGTAAACGTATCATTAAGAAATGAGATTTGGATCTCAATTTCCGTGATAATTTATTAAAATGTTCAAATTATTTTTGTCTCAAATCGAGTATTGTTAGCGACTGAATTAGAGAGAAGCAGATATTTATTTTTATTCTAAACGCAATTTAAATTTTGAACAAATATCAAGACAATAAAGTGATTAATCAAAGCACCCACGTATGTTTTAATGTTTTACTAAACAGAGACGTTGATTGTTTCTATAGAAATCAAATATGCGGCACTTGAGAATTAAATAGTTGCAAATCATTGTTGATGTGTAGAGATCGTTATCACTTTAAAATGAAGGACAAATGATGTGTGATGAGGAAAGAGAGGAGCTTATAATGAATTGAACAAATGCTGAAGGACGTTAATGTTAATAATTGAGGTAAAAAAGGGCTTTCCTTGTCTCATACTATGAACTTCATATAAACTCTCAACATTAAGTGTTGGCATATTTGTACTTCCGTCACTTAATAACAAACTGTGAAAGACTCTAAATAAAACTTTATTCAGCGAAGTACCCGAAGGGCTTTGCACTCCAAATTGTTTTGGAGACTACTAAAGTGCTCTTTCAAATTGTGTTTTATTTGGGACATGACACTTTGTTATCCTTAAATTTGAGACCTCTTAAAAATATTAATATACTTTATAATTATTGATGCTCACGGGAAAGAAATAAATTAATGAAAGTCAATAAATAAAAAGATCTCTTAGTTGATTCAAGGCAACCCCGATTTTATCATTACATAAATAAATCCATTTGTTAAATATCATCTGTCACCGATATGAAAATAATTTAGAAAGAAATTTGATGTTTTTAAGCTTCATTCCCGCATTGCTTACCCAACCAAGTTTACTGTTTGCGTGGAACCCGAGTTTTGTTATAAAAATAATCTAAAGACTCTTAGAAGATCGTGCCAAATGAAAAAAACAATGAATTGCGTCTTAATTATTTTCATTGTTAAGTGATATCCTTTTTTAGTATTTGTAGTTTTTAATCAGAAGTTTATGAAATAATTATGAATAAAACTGAGGTAAAGGTGCTATAAAAATCATGAGACACTCTGGTCGGTCGAATGCCTGCAGAACATATCATATGGCCTGTAAAGATTTTGAGCCAGTTTTCCTACTACTTCATTCTCGTACTTTGATAAATAATTTGTTTATATATTTACAGTTAAAGTTCTTCATTTCGTGGCGCAGTATGTTAAAATTATTTCAAATGATATGGAGTATTTCGCTCGATCAAAAGCAAAAAACTTGAAATTCTTCTCTCTTATTCACGTAGCTTTCATTTTACAGCTTCGTTTCTTATCAGGACGGAAAGCATTGCACGAGCCAGCTTGTTAATAATTTTGTTTATTTTTTCCACAATCCTACGTGAAATAAAAAAAAAGTTACATACAAATGTAATGTAACCCAATGCGCAGGCGTAGTCATTGTAAGTGCATGAAAAATTGCCTATATGAAAATATAAAAAATATTGTCGCAACAAAATCGAAGCAAAAGAAAAAATGTGCAGTTAACAGACCAGTCCACCTAAACTCAAGCAATGATGATATTGCAATTGCGAAAAAAAAGTTTCAGTCTCTAATGTCGGCTATAATTCATTTCGCACGGTAAAATTTCCATAATGACTTTTGAAAATGAAAGCCATAAAATGTCTAAGTTGAAAACATTAATATCGCAAGTAAAGCATCATACTTAAATTAAAACACAAGAATTAAATAGAGTAAATACCGAATTTGGTCATGTATCAATTGTGGCAAAAATTAATTATGGTCCCTTGTTTCATTAATTTTCAGAACTTTCTATTTATTTTTCGTTTTCAAAAATAATATATACAAGAAAAATATTTTGAACCTGTGACGAGTTTTGCAAAAGATCATTTTACGAGTTAAAAGACTAATTAAAAATTTCATAACAACAGCTTTTGTGTTGAAAAGTTTCTTGTCAATTATAAGAGTTATATAAAATAAAATAATTCAAAGCAAAGCATGTTAAATTAATAAGTTAGTAAGCTAAAAAAAAACAAGTGACCACTATAAATTAAAATATTAGATGCCAAGATTTTTCGTAATTATTTTAACAATATGATGCTTTTTCGTAAGCTGCGTCTTTTTTAGTTTTTTATTCACTCACATTAAAACCTTGAAAAGTTTCTCTAAATTTTCACTTAAAGAAGTTGCTCTTCAACACGTGAATTAGCATTCTGACAAATAAAGCTTGTGACAAGAACTTAAAACTTTTAAGTTAAAAGTTAAACCTAAACAATAATTTTAATTTTTTATCTTAGATTTTTTTCTTAACAGTCATCATTTAAGAAAACATATTTTCATTTGTGTCAAAATCCTCTACTGTCATGCACAAGCAAGTGCAATTTAGAGAAATACTTTGTTTATCTACAATTTAAATATCTATTTATGAAAATCATGATCAATATTTAAATTGCAATAAGCTTAATTTTCGTCTTGTGTTTTATGTTAAATAAAGATAGCTGCAGACGTGTTTTAATTTAAGCTAAAAAAAATTGATTTAATTTAAAGTAAAGTTATATCCTTAAATATATATTGACAGTGAAATCTATAGATTGAGTGCTTTTGAAAAACTTACGCTGTCACCTTGCTGGTTTTATTCACTCAAACTTGTGTGCACCTTGAAACTGTATGGACTGTGACTTTTTTAGTCTTTATTATGCAACAATCATTGTCTCTCTTATTTCTTTTGGATAAGTTTACAACTCGAAAAGAGTTTCACAAATAGATATCTGAAAATTGTGAGTTGGACGATTATTTCTATTTACATAAATTTACTTATAAATTTTTCAATCATTTTTCGATGAATCTTCCAAATACCCATTTAAAAACGTCAATTAATTCTTAACAATAAAATAAACCCGATGTAATTAAGTCAACATTAGCTACATTATTAAAGAAAAATTTACGATTCCATTGAAATTAGGAAATTGAATTGCATTAAGATGTTTGGCTTTTGTAATCAACAGCAGCATGATTGGTTAACGTAGCATTGAAATAAAAGCAAATTTTGTGCTTAAAGTCTTATAAAATGACAAAATATGGATTTGATTGGATGATTAAACTTCAATACCGATTATATTATATTTTTAGTTTAATCGAGCGATAATTTATCGAGCTGCACAATATTCATCTGGATCCTTGTGCTTTGAGATTAAATATTAAAAACAGTTAAAAGATGCTGGTCACAACTTACGATTAAATAATGTGAGTGTGGGACGATATTTGAGCTTAACTGTAACAAATCTTTCACCACTGCCTACCAGCCAATAAAGCTTGAGATTTTATGCAAATTTCAAATAGACATGTTTGTCCAAAATCGAAACATTCAACACAAAATCAACTTCCTTAAACAACTAACGGTTAATTATTTAAATTTTATTATCGGCAATGAATTGAGAATGTCAAGATGTCAATTAACTCGAATCAAGATCTCACTCATTACCATAAAAAGAGATTTAAAAGCGAAGTATTTTCTGCAGCCTTTATTTCTTTTTTTCCTTGTCAATGGTCAAGTGTGGGTGATGATTCTTTAACTTTTTTTTAAATCACAAAGAAATCCATTATACAACGGACAAGACAACGTTAAAGCTTCATTCATGATTTGTGTTTCCTTCGTGTTGCTAATTGACATGAGTGACGTAAATGTCTTTTAATGCCTCCAGAGAAGTATTTTGATGAAATAAGTTTAGCTATTATTTTAGCAACTTTTTCAATAGTCCGGCTTATAGATTATCGAAATATTAAAATAACTACGAAATTTTCTCCTTATTAACCATCTTGTTGAAAGCTTAAAAGAACATTTAATATTCTTCAATTCATTCAATAATCTCGATTGAAAAGATCAAAACCACTTCTTTTCTATTTCTGAGTTGCAAATGTTCTTTAAGCTGTTGAACTCTGGTAACAACAAAAGCACAATATCCGTCTTGTTCTCGCAATTCTTTTTAAAATTTTTCGTCATTCGAAAATCATTAAATTACTAACAGTTTATTTCTCAATAGAATTAGTGTGTCTGTTGTTATTTATTTCTTTAGTTTTACTTAAATTTTGTAGTGTATGAATAAATAACAAAGATTTTTATGATTAATGTTGTATATTTTATAATTTGTTAATATCACTAAAGGCACTACTTTGTTGCTTCTTTAAAGTTGAAACATGTATAGTTAACTAAGATGTAATTAAAATGTTAATGTATATTTATAGTGTAGTAATTCTGTTTACTCATTGAATCTTAATAAATTTCTCGAGAAAATTTTAGATCCCTATTCAGGAGTAAAAATTTGAAAACAATTTTCCTTTAAATTAATATCAATTATCTACTCAAATACACCACAAAATTTAATAATTTTGTGATTTTTTTAAGAATTATGTAACATGTTAGACATATTAATAACTATTAAAAATAAACATTAATCTCAGTCATAGCTCAAACAGCAACAAATTTATCAATGCACTACAAAATTTCAAGACACCATTTATGGAACACTCCCAATGAAGAATGGTTATTTATCAATTAGGTATTTAGATTACGATTTCAACTTGCGCACATTTCGTTGCATGAAATTTCTTTTTTCTATTAATTTTGAAGAAAATGCCTGAAAACCCTCCAATTGATGACTGAAAAGAAAAACAAAAAAGAATCATGAAAAAAGTTTTCTAGATTAATGACATTTTTTTGCTAAAGATTCCAATTATTATTAGAATAATTTTGCAAAATCCATCATTATAAATATTTATTTAGTAATGAAATTATTTAATTTAGTTGAGTTGTATCTTCACTTATCCAATAATTTTTCTTTTTTATTTTCAAACAGCATGCAAATAATGTTCGCGTAGCCGCTGAAGATTACATCGTACGTCGTCAAGCACGTCAAAAATCATTGACTCGTTCAATGACGACTGGTCTTGCCGGTCCAATTCTCAGCATGGGAGCAGTTCATTACTTACCAGCAGCAAAGAGTGGTACATTCTTCGCTCGTGATAATGTTTCAAATTTCATCACTTGGTGCAGGTGAGTTTTGCATATTAAAATAAATCATAACAATGAGAAATGATGGTAGCAATTAATTCAAAAAAAGAAAAACAAGTTTTTGAAAGATTCCAACAAAGATTGTTACGAAGCACGGAAGAAAGTAGAAAATATTGGTCAATGAAATGTCTTTGTTTTTTAAAAAAACAGATATTTATCTTTGTTTGTTCAAGAAAAGCTTATATGTACCATAATACAATAATAGTTATTAATCGAGCATTGTTCATTAATTAGCTCTAATGAGCTCTAATGATTGATTATGATGGATAATTTTTCATTCCTATTATGTTCATTCATGAGAAGTTTGTCCGGCTCATGGCAAGCCCAATGACAAAAGGTATGAAAATAGAAACCTAATACTAAAAAATAAAATAAAAGAAGTATCAAACTCACGTGGTAGTCTGTTGCAAAATATTCATTTTTCATGCTCTGTTAAGCTCGATTAAGTTATGCGGACACATTTGTTACTCAAGGTGTGATGATAAAATACTATTTATTGATTTATTTAAGTCAAACTTTTGCTTATCTGGTTTTCCTTTATTTGAAAAGGTTGGCAATTTTTTTTTATTTCATGCATAACCTCATAAGTATACACAAAAATCAAAAGAAAAAAATTATTTCCAGATAATTAAATTAACTTAAAGACAAAGAGTAAGATTCAAAACAGCAAGCGTTCATACTATTGCAATAAACTGATTTTCGATTTCAGAACATTGAAGCAAAGGAATTACCTAGTTTGCTTTTTATGCACGATATTAAGTATCGTAAGGCTTTGCATAGTTTGTCGTTATTTGTTGAGTATGCTTTTAACACCATATGATGTCAATTAATACCAATGAATGTCGGATGACAACATCATGTCGTGATTAAATTCCAATTTGTGTTTAATGTTGAATGATTCACCATGAAAGACAATTTAATTTATTCGATCAAGTGAACGTCGAACGATTGAAATTTATTTCAAACATAAAAGTTTATACAGTAAAACTTTGATAAACAGATATTTCAAGGGACACAAAAAATTATCTCTTAATCGAGGATATCTGCTTATCAAGGATTCGAGGGTGTTGAAGAAATATAAAAATATAATTTTAAGCCGACAATCCCCAATATTATATAATTTTAATATTATTTTAACTTAGCNATGTTGAATGATTCACCATGAAAGACAATTTAATTTATTCGATCAAGTGAACGTCGAACGATTGAAATTTATTTCAAACATAAAAGTTTATATTATCAAACTGTCATGTTAGTTAAACAGATGCAATGCACAAATAAATCAATCAAATTTCAGATAATCCATTCAATAATTTCACTACAAAAAAAGCAGAATTTTAAAACAAGCACTTTATAGTAAGAGTTTTAAGCTTAAGTATTTCGTTTCAATCTATGTTTTTGAATCTTTCTCTAAATGGTCGAATGATTAATCTTTCACTTAACGAAACATTTTATTTTACTAATTTGAATAACATGGAAATAACTAAGTTTCGATTTCACTATGATTTAAACAGAAATTGCCTGCAGATTTTTGAATGTTTACTTTTCGAAACTGACGACCTAATAATGCGAAAGAATGAGAAACATGTAATCTTATGTTTATTGGAAGTAGCTAGACGCGGAGCTAGATTTGGTAAGTCACAAATTAATAGAATTGCATAATAATAAAAAAAAATCATTAAAATAATCTAATCATTTCTCAAACCTCATCTATTTTAAAAAGGGATGTTAGCACCAATGCTGGTGCAAATGGAGAGGCAAATTGACAGAGAAATTGCCGCTGACAATAAAGCAAATGGTGTTTCTTTTGAAACACAAACCGATATTACACATATGATTTCAATTGGTACTGAAAACAGCTTTGATTCAGATTCAGAAGACGAAGAAGATGATAATGGGCCAATGCTGATGTATGGACCACAGCCACAAATTGTTACCAATGATTTGAAGAGCTTGGATGAGATGGTAAGTTATTTTCTTAATATTAGTCGCGGTTTCGTTTCAAATGTTCTAAGTTTGCTTCTTGATTTTTTTAAAATATGAATCAGGAATAAAAACTTTAAATCGTTTAAAGCTTTTTAAGAGATTTCCTTTCATTAAATGGGAAGATTTGTGTCTTCAAACTTCTTAATTGAAATCCTACGTCGCTCATCGTAGATATAATCGGTGAATGAACTTTAGTATGTAAATAACTCAAAAAATTTTAACTTTTGATGATGGTTGGTGATTGGAAATTAAAGACAATAAAAAAAATGAATCGATCTGCTTTTTTATTTTTCCATGTAAGCTTTAGAATTGAATTCCATTTTTGTTCCTATAATTAAAACTTACTTCCAAATCATTTAACATTTGCAACACAGCTTAATGGAAGCAAAAATTTTCTGTAAAAATATATATATATATTTATAATCGATGAAGCTTGTTTGTTGATGGTGTAATTTATTGGTTTGTTTATCTTTTGTTTCCTATTTTTATTATCGATTTTTATATGATGATCTGGTGCATGAATAGCTTCAATTCACATTAATCTATAGTCGAGAAGCATATTTTTAATGGAACATGTTCCGAAAATTGAATGGGATTAAAGTTAAATCCGATCGGTTACACCAGCCGAAAAACGAAATGAAAAAAGTCAATGCATGAGGTTTGCATCATATCTTGGTTTACTCTCAGATTTGGGCAAGGAACGTCTTGCGCTACATTGGAGTAATCTGGGTTCCACCAGCGCAATAAATTTTGGTGGACGTGATACTTCCACCAGCGCAAAAAAAATTGGAGGAAGCGATACTTTTGGTAGCGCAACACATTCCGGCGCTACTAATTCGCGCTACTTATTTCAACTAAGTACCACAAGCGCGAAGCGCAATTGGTTGCGAAGGAACCATTTTGCGCTACTAAAATGGTATCACTTCCCCTAACGTTTGCGCTATGTGGACGTATCGCAAATACCACATTTTTTGCGCTACGTGGAAGTACTGCAAAAGAAATGTCTTGCTAAGACATTTTTTGCAGTCAAGTACGCTACCAGCGCAAGACATGCCCATCTCTGTTTACTCTCATTTCTATTCTCTTACCTAAAATATATTCGTTGCGCACATGAAGTTCAGTTGCATAAATAGATTTTTACGGCATAGGACAATCAACTTTGTTGTAGTTTTATGCGCCTTTTTATTTTAAATTCTTCTCTTTTTTGTTTGAACCTCTATTGTTTCCAATTCTCGAATATCATAAAATTAAAAAAAACTTGTAAACAGAGCTGAGGGAAGACTAAGTCGACGAGACCTGATTTTTTGTTGATTATTTTTATCCAACTATTTATTCATCTAAGTAGCAAGTTAATCTGAAATCTCATTAAAAATCAATTTAATCATTCATGTTTCTATAGATTTTACATTTGAATGCATTCTTTAAAATGAAAACTAGTTAGACAATGAAAAGTAGAGAACGACGATACAGAAGAGTAAAATGAAAACGAAATGAAATTGTAATTTTGAAAAATTTTGACATTACAATTACCCTTGCATGGTAATTGCCTATGAAAATATAGCCCAGAGGTCATTGCATATGATTAAAAAAATGTAAAATAAAATTTTTGAGCATTATTCAAAATTATGCGTTAAATGAATTTATGTTTAACGAAGTTTAATTTTCGAATGTTCCAATAAGATGGTCGTATCAGAAACTCGTCAATTTAATAAAAAAAAATCTCTTAAGCCTCGTAACAGGGTTTATTTTTTTTCATTTCTATTTACATAAATGTTTATTTATTTATTAATATTATACAAATTACAAACATTTAGTCAAAATATTTTGTGATTTATCTTCATGCTTTGTTGTAGGATTAAAATTTTCTTCTCCGTCAGTAAAAATTTATTAAAATCACAATGTTTGCATATTAAGTACACGACGAGTAGTTGTCGACGACGCAATGAGCTCTACAACAAAAGTTTATAAAACTTTTAACTTATTCCTTGACTGATCAAATTATTATAAAAATCCGATAAAAAATGCTTGGAAAACTCTAGATTGCTCCTATGATCATAAATTCAACTTAATGATTGATGGAAGAAGCACGAATAAGTAAACTGACCTAGACGTGGACCAACAGTTGACGAAAATTTTGTTTTCTGTTTCATCGACGATGAATAAGCTACAACGAAAATTATACATTTCAAGTTGATTGAATTCTTAAAAGAAATGAAAAGAAAAGAGCGAATGACCTCAACCTTCATCGATTTAATTTCTGTTTCCTGAGAATTGTTTCCTCTTTTTCGCAAATTTCAACCATTAATCTTGTCTTTATCCTACAATGTTTTCTTTATTTTTATTAAAATCAAATAGCACGGAAATACTCTGTTGATCCATTAAATCCCTAATCAAAGGATAATATCATCAGTCTCGACATAAATAAAATATAGAGATATTAATTTTATTCCAAAACGAAGGTTTTTAATTTTTATTACCATTTTGGTTCTTTATTTATCTTTATAAAAACACAAACGCCCATCTTGAAACTAAGGTTAAAAACGAAGAGTATTTCTGATTCATTTCGATTTGGTCTAATGAATTGAATTCAAGATTGAAACCGACATGATGCTTGTGAAGGTCATTTCTGTAAAATAAAATGCTTAATTAAGAAAAAAAGGAAAAAACTTGTTTTGTGAATAATTTTATGGACTTTCCGGTAGCCAATTATTTCGTGTAAGCTTAACGTAAAGTATAAAAGTAGACACAATTGTCCTACTTTTTGTTACTTAGTATAAATGCTAGGCAGCCAAATCTTTTCCATTCACATATAGGTATTACAATCACATGCCAACGACTAAATTAAGCTAAAATATCTTTTAGTTAATGGAAAAATCAATTTTTGTATTGAATAAGCAACTGTTTTACTACGCAACATAATGTGACAGCATACTTTGCCACATTAAAATGGTGTATATGAACCAATAAATAATATTTCTTCCTCTTTAAAGAGGCTGCTCAAAAATGTAAATGATCTCTCCATTAAACATAACATAAATGAAAATGAGTTGTAAAATATGTCAAAATTTCAGTAATTTTTCTTTTACGGTCAATAACTGTATGTAGTCTTTTGAAACGATATGTAAATATTGTGATTCACAAGATTTTGTAATAATCCATTAAAATGATGAAAAGAAGTGAAACAATGAGCCGTTTGATGCTTTTATTTGTTCGAAAAGAAAGTTAAATGTTTAAAATTGATTATTGAATTGAAATGTCCATTTTTAGGTGAGCAATGCAATTTATTTATCCAAAGCTAAAAAACATTTACCTACGTCAAATTGTGAATTGAAAATAGTAGATTACTAGCATATGGAAAAAATATTATTCAATAAAAAATTTTAGTTCTCTCATCAGATATTTCCACTTTTTAAATAAAAATTCATTAAAATTTTTCAACTTTGGTTCATCATAATTATGTACTTCTCTTTTAAATTTTCGATAATCAACGTTAATGAAAGTTTCATCATAATTATTGAATGTATGATTTATTCTTGAGTCAGAGATAAAACCCTTGAAAGCATTTTTGTCTTTTTTATTTTATATTTATGCATATTGAACCTCTAATAAATAGTTAATATTCATATAGGAATGAAACATTGTCTGTGGATTTTACAGATAAGAATCTCAATATATGTATATAAAAATTATAAAATTGCACAGAAGTTTCATTTCACGTTCTCCTGCGATATTTATTGTGTGTGGGCTCTTAATGGATATGACTTTACAAAGCATATGTATACAAAAGTGATTATTCGCTTTAGAGCACAATGTGCTGAAAAAAAGCAATAACTTCAGATTTGTTGCACAAATAGTTTGTTTTTAAGCAGAATACTTGGATCACAAACATTTGACTAAATTTATGATCATTTGAGATGTTAAAACGTTAAATCCATTGGTCTACAGTTTGGTTGATAGACTATGAAAATGGTTATAAAACAGACTAACTGCTGACTATGATTTATGCCGATGACTAAAGCTGTCAACTCACTGTTTCACCAATAAATTTAAATCCATTTACAAGGCTTTTCATTGCTCGGTTTTGAAATCGTATTGCAACGTGAATTTCTAGTACATTGGCCAATAATGTTCATTTCAACCTGTTGTCCATAATTTTTGCTGTTAAACTAAACTAAAGATCCTATCTTTCGAAAAAGCGTTAAGACTTTATTTTTAATTTCTTTTATTAATTAATCAATACAATTAGCAAATCTACATCTATTTTGAACTGTTATCATACTTAGATATTATACTCAAATGCATAATACTTTAAACATAATAAAAAGCCATTTTGTCTAAAGTGACTCACAAGTATAGGTGCAACTTGCTCACATTTGGCTCACAACTCACATGAGCTCAACTTTATATTTAGATGGGTCACCATTTTTTTAATTTGTTTTTCGAAGCTCATATTATTATTGATGAAAATATTTAAGCATTTTAATAATTATTTTATAAATCATTTTCACAATGTAGACTACATTAAAAAATTGAAACATGATTATTGATATAAAATATTCCAGATAAATAGTAAGATAACTATAAATAAAGAGAAATGTGATTGGAAGATAAAGTTTTCGTGCTGCCGTTGCAACGCGTTGAATCTACTTTTAGAGTATACCAAGATTTGTTCAAAAGAAATAAACAGGCGCATTAGAGTGAATGATTCGGAATATAATTTTATTGAGCAATAAAATTCTAATTCAGTCTATTGAATGTTTTTCCTCTCATTCTTCCTTCACATCATCAATGATTGTGAATTATTTTCTTTTTGAGTTTCTGTCTCTTCCTCTTTCTCGTTCATTTCACAAAACCTGCAATTTTCAAATTGTGATCAGATTATTATGCATTAAATATGCAAAAAAAATCATGCTGTTCCGATTCCTTTGCTTATTTCTTTGCAGTTTTTGTAAAAGAATCTCTTCAGAAGAAAAAATTGAAAAAACAGTAAGTAACGTCACGATTTGACGAAAGTCACTACAATGCCTACGAAAAAGGGCATTGCAAAAATCCCGTTGTTAAGTTTTTGATGTAATCGAAGGAACTCTCTTCTGGTTTTGTATTGAGTGTAATAAAAGTTAAAAGAAAAATTTGTAAATCACCTTATCGAATCATATAGATCTTTTAGACAAGCAGCTATGTGAACATACTTGTAAAACATAAAAAATATTAGCATTTAAACTAATTTACATAAAATGGTTTTCACTCTCAGAAACAATTTTACAGCTTACTGAATCGTCAAAGTCACTAAAGGTTACAAATATTCACTACTAAAATAATTGAGAATTAGCCAATGAAGTCGTTTATCTACTGATTTTGTTTTGTTTTCTTTATTCACGCGCGAAACACTTTAAACTTTTCAATTTTTTATTGTTCACGATGAAGTTTTTAATTAATGTACATACATGCAGCTTAGCGATTAATTATATGTACATAAATGATCTGTGGAAACCAAATGTGTGTTTACATTTTTTGTAAAGCGAAACGCTTTCGGTATCAGTTTCAAATTATTATCATAAAATTATTGCTTGATTTCAATTAAGTAAATGATTTAATTTATACATAGTTTTATTCCTGCTGAATAATTAACAGTTTGCGTCTATCAAATGAGAATAATAAAAAATTTGATTAAAGTTTTCAATATTTTCAAAGAGTGTTTTGAGTTTTGAGAATAATTACACGAAAAAAATTGAAAACATTTTTTCACAGCATACATATTGGATCATAAGTATCACAATTAAGCAGTGCCATAGAAATTATTTAGATTTTATTTAAAAAAAAATGACATCGTTGAACGAACAGAAATAAAAAATGAATAATATAGTAAAATTCAGTCTTAAGAGACGCTTATTTATATAAAGAGCTTGAAGATAGTTTGAAACAATAGTTTACATTATTATGTAGTTTGATTGCATGCTTATATTTGTTTTTTATGTTTTAAATTATCGGTTTTGCAAGCTCAAGATTATTCATCAACAACGTGGTGACTTCAAAATCTTCTCCTAATGTTTGAACAATCGATAAATAGATGTATTTTAGTCAAAAAATATCATTTAATAAATTTTATTAATCTTTTTTATTTATGTTTTTTTTCTTTAAAGGTTCGTGATTTGGTTGAGAAATGTACGTGTCCATCACAATTCCCAATGATTCGTGTTTCTGAAGGCAAATATAGAATAGGAGACACCAAAGTGTTAATTTTTGTTCGAGTAAGTTATCCAACATAATTATTTTAGTGATTTATGCTGAATTGAAGGAGAAGAAAAAAACAATGGTCATTCGAGGTTAAAGATCATCACTTAAATAGAAAAAAAATGATCTAAGTTTTTTTTAATTTATGACTTCCACCTCTGATACCTTCTGATGCCTTGTTACATAAGAATGAGAAGCAAACAAGATTGGAAGCGCCTCTAGTTGAGACAACTATTGTGCGATATTGGTCAGCATGAAATGTTGATTCCATGCTGTGAAGTTTCCATTGTTTCATTTGATGAATGAAGGAAAAACCAAACTTTTTTCCCATTGAAAATATATAAGAAGCTTACCAGAAAAGAAAGTAAACTTTGAATTGAAAATGTTCGGAGTTCAATGAGAATGAGAACAAAACGTTGAGTCATAAAATGATGCACATTAAACTCCATTTTCATTCTTATCGAAACTTTAGCGATCGGCAAGACGATCAGCTCTCGCATTACAAACTGTTTACAGTAAGAATAGAAGATATTTTAATTCATACGACTTTTCTTTACATAAATGCTAAATTTACCATAAATTTCAACACGAATTTCAATTAGTAATGGAGACACCTGGCTATTCGTTGTTACTTTTCCTTTTACACAAACTTCATCCGATATCATTCATTCGACATTTTTACACCAATTAAATTGCCAATTGTATTTCACCACGAAGAGATATCTCTGAGTCGTGTCTCGATTTTTGTCTAACAAAGAATTGACATTATTACTAATGCGCTGTGTGTGAGAACTGAGTTTATTGCATTCTACAATATTCAATTCAATACTTAGTTAATCGTTCGATTATAACGTTCAAATCTATCGACTGCAGAACAGATCAAAGACTTTCTAATCTTGTGTAAAATCCCAGATAAACATTCCATATTTTCATAAAGCAAGTAGCTACGTAACATAAAGGTTTTATTATCAATGAAACGGGATTTAGAAAAAATAAACACGTTTTTCAATTATTTGAATGATCTATTTGACTTGGGAGAGGGTAGAAATCAACATCTAAGCCACAGATTATTTTTCGCATTATTCCTACAAAATTTCTTTCGCATTCCAGCAAAGATAGCAAGTTTTAATGTAATCAGCATTGTTCAACCTCATCGTTTTTTCATACGATGTCATTACACAGGTTTACACGAGATCGGGATTTTGGTTCTCACAGAATAATTACGAATTTTTATGACTTTTTCTAATTTATCAAGTGTATGTTTTGAATATAAAAACTTATGAAAATTGTCTTTGATGATGATTTTTCAATCAAACGAGAATGGTTGGGACGCCAACTCAGCAACATTTATGAAATATTTCAAATTTCTTTCCTTATTAGGAATGTGTATCTATTGCATTAAATATGTTTAAGTTAAAACTTAAGCCCTATAATTTCATATTGTTTTTTCTTTATGGTCATGATGTCGACTAATTTTTTCATGAAATGAAATTGAAAATCTATTTAATGGTGAAAGGAAGTCTTGGGAAACTGAGCATTCGATGACTAACAGTTTTTTTCTTGTTTCGTTCGAAGTTGAAATTGAAATAGTTAAGTGCTTTACAGCGCTGCGTCTCTAATTTTTCACTAGTCTTCGCAACTTTTATAAAGTTAAAGGATATTCATTCTTCTTCAAACTTTTTACAAATAGATTTTGAGATCGCATGTTATGGTGCGTGTTGGAGGTGGATGGGATACACTCTCACATTATTTAGACAAACACGATCCATGTCGATGCAAAGCTCAACATCGAACATCTGTAGCTGCAAAGTTGTTTACACGAACAAATCAACAAAATGGCATCGAGTTGCACAAAGCTCAAGTTGTGTATGAAAGGTGAGTCACGATGATCTTATCAATAATATTGCAATACCAGTATAAAGCCTTAAAATTTGGTTTGAAAAGCCCTCAAAGCATTGCGTAAAAGACTTTTTCTTTTTATTTATTGCCTTGCAATAGCGCATACGTTTATGTTTGTAAGCGCGCATTCAATTGAATCAAATATGTACTGAAGAAAATAATATTTTCTATTTGTTTTCTTCTAAATGATGAAATGTCACAAATTAAATGTTATGCGCAATTTTAAAGAGGATAAAGTAAACGACATTAAATACGAAAAATTATTTTTAATTTCTCTCCTCTAGAGTGCGCAATGCAATTAAAGCAAGATTTTAAACGTGCTTAAGTGTTGTAAAATCTTTATCGAAGCTAGAATTTCTGCTTAAAGTACAGGGGATATTTTCTCGATTGAACGTGGAAATGTTGTATGAGAATTTTAATTTTGTTTAGGTGATACAATGATGAACGGAAAAAAAATCGAATCTAAGATCATTTAGGAACGCTGACTGAGAGGTTCAATTTGCACAATCACAAAAAAAAGCGTGACGCTCTCAGTCTAAAAAATTGAAATAATGATATTTGCATTACATTTAAGCACCGTTTTTTTACTTAAAACAACGATTTTCTCGATGCAGCGATATTTTTTTTCGTCATTTTCAGCATCGTTATATCAAGATTCCATTATACTTTTTATGATTAATTAAGTTACCTCCTTTATTTATATTACGCTTCCTTTAGATCACCGTCAGCATCACGAAAGTTTTCAACTGGAAATATGGCAGCGTCATCGACTGCTGTGGGAAACTTACAAACTAATGAAAATTTGTCACTGCCAACATGTAACAGAAGTCGTAGTAGAAGTCCAACTGGGGAACGTAAGTCGAACATAACAAGCCATACCCCAGAGCCTAGTCAGGTAAGTGCTTCTCGATCTCTTTTCGTAAAATGACCAAAAAAGTATGAAATACAAATACAATTTTTTTTAATTTCGACAGACAAGCGAGAAAACGTTTTTGACAGCATCACAAAGTTTTCAACGTCGCTCAATGTCGCCAAGCCCTCGACACTTGACTGACATAAGAAAGAAGCAAAGCTCTTTGGAGATCCCACAATCAACAATATCGACACATATCTCATCTGTTCAGATTCCACTTGCGCAAGATGACCCAGTGCTGAGTGATTTAGCGAAAATTGAAAGCACCTCAAATGGAACAACAACCAACAACGATGGAGCTAATAAATATGAGAATGCCAGTGATAATGGAAGTGAGATCAGTGATGAAGGTTACAGATCATTGGGCATCGTGCAATCAAATAACGCAAAAAGAATTTCACTTCATAGTCAGGTTTCGAATGAAGATGCAGAAGCTTTTGGCAAGATTATAAATAAATTAAATTAACTCATGAACGAAATATAAATTTTGATTTAATTAACAGGACGTCATGATAGAAATTCACCTGAAATAATCACCCCAGCCAGTGATGAAGTAACATTAAGTGAACCTAAACCCCATTCAACAATTCTTTTTGAGAAAACTGTTGATTCAATTAAAGAAATCGAAACGAAATTTGAAAAATCAGGAATTGTGGTTAAAGACAATGACATCAGTGTTGATATTGCTTCAATGACTGGTTTGAGAAAGACTGGATTCTCTGAAGTTTTGTACGAAGACAATCCAATTTTCGCTGTGAGAAAAGGACCACAATCAAGAATCCCAAAATCACCGATGCTAACGCGGCGTAAAAGCATGGATAATTGCAGTACATTCATGACTCCAGAAGAAGAAACATTCGGAAGAATTTCAACTTACCGTTCAGTTCGTAAACCACAAAAACAAAAAGAACGAACCTCGTTGAAGGAAAACACATGGAATGGACGATCATCAGCGACTCCTTCAAATCAAACAAAGAAAAGACCGATAATGACGTCAGATACTTTCAAAACGCCATCACGAACAGCTTCTCTTACTAGAAATACGCCAACAAGATCATCAGCACAAGAATTTGATATAAGAACGCGCCAACGACCTTCAACAAGAACGTCATCATCAGTAAATACATCGCCTAACAAAACAAACAATAGCAACACAGTACAATCACCGTTGGCACAACAACTATTAGAAGCTGCTGGAAAAGCGAGAAACGATGCACAAATTCTCATCAAAATCAAGCAAATTCTTAACGATTATGCTTCAAAGAATAAAATAAACGGTGACTTTGATGATTTCACAACAACGTGGGTGAATAACAATGGGCTTTTGGAGGATGCCATTGATGAATCACTTGTTAAATCTCAATCGAACAGAAATTCAAGTATTTCTACGTCATGCGAAAGCAATCCGACAGCAACGTCATCAGGGGATCTTCCTGTTTCTGCTACTCTCTCACCACGACGTAGTAATAAAGGAATGTCGAAAATTCCAGCACCGGTTCGTTCCAATACCGGATTGTATTGACAGCGATCTTCATCATTGATTTGTAATGGCATGGGAAAAAAATAATCTTTTATGACAGCATTTAATTTAATCCGTAAGGTGAGTTATAAATGATGTTATAATTTTGTAATATCATTGAAATCCGTCCCGCTACCATTTATGCTATTCAATGTTGGCCTAATTATTAAATTAGTATTTTTTTCATTAAGTCAGAGCTCTCAGTATAAAAGATTTGTAGTAGAAAACAATTACATAACATTCTGTTGTCTCTGTCGACAAGCTTTCTGATCTTTATCGAAAAACCATTTGAGATCATTCGATAAACGATTAATTACTGTGACTTCAAATTGTAATAAGGAAAGGAGCTAGTTTTGTCACTATTAAAAAATCTCAATTAAGATAATTCCATTATAATCGATTGAGTTACATATGTTGTTATTGTCTTTTGAATATTTTCTCATTCAATTCATTAATGGGTGGAGTTTGGAATTAATTTCAATGAAAATTAACTTTTTTACTGAAATCTTAATTTAAACGACTTCATTGAATGCTGCCGCTTACTGACAGTGAATCTGTTCTGTTCAAGATCAATTAATGTTTGAATTTATAAATGCAGTTGTAAATTATATTCAGTCCTCAAGCAAATTTGATTATCTATTACTATATGAATGAATAAAATTATATCTTTTTTATCTTTTTGTCGTTACAGATTATGCAAGAGATGAAAACTAAATTATTTTTAAGATATTTTAAAATGAAATAGGAGTAGAAAATTGATTAAAGAATAAAGTGTTGCATTAATTGCAATTCATCTAAGTATGACACTAACATCTCGAGAGAGTTTAATTGCATTGCAAAGACAGAAAAGTGCAGTTAAGTGAATGATAAAATGGCAGGGATTTAAAAGAAAATGACATAATTGAATGAAAGCAAGGATTGTAATTGTATGCCTCGAACGGAAAACATGACAAAACACTACGGCGAGTGGCGAACGTTTTATATTTCACATATTTTCTCACTGAATACATGTGAAGTGAAACTTTTTCCTTACCATGTTAAACTATGTGTTAATGGAAAAATTATTAAGATTAAAAAGCAAAAGAAAATCAATTAATATGATTATCAATTATTATTATTATTATTATTATTATTATTATTATTATTATTATTATTATTATCTTCATACAATGTTATTGAAACATTTACTTTTATATGCCTATATAAACAACATGAATACTATAAAAGCAAACGATACAGCAACGACAACATGATGGATGCAATCGTAAAGTGATAGTTTAAGTTCCAAATCTAATATTAATTGATTGAATTGAATTGGAAGTATAAGTTCCCATTAAGTTTAAAAACAATTTTATTTGAATGGTTGTGTAGATAGGCTTGAAAGAATTTTTCAGAAAAATGTATAGACTTTTGAAATTAAAAAAAAAAGATGAAAAAACCTAAAATATATGGTGCTTTTCACGCATAAATACACTTACCATGTTTTCCTCTAAGTCTTTCAATTAAACTTTCTTTAAAAAAGCAGAGTTTGTCTCAAGGGCTTCTTAATCGCTAATAGTTATTTCCGTAAGTTGATCAGTGTACTGCAGTGGCTTAAAATTATTAATGATTACGAACTGAGGGAGTGATTGAAAATTTAAATTGTATTTAACCGAACAATTGCTCTCAGTAACAAAAAAAAGTTGTAACAAAATATTTTCGACAGTATCAGGTTCAGATTAAATGCCCACTCTAGATAGAAATTTATTGATAAATTTTTTGTTCATCAAATGAACATTATATCGAACGAAAATGTTTTTTTTTAAGAAAAGTATAAACAAAATGATTGCAGCCTTGATATGAAGAAAAAAAAACGTGTAGACTATGAGGAATGTATTACCTACATATTTTTGTCTAATTAGATTAGACCTCTCCTGTAACCAATTTAATCTTAGAAGTTTTATAGCTTTTATCATTCAAAGACTTTCCTATAAGAACTTTTCTCGGACTGGGGACCAGTCCTGACCTGATGATGATGATGAACTTTTCTCGGAAAAATTCTGCCACATAGTTTATTTGACATCTTTAGATAGTAAGAAAAATATTTTTCTAGGTTTTCATTCACTTCCAAATTAACATAGATCTACATCTTAAAACATATTTAACACATAGGAAAATTAATATCTTTAATATTGAAATTTTACAGCATAAATGACATTTTATTTTATTTTGTTATTTCAAGTGCAATTTAATATTTTTAAATATAGTTCTTTAAGTTGATTTTTTATTTTCATAAAAGGCTCCATTAAAAAGTTATACCTAATTAAATCGAAAATATGCATGAAAAAAATATCTGATAAAAACAATAAAATTTTGTAGAAATAAATAGTTTTCGTATTTTATTTGTCATGAATATTGTTTACAGAATAAAAGAACGTTCCAGAAGCGACCAAGTCATGAAATTCATCCAATTTAAATCGATACATCAAATATTAACTGAACTTTCTGTGTGTTTTGGGAAATGATATTTCTGTTGTTTTTTTATTGATCAATTTAAAATTGTCTAACCAAATCAGGCTTCAAGGTTATTGATCCTTGGTTTCACAATGTTTTTGCTTTTTTCTCTCGAATTCATTTGTTGGAGAATCACATAGAATAACGAAATAATTGTCAAGGTCTTCTTCACAGCCTTGCCATATTTGGAGACTCCAAAAAAATTAAATAAAAATGAAATCGAAGAGCATGTTTTTGATGTTATTCGTGCTTATTGTTCAGATATTAGTGAACAAGATAAATCTAAACAAATCATTTTCATCATGGAAATAATGACTTGCGGGCATTTTGGCAACTTCGGAAGTACAAATAAAGCCGGTAGAGGAAGTTTAGCTTTTGAAAGGTTTTTATTTATGTACTTTCTTTGTTGCTTTTTTGAAATAGTAAACTGGAAATCAGATATTTTATATTCATCAAGAATACGTTTATGGTATCATCAAGAATATCAAATAAAATTATTTTTCGTTCAATTTAAATTTACATAAAATTTATCATATCTAATTCAAGTGAGCCATAAATGTAATTCGCATTTTATGGTTTGTTTGCGTAACCTCTTTGCAAGTTGCAATGGATGTTATTCAAAGATTTACTAACAATATGCATTGCGGAGCAAAATAAAATTATGATAGTAAAATTTATGTAAGAAATAGTTTTAGTTGGCAAACAAAGGAACGGAACTGTCGATACATTTTTTTTCCTTATTTCGTCATCTGTTCTGATGGTCACTGTTATATACAGTTACTTCGAGAACTAGTAACACTTCTCGCGAATTGCACAGTGGAACTTTGATAAACTGATATGTCAAGGTGGAGAAAAAATATCAGTTTATCGAAGTTATTATTTTATCGAGGCATCAGTTTATCAAAGTTCCACTGTAAAATAAATGGAAAAAGAAAAAAGATTTTTTCTCAACCGTCTATCGAATTTCCTTATATGGAAAAAAAATAAGCGTTGAGGAAAGAAATAAAAAAAGTCGTTGATCGGATGAACTTGGACTCTTTTAAGAACTATTTCCTTTTTCATTCCTTTCACACATTTTATTCTCTGGTGATAATTAACGTTCACGTTTGAGAAAGATATTGAGATTCATTAATTTTGCTATTAATTGCTAATAATATTGAAAAAGACAGAAAAGATAGTCGAAGATATTTCGGAATCTTAAAGCCGAAATTGCCGCAAATAATCAGCTGTGGTGAACTTTACACGTTTTCTTAATTGGCTCCTTTTATGGTAATCAAAGTGAGTTGTTTTACAAGGAAGTTGGAAGTTGTAAATTTGAACGAAACCAAGATCAATAAACATGAACAAGGACCAATTCCAACCGAAAGCGATCAATCTTGAGGTCTTTGGACTGATGATCACGTTTAAAGATCTTTCATCCATTATGCATTCAGTTGTATAGCTTGCAATACGATACTTCAAACCCTTAAAAGGAGTGGGCAAAAGAAGTTGCTCGCAAATCAGATGATCGTTTAAATTGCTAAAATGATTATATAAACGGGAATGCGAAAGAAAAAATTGCAATACCTGAACATTTTTATTATCACGTCAGACTACAGTTGAAATGTAGTCCGCTATGGTGTCATTAAGTAAATATCAGGAAATGATCTATGTAGGTCCAATGAACTAATCTGTAACATTTTTCTTTAAAGAAGTTTTCAAATCACTAACAGCATTACTTGAAGCCTTCCTTTAGAGTTCAAGTTCAGGTTGAGCTCGAATTTCGAGTTTGCCATAAACAGAAAACGCCAAGGCTTAGAAACATTTATTTTCAAACTTAAAATTCAATTATTATATTTGTATTTGAATGTCTACGAATATTGTTAGTGTCTCAGCAATTGAGCGCAATATATCAACCTACGTATTGTACTAGGTAATTCTTTGTACAGAAGACGAAAAATAAATTTATTTCATAATCGTGAAAAATCTTTTAAAATAAATTAATTCATATGGTGAACAAAAACCGCAAGTCTACATTCGAGTAAAAGTAAAGTAGAAAATAATGAATTATTGCTAACGAAATAAAAACTTTCGCATTGTTTTAATTTTGCTTCTATCGTTGTAATTACTAACGAAAATAACGCATTTGAATCATGAGTGGAAACCCTCGTTAAAAATGCATCTTCCAAAATTGGTAAAATACTCCTTTTGCGAATACATATGTATTGCCTTGAAATGCTGACATGTCCTTTAAAACTAATTTTGATACAAGCAATGAGATGATCATACTCTTCCTTTTTCATATCAATTATCAAAAACATTTGCACAATAATTCTCTTCTAATTTAATTATTGTTGCTTAAAAGGCAAAAAACTGTTAAAGTTTCCATCGTTCAAGTGACTAATTTGAGTTGTGTTGTTTTATTTTTAGAATCTTTTAATAGTCAAACTATATCTGGAGTTTTGTTCCTTTTAAAGCCATAACGATTGACAACCAAGTGATAGATACTCTATTTTAGCACTTATAAGAATAGAATGTAATGATCTACATTTTACCAATTACTGATTTCCAAACTGTGATCGTTAATCAAGATATTAGAGAATGCCTATTAATGTTCATAATTATTGTTAATTGACTAATATTGATCACTTTTAGTGTTTCAAATAATTGCAATACTTAAGGTTAAGTTCAGAATTTTCGATTCATGATAATGATTTTCTGTACGTCATCTTTCTTCAATTATTTAACAATTTTTTCAGCATGTGTTATTAAAATCTATTGTTGTTTGATATCTTCAGACAGCACCATTATTTCATAAAACAAAGCAAAAAAAATTGAAGAATATATGAAAGGGGAAAGAATAACAACTTCATTTTATAATTCCAACTTAAATGTTATTCAAATAACAAAACTTTAAGTCTATGAGTGGTCAAGAAATACCTATATGAGTCAACGTTATATATATTAATATGCAATTCAACCTACCTGTATGTATGATGAACAAAGAAGTTTCAATATTAACAACTTCGGTAATGAATGAAATTTGAATATTAGGTACTAAATATTCAAATTGAACTGTATTTACTTCCATTTTTTCAAAACGAGCATTTTTAGTAAGAATGTTGTTGAAGAATTAAATACTGGCTCTATATCTGTAGGAAAGGAGATTTTTTATTCATTTATTAACTTTGTACAGCTCAACAATTCTGAGAAAAAAATTAAAATGGAAGATGGCGCCACTTAGTATTCAAAACACTCAATTGGTAGACAAGATAGTGACAACAGAAACTTGTAGTAACCTAATTCTTTCCGTTACAGAAGTTTGTTATACATTTATATTTCTTTAAAATGTATGATTCAATTAAGTAATCTCATTAAATTTATGCAGTTTAATCTAAGAAAAGCAAAGGTTAATAATACCATACCTTATAAATGATTCGATAATTATTTTAACTAAATAAACAACAGACTTCGACGAATAACTACTTCATTTTATTAGAGGATAATTTATTTCAAAATCATAATAGGTACATATATGAAGGTGGTTTTGCATGTTTTAAATTCAAAAAATGTTTCGGTAATGTAGAGAAGTAAAAAATAATACTTAGAGCCAAAAGCAATTAGATAGATTAAATAAGAAATGCTGAGCACTTGCTTTATAATCCACATCAACATGACATTCAATCTTTTTTCCTTACCTAATAAGAACCGACCCATTTGGGTCTGACCTTTGTTTGAATTTGCGAAGAAATCCAAGTTTCGGGAGTCTTGAATCGATTAAAAAGAAGAAGACTTAATAAATTTCTTCTTGATAATCCCAAAAATCCTAATGTAGCTATTCCAGACTGTTGGATATATAATATCCTAGATACGAATATATTATTATATCACTAATACTAAATAAGATTATTCTCTATAAAAGGAGAATAATCTCTTTACAATATTTAATTAATTATTGTCTATTAAAGAATTAACATCTAATTTACAATAATTAATTAATAGTTAACTCTCAAACAATAAAGATATTAATTCATAACACAGACGAGTAGACCAAGAGATCGAATTCCACGACAAAGAATAACAAGAAACCAAACAATAACATTGAAAGCAAGTTGAAATCGCATTTTCCCATCTTGATTTGTTGAAGCATCTGAAATCTTTGGAAAAAATAATTTGCAATAATCGGCGATGTTTTCTGATAATCTTTTTGAAAACAATAATTCTAGCTTCGATAATTTTTGAAACGTTCTTGCCACCAATATTAAGTGAATCAGATGAAATGAATGCTGTCTCTGAAAACATTTGTTTAAATTGCTTCCCATTCCCTTCTAGGACACTAACCGTTTATCTATCTCTGAATTACTAGGCCTTTTGAGCTCTCGAACGGACAACAGGCTCTCGAACGGACAACAGGCTCTGAATCGTACAACAGGCTCTGAATCGTACGGCCGAATTTGCAGTGTTTTGTGAAAAGTGGGTCGGTCGCCCGGCGGCGAAAAATTCAAGCAGCAAATCATAATAGTTCCTCTATTAAAATAAAGATGGCACTTTTCCAAAGGAGATATATGAATTGAAATTTTTTTGAATTCTCAGACGAATGTAGATATATATCATAAAATGTATTCTTGTAAAAATCGTTAGAGATTTGATAAGATTTGAGTCAAAGCTGAAGCAGCCACTTAACTTTAAAAGGATAACAAAATCTTAGGAAAACTATCACATGAATGATGGTTGAAATTTTGTATTCATGCTTAGATAGCTTGGTTATCTGTGTCGATAAAACAAAATTTGCCACAAATAAAAGCATCAAAATAGATTAAATTCTAAAATTTTTATTGTTCTTTTGGAATGTGTTTACATGTGTATATATTATATTGAAATAATTTTATGTTTCGGGTAATTGAACATTATTAAATAAACATTGAGATTAATAACATTAATAATTATCGTTACTAAATATAAACTTCTGCGCAATACAGTTTGAACACCAAAATTTAATCATTAATAGGCCTTTAAAATATTTCACAATTTCACTTAATCTTTCTTGCAAACAAGGCTTTAAATATGTACCATAAAAAAGCTACTCAAAATTTTCTATATTAATTAAAATTTAAATTTGATGTGTTTAAATATCTAATATAAAATATCATTTTTGGTTTTATAATTGAACCATAAATAGTTCTTATTACTGCAAGTTCACATAAAAAAGAGTTCAGGCATTGTATGTCGTTGAAAGTTTTTTTAGAAATTATAAAGTGTTTTAAAATATATCTTAATTTTTTTCTTAGATTTCAAAGTGTGCAAAATTTATTCAAATAGATATTTATAGAAAAAAAATTACAGGTCACGGAGTGTAAAGTACGTTAGTTCTTCAATTTTTTTAACTTCTGGCTACTATATGAGATCTTTAAAATTTATGATAAGTAAAAGTTCTCTTCTTTAATCGTAAAGAATAAAAAAAATTAAGACGGAAAATTTATTTTGTGGTCTATTTAAATGTAGATTTTATTTTATTGATGTAAGTGGAGTGTTTAATATTTGTCTTCACCTATAAATTTAAAATTTAAAATTTGTCATTAAATTTTCTCACCCTGAATTTTCAATTTATTAATATTATATATATAAAACAATATTAAAAGGTTTTCGGTCTTTTTATTCAATATAGTTGTAGCAACAAAAATATACATCTTTATAGTAAGATGTTAAACGTTGACCACAGCGATGTTTTTAAGAATTTTAAATGCAAAATAAAGTGGGAACAATGAAGAAAAATCTTTGAGGTATAAATGAAAATTTCTGAATGCTCCATAAGTAGATAGTTTAAGCTCGACTAGATTATTCTTTTACACATAAATTTAATGCGTGTGCTTACTTAATTCTACTATTAGTTTAGTTTTCCTTCACAATGATGTTAGTGTTTTAATCTCAATTTCGCCCTGAGACTACATAAAAAGATAAAATAAAATGAAATTCCTATTTATATCTTCTATGCAGTCTCTGGTCTTTCTGTTTAATAGTTGATTGTAGGCTAAGTTTAATTCTTGAAGATCTTTGATCCATTTAATTTCTAAAACGAATAAACATTTATTTATTTTTCTTCCTTATTAAATCACAGTATTCGAAAGAAGACAGATTTTTTATATTTCTTTTGTAATGACAATGACACTAGAGAATAATTATGTATTTCAAATTTGAATGAAATTCGAAGCATTGATGACGCGACGCTTTGTCATCCTTTCTGTTAATTCCATTCCTCTTTCATTGAAATTTGCATGTAAATATNGTCAATGATATTAGTATAATGTAGAATTCCAATAGAATATTGAGTTCTAAAGATTCTGATTCATTAATTTTACTGTTTATTTTGCGTGAATTTTCCCCATTATTCTTCATACATAATATTTACGATTAATGTGGAATGAATGAGTGAATAAATATATTTATTTTCTATCAGTGTTGATAAAATGTGATGAAGATGCAAAAAGCAAAAATTAAAAGTTATATATATAGAAATATATTTTCATCATCTTGGTCATTATGATTAGTAAATATATATTAGAAAAAGTAATTTCAATCTTTTTTTTTTTCATCTCGACGACATTTATAAAACACATTGATATCATTCATAATTCCTTAAATCACAAGAGTTACACAATATAAATATTAAAATTTCTTTACTTGATTTAATACTAATAATTTCTTTACTTGATACAATAAAAAAATTTTGTTTAAAGCTTGAGTAGAGACAGTACAGCAATATTAAGTTTATGCCGTTAAAGTTCCATATGTTATTTATGTTTCTTTATTTAAAAGATATTTTTTGTATACTGATGATAATGGTGCTTACAAATTTATCTCTTCGTTTGATAGAAAGGTTGAAGGCCATTATTAAAACATAAGTAAACCTCTATATTTTGGACACATTTTGTGGCTTTCACTGTCAATGAATTTTAAAGTAAGAAAAATTCCCGTTTATTTCATTGATGTCAATGACTTCTGTATGTTTAGAACTATATATAAAATAAAGTCGATGATGTTTGCATAGAGTTTAGTCTCATTTGTATAGAATAGTTTAAGAATATTTTGATTGACGATTTTTTTTGTTGGTTTTTCTCCATGAATATATGTATAAGCACAATAAATATGTGTTTTTTAAATTTGTTTTAGTTCATAATTGATTTCGGTTCAGTGAGGCGACAGTTTTATGTCGTGGAATAAATACATCATCAAAAACTTTCACTTAGGTAATTACTTTTTTCTTTTACCTCATTAAAAGAGATTGTAATATTGAATACAAGAATACTGACTTATAATCTTTAATTATAGTAAATTTAATGATGATGCATAAATATATTAAGTCTAAAATTTTTGAATTTTTTTTTTCAAAACATCTACATATTTTTAATTTATTTATATGTGTCACAATAATTCTTCTCCTTTATTTTATTTAAGACGTAACACGAGCTTTTTGCTTTCGAACAAAATCCAAAGCTTGTTTATCGAGGATGCGAGTTTCGAGTATTTGCAGAATCGGATGATCTAGAATGAGTCATGTTAAATTAAGTTAAATACTTTTCTTTCTTTCTATACATATTTATTATTTAAAACTCACGTTTATCTCTCTGCTGCATTAAAACTAAATCTATAGGTTTTAATCCATGGAAGTTGTCAACACCCAAATTAATATCAGCTACTCCTGGAATATTGTTTAACGAAAGAAAAGCTTCACCAGCAAAATCATTTGCCGTAATAACATCATGGTCCATTACAGTAAATCCAATCATTGCAAATTCATGTGTGCATTGCTCCAATGTTATCGTTCCAAATTCAAAACATTCATCAAACACTGGATTCAAAGTTTTCTATAGATAAATGAAAATTATTATCTGACAATTTGGACGAGAGAATAAGTTTGTGTATCATACACTCTTTATTCTATTTCACTCTTTATTCTATGAATTTCCAAAATGTAATGTAATATGAAATTTATAAATCAATCTTATCAATGTTGAACTTAACAAAATGTTCCACATCTAAATATGTTCATACATACTTATGTATAATAATTACAGAAGGTTATGATACCCCGGTAATAAATGGAACAAAATTTTTTAATTTAAAACATATTTAAGTTGTAATTTGAGATTCCTCAAGACAAAAGAATATCCTATCATGTGCCGTTTATTTTATTAAAAAGAAAACAGATTAATGACTAATGTTCCTTTTTCATTACCTTATGAACGTGGGTTTGTTGCTCATTGCAATGAGAAAATATACGACGAGGCAGAAGTTCAACAATCACAAAAGGATCACTAAAGCCATTAGGATCTAATGGGATTACATTGGCTGGTCTCAATACTTCAACACACAATGAATCGTGATTGAAATACGCTCGCACTGACAATATTCCAAATTGAGCTGGGACGTTTGAATTTTGTAATTGGATCTGTTCATGGAGTCGTTGAACGTAAAACATGTCAATCAAGCGTTCAGTATCAGTTTTGTGATATTGCAAACGCTGCTCAACACGCCAATAATCGTCGCTCTTTATAGCATCATGTGTTAAGCCAAGACCTTCAGCATGAATAAATTCAACTAACATTAGAAGTGCTTCATACAAACGGTCATGAAAATTTGCAGGCTTTTCACCAGCAGAGTCCATTTGATCGGAAAGTTCCTTCAATATTAATAGCCAGATGATGTGCAACGCTCTATGAAAATTTTTGGTCAAAAGGGCACTATTCAGAGCCGAAAGATGTAAATCGAGATATTCCAATAGTGGAACAATAGCCTGAGTTGCAGGGAGGGAATCTGGTGACCAAGCCTGTGCAATAAAAATTAGTTTTTTTGTGAAATGAATTTAATTAAGTTAAAACTTACCAAGTGAAAAACAGATTTCTGCAATGGTGCCTGCATTGTTTGGCTTATCTTATTCATAATCCTTTCAGTTGTTCTTTCAAGTTGCACAAGCGTATTTTCCAACATATTTTCATTGTTTAGTCGAATGTTTTGCAGATTTAGATTCTGATCGTTCGAACGAAACTCCGATAATGCTCGCCTTACATACTCTAAATTATTCACCGACACGCAAAGTTCATCGGATATTTTAAATGGTCCCTGCTGTTCATAATAGCCGCTATCTATGAGACTTTGTTGCACTAAGTCACTATAATGGAGCGCAGCTGAACCAGCTGAGTCAATTAATTGAGCTTCATAATGAACACCCGTGTTGTTATCAGGCCACGCTAGTAACCGCCAAAACTCTTTTATTTGATAAATACAACTTGCTGCGTCAACTGCTGATGTACTATGACGGACAATTTTCTCCCCTTCACATATTTCATCCATTGTGATAGCAGTTCGAACTCTACTTAGAGCTTTGTTTTTACTTACAGCAATCCATAATTGTATGATTGAATCAAACCACAAATGGTAATTTTGCATTCCCAATGGTTTTTCAGGAGGTTGTGGTGTGACTGAAAGATGCTGTCTTAGATAAGAAAATTCTTGTAGAACAAAGTAAAGTTCAAAAGGTTGTGTATCGATAGGTTCACGACCCTCAAGAATCGCATATTGATTGGATGGTGCCCCAGGAATTTGTCCGCTTTCCATTCGTAATGAAACTTCCTCTGCCAACTATTTACAGATAAATTCATAAGTGAAGTAATTCAAAAAGGAAACAAAAAACTTTTCCAAACTCACCATTTGGTCGAACTGTTTATATACAATACTAAAGTATTGAACTCCATTCGTGCTTGTTGTTAAGAAAAAAAAAATCATTAATACTAATCATTAATCATTTTAATAAAGAATGATAAAGACAATAGGAATGATACACATACTTATCAAAGATGGGATGATAATAAGTTAATCCAGTTTGCAAATCAGCAAGAAGTGTTGATGTGAATTGAACGAGTGGATTCTCCGTTCGATGAGATTCACGAAGTTGATTTTGTGCCCAAAGAACTGAACCTTTTCTTAAATATGTGACGATTTCACCACGAACACCTTTGTTGAAGGGACAAACTTGACGAAAAGCACGCATTGATCCAAGTAAGCCTAAACATCTTAAGAGAAACTCTAACCTAACTAGCGAGGGAGGATGAAGGGCTGGGAATATATCACGATGTCTACGCATTTGATTCAACGATACTTCAACAAACCTTGTCATTGATTTCGCAAGCCACTGCTCCAATTCATGACCTAATGGTTCAACTGATGCTTGTACCCAAAATCGATCCATTTCAATCATTAATCTATGGATAAACTTGGGATCTATTGGTGTTCTATTGTTGAGAGTTATTGCAGCAACGAATCGTGACATTGCTATTTGAAGTTCTGATAAGTCAGCTTGTACTGACATCTGATGGAGAATTGTCAATGCACATCCTTGTATGTCACCACCCCAACTCCAACTTGGTTCGTGTGTTGAAATTTCATGAGACATGAATACAATATAAAGACGTTCAAGTTTACGAATTTCTATGAGAATATCGTCTTCTGATTGACCATGATCGTCTCTTGTCGAAAGCCACAGTTTGAGTCTTATTCTTCCTTGAACGTTGCTTCGATGACTTCTTCCTTCAAGCTTAAACCAACCTTCTAATCCTGTCGATGGAATTTCCTTTTTTTATGAAAAATTACACTCATGAGATATGAAAAATCAAAAAATGAAATTATTTTTCACATTTACTGAAATCGGAATGTTGATGCTACCCAAAAAATCATCTTGAGATCCTTGCCGAGCTGACTGGCATACTTGTTTGAAAAACCTTCCAAGTCCTCGTACACCTCTAACTTCATTTAACCGTGAAACAGCATCCATTACACAACTTTCATCATCATGATCCCTTTTCAAATCGAAAGAGAATTAATGAAAATATTTTCAGGGAATTTTTTAAATTTAAATTCATATGTTTATAACAACTCACCATATATCAAGATGCAACTGTTCATTGTTAATGTCATCAACATCACTGAAATTTAAAAAGTCAAAAGAGTTATTAATTAAAATATTTAAACCAAATTTGACAAATATCAATTGTTTACAATTTAAATTTTTCGTTCCACTTCGGGCACAACGTATGTGGCTTAACGGACGTTGCTTTTATAATTTTAGCTGGCATTGGCCCCATTGAATCTCGATGTTGGCTCTTTCGTTTAAAGCTTAAACGGAAGCTACTGTGTTTGCGTAATTTGTTATCGGGTGAATCAAGGCTTAAGCTGTCCATTCCTGTGTCGGGTAAAACACGAGGTGTAAGTGGTGGTTGTGGCGATAACGGCGGTTGTTGACAGCCTATCGGCATAATTCCCAACATACAGTAAGGATCACTAAAGCCTACAAAATATTCATTTGTTAATTATGCAAATGAAAAAGGTTTTTATGATTTTAATTGAAGGAAAGCGCACAACAAACGAATCTTAAATAACATGAAAAGCTTTCTAAAGATATTTTTAATGCTCACGAAAGAGTATGCTTTTCGTCCTCAACACTTGTAAGAGTGTGAGTCATATCAGAAGAGCAAGAACTTTTCGAAAGGAATTAAATCAATGTTAGCACCATAATCTTATGTTGAAGCATGTACTGGATTTTTCTTTTTATCTCATCTTTCAAACACACGCTCCATTTTTATCATCCCAGTAATTTAATATTTTGTAAATGTCTCATGAGGTTAATGAATGTAAACTAAACAAGCGAACACGAACATTAAGGAAATACTCTTCGTTCTTGTTTTAATTGTTGATCTATATTTAAATCAGGAAAACAAAAATTAAATTAAGTGATAAGTTATGAACTACGTACATCACTAATTTAAAACGATTTTAGCACGAATTATACGATAAGAGAAAATCTTCAGTATGAAACGAACTGTTTTCACAACAAGTTGTTGCCTATCGAAATACTTATTAATAGTAGGTTATATAAAGAAAAAAGTTATATAAAGAAAAAAGTTATAAAAATATTTCGTGTTAAAATCGTTTTAAATTTGTGTTTAAACTTTTTACGCATTTCAAACAAATTCATTTTGTTTTCTTTTGAGACAAATTTTTCTTTTACTAACAAAGCTTTTGTGACAAATTAAGTAACTATTATCATGAATTTATTAGTCAACAATTTTAGAAATAACTTTGAAGACATAATATTAGACGTACACATTTATCCGTTAACTTTTTGTTCATTAAAATAGGTCGGGAAATGACTGATAGCAGAAAAGTTTTGTTCACAATTATTACAATATGTTAATTAACTTATTTTAAATGATAATGAGACGGAAAATAATACATTTGCTTTCGGAAATTCGGAAAGTGTAAAATAACAACACAATTATTTTTTATAACTTTATTTATCAACAAATCCAAAAGAATGTTTAAGTATCTAGTCTGTTTCTTGAATGGTTTTTTCATTAAAATAAATTCCTCTTAAATCAAAATAATTTCAGTGAAATTAAATTCTGTTTCATTGATTGGATCGCGAAAATGATTTAGATCGCCGATCAAAAATTGAAGTATTCTAATTTCTTCCTATCCCTCAGTGTAAATTACAATTCTGCGGCAGAATTTCTGCCGCTTCATTTGCTGAGGAAGGGAAGAGAAATTTTTTAAAAGTTATTTTTAGTAGGATGAAAACTCTTGAATATTTAGATCTCGAAAATGGATCGACGATTCATTTTTCAAATTTAGATTGGCATGGCAATCCAAAAAGTTTTGGTGATCCAACTCTTATTACATCACTCTAAGGTTTTTTAAAACATTCCAAATACTTTTTGGAATAGTGTAGATATATTCAAATGTGCTTAAAAAACTATATTTCGTTTTTGTTGTTGTGGGTAAACTCACTCGCAAATCGTACGAAAATGCGACTTTGCACTGCCAATTTATTTTCGTAATTTTGTCATAATTTTTAATTAGAAGGGAGCTTCGGCATTTCTTTATGTTTTGTCTTTTTCTTTTCCTTTTCTTTAGTACTGCAGAGAAAAAGTAAATATAACATTTTCACTTGTGGGAGTAAAAAAAGTGACAATTAAGGTCGCACTAACCAAGGACAATCATTTGCTTTCTTCTTTTTTTTCTTTCAATTTCTTATATTCAAATGAATTTTCCATCTAACTCTTCCTCTATAAAACCTTTCTCTCATTTCGTAAAAAAATATGTCAAAGTGGTGAAAGGTTTAAAAAGCACGACTGATTAGAATTGAATGTGTTTACAAATTCATGCACACCATTATCATCAACATCATGAAAACCAAAAATATATTTATATCTCCACCTATCAAAATGGCTGCTATTAATGTACAAATGACACGAAACTATGATATGAATAAATGCTTTTAGCCATTTAAGCTCCTTGTAATCTATGTCGATTAAATAATGGAGAAAATAAAAAAATTCAATGGCCAATAAATAGCAAAAAGACAAAAAAAGAAAGATTGTAAAAAAAATAAATTTCTTATAACTTTCATTGACTGAGGTAATTAAGTAAATAAATAAACAAATATACCGCTATAAGTATTTTTCCATTTCTTTATATATGTTCATATTCTTGTTTTATAGACGGCATCCAAAAATAACAATAATAATAAATCTGATTTTATATTTCTTCTGAATTGCAAACGGGTAATCGAGACTCTCGAGTGAAAAGTCTGGTAATTTATTAGCTTATTTCCTAGCTTTTACTTTCAATAGAATCTAAGGAGTGAAAGAGAAGAAAAAAAAGAAATGAATGTTTGAAAAATCTGAGGCTATGAAGAATCTCAACAATGTGTTCCTTTCATCGAAGTTATTTTTTACTCTTCTATTTCATTTCTACGGTTACAATAAAATCATGATAAGGAGTAAGGCAGAGATTCGAAGGCAATAAAACATTCAATAAATTGGTATTAGGAGAGAAATAAATTTGGTAATCGACATACCGTTTGCATCTTTCGCTTCAAGACCCTCAGCTTCCTGAACAATCACTGATAAAACAATAATCTTTGGTTTTTCTTCAGAAGCAGCATGTAGCAAACGGTAATGACGATCAGGCGAAATACCAAACGCACGTTGTGCCGTGATGAACATTTCATCTTTATAATGAGCAAACTGAATGAGAAGGAAGGAGAACATGAAAAATAAATTATGAATGTTAGTGAAATGAGTGATTAACATGAGAATGAAAATACCTGTCCACCTGGCTGTTGGCATCCCACAGAATTTGTGATAGTATACAGTACATCCATATACAATTGCTCTCGTTCATTAACCGTTTCAATCTCGTCCTCTTTAATTGTTTCTTTCTCATCCACTGGCATTGCTTCAGCACGTGTTTCTGCTGCACGAATGGATGACATTCTTCGATTTTCACGTTTCCATGACAGTGCTGTAAAGCTTTCAAAAAATGATCCGTCGCTTTCTTGGACACTGCAGGACAGCGAATCATGAATGAAAAATAAATTAAAATGAATCCTTTTTTTTCATACAATTTTGATTTTGATTTTTTCTTTTCATATAAAAGACGGATTTTTATCGAAATGAAATATCAAGACATCGCCTTCCTATACAATATAAATTCGAACAAGTTTGGGTTCATTAATAAACCAAAAAATGAAAAGAAGTCTATACAAGAGAAAGCTGAAATGACTTTTGATGTACCGGGTGCTTGAAAATTCTTTATCTACAGAGTTACGTGTTTATTTAGTGAATAATTTTTCTTTTATTACATATATTGATAAAAACCTGGGGAATTAAATTCTAATAGCGAGTCCGATCACAGAACATGTTGTTGTTTTTGAATAATGCGATCATAATATAAAATAACATCTATGATGTAAAGTTGTTTACTGTTTTGTTTCTTTAAATTCAGAGTCACGAAAAACTAAGTACCTAGATATGTAAATAAAACACTTTTTTTGTTTAAAATTCTCTTAAATCATAAAATCTCAGGAATTTTTCAATTTTCTGCCGTCTTTTGATGTGCTTCCTTGAGTAAGCGGTTGTGGGTTGAGTAATGAAACATAAAACGAATATAATTTGAGTCAAATTTTTTTTTTTTTGGAAAAGGTAAAGATAAGTAAAAACGATTAAAATATAAAATTTTATTTTATGATGGATAAAGAAGATAGATGTATATAATATTCTATACTGTTGCTTGACGACTTTGTCGAAGCATGTCACAAAAGAAGAAAATCATTAGCAAATAATTAAATTCCTAGCAGATGAGCGCTTATTGTATGGAAGATTCTCAACAAAATTTATACACACAAAAGAAAATATTCAATAAAACCGACAAACGTGAATTATTTTGATCTTTTATGTATGTTCATAAGAAAACGTATTGTTAAAGAAGAGCTTAGCTTTTATTTGTACATGATATTTAGAATTGAATAAACTTAAACTTAACTTAAACGTGCTTGTACGAAAGCTTCTGTTAGATTTATTTTAAAAACTTTTGTTACTTTTCAGTTCGTTAGAAATCAATCGCAGGTATAAAATAGAAAAAATATTGAAAATATTTTAAAGAGCGCACAGAAATTTAAATTAAGTTTTAATCATCTAATTTAATTGTTGTTAAAAATAAGTCAAAAAGCAGATTCTTTAGTAAAAAAACAGAGAACAAATATGGTCGACATTATCATTAAAACAAAACATTAAAACAGAAGAAGAAGAAGAAATTAATTAAGTTTAAATTGACTTTTTGTTAGATAAGAAATTAACTTTCAATGTGTATAACTACTTTCTTTAATTTTTTTCTCGAATGATTCACGTTTAAATTTTTATTAATATTGACATTGTCAATATGAGAATTGTCAGAAAAACAGTGTCAAATTTAAAGCATTGTTTGAGTACCGAATTTCCTAGAGAGCATAAGCGTATGTAATATTCAAAAGCATTCTATGTAAGGTGCATTTGTAATTTATGCTGATTGGAAGAACTATAGTTTTTTTTCTCTTCTTGTAACACTTTTCTGACAAAATACAGTGCAAGCCCGTTGTAAGAAATTGAAGGTAGTCACAATTAGCGGGATTTTTCTATAATGAGATTTCTTACAACGGGCTTGAACTGTATATCACTTGCTACAAAATATTGTTATTACATATGTAGCAATGTTTCTAAAGTGACAATTTGTTATCAACTCATTTAAAATGTTGGTAGTCATGGAAATTAATAAACTTTGGGACTAAAATATTGAAGCGTATTTATTTTACTTTTCTAACATACTTATCACTAAGGAACAAAACTAAATTATAGTTTCAATTTATTTAATTATTAGTTTTAATTAATGTCTTTAATGTTTTCTTTACTTCACATTAAAAATTTAATATCTATTTATAAATAAATATTTTCAGCATGCAAAATTAAATTTAGTCACCAAATGTTGATCGATTGTGATTAATTTTGATATAGATATATATAAATGACATTGATAGGATTACGTGAAGTTTCATTATGTTCAAAGCTTTTTTATCACAAGTTAAATTGTTCGATAATTTCTTGATCCAGCTCGACTTTTTTTGAGAAAAATATAGAATTAAGTTAAAAAAAACGATCAACCTGCGACGAACACAAAGGAAATAAGAAATAACACGTCTTTCAAATCGATGTGCGGTGCTCTGAAACAAATGTGAAAGATAACGATAGGAAAAAATTTGCCACATATTTTCATTGTATTCGGAATCAATAAAATATTAAATATCTACAAGCAAAACTAGACAACAAACTCATTCTAATGGAGCAGTGCGTGGCGTGTTTCGGTTGGTCATTGAAATACTCAAAACAATAAAAAATCAATATGTGCGGGTTTTTTTACAAATGAGGAAAAAGTGCCAGTCTATCCTAGTTCTCGCTAACATTTATTGTCAAAAGGTTCTTTAAAGTGTTAAAAAGTACCAATACTATTTTTTTAACAAAATTGGAAATTGATTTTTTTGATGCGTTAGTTTGACATTAGTTCAAATTCAAATTGGGGTTTTATCATTTTTATTGCCTTTTTATCATGATATTTTTCATAGTTTCAGATGATATTATCTAATACTTTTCGAATTGCTTGTTTTAAATAAAAATCAAACTAATATTATACTGCATGTAAGAAAAGTAACGAAACATCATAAGTTTCCATTCTCTCCAAAACTAAATAAATTTCAAAGGAAAAGTAGAGTAACGAATCTTGAAATGGGTAATGATTCGAAATTTCGACTTTGCGAGTCAATAACTTCTTTCTGTTTCTATTTTTTTCTATTTTTAAGTTTTTAAAATATCAAGAGTTGATTTATCTTCATAGAAAAAATATTCGACAGAAACTTTCATTACACGAGAATGAAAAGTAAACACTTTAATATGGTCATACAAAATCGAATTTGGACACATTAGTCGATCGTTTGTGGTCAGCAGTGCTTGAACTCGACAACAACGTTAAAAAAATTGTTTCTAGTGTTGTTTTTGTCAAATCAGAAGGCAACAATACACAATTGATCTTGTTTTTAATAAAAAGAAAATTTATTTACTATTGCGACTCCATATAAAAATGATATGACCAAATTTGATCACGAAAATGTGTGAGCAAATGTTTAAATAGTTTAATTAATAGAAACTATTATGAAATTCTCTTTCATCAATCCTCTTCTGCACATCTTTTTGTGCAGGTGAATGAATAAAATAACTTAAATTAATACATTTTTTTGCATGTTGAAAATTCGAAGAGAGAAAAAAAAATGGCTGATTTCGAAACAGAATTTCTACGACGAAATTAAATAATTTATTTTGGGAAATTGAACTCATTCCATTTAAAGGCCTAGTGAGTAACCTAAAATGAAATTTACTCCCAAAACTTTCAACATGTATTTTTTTTATGATGAAAAATTAAAATTTAAGGCCTTGGAAGAAACCTAATTTATTAATTTTTATTAGGATTCCAAATTTCTATAATGGGTGTTTGCTAGTGAGTGGTTTAAGCTAAGCAATGTCTACGTGTTTTTAGGAAATGAATGGTGTTGGAAAAGTCGTTGCTCAAATCCAATGGAATTTACAGAGAATAATTTTCAATAGTTCCACAACAGTTTGGAATAGAGTTTTGTATAACGAAAACGAGGATCTAAAAATGTGGAAAGAGTAACTACCCTTAAAAATCATATTTCATCTGACCACTTCACTTTTAAAATCACTGTTTTTCGCTAAGATAGTACCTACTATAGAAACACAATTTAAAAATATGATAGAAGCCAGCAGAACATATGCAGCGATGACAGTATTTTGCTTCAAAAGTTTGTAAGCGTAAAAATAGTAACAAAAACCTAGCCCATATGATATGATCCACAGCTCGTTGTCCCATGTGGATTCTCCCTCTCCCTCCCTCTCGCTATATTTGTTTCTATCTTATTCTTGTTTTTCACAAATAATTTTGTGAACGCAGTTGTTAGTGTTTCTAAAAATCCCTGTTTTTTGAAAAACAAGGATCAGGGATCGATGATATTCTACTAGATTTCGATTTTTTCTAAAGGAAAAAACTGCATTAACGTAATGTTCTGACATAGAAAACACTAAACAATCCATCTTTATAGGAAAAATTAAGCGATTTCTAGTAGAAATTTGACGATTTCTTTTTCCCTATTCCCTAATAATAAGGATTTTGAGAAACACTAGCAGGTGTCTTAGGGAGATCTTTCGATAGAAAAAGTGAAATGAGAGCGTCCAAGTTCTGATTGTGTAGTTTGTTCAACTAACCATGGAAGTAGTAAAAAAATAAGACCGAATAAAATTTCACCTTTAAAAAGAAAAAGTTAAACATGGAAGTTTAATAGGATAGGACGCTAATGGAATGGTTGGGCTCCCTTAATGATAATAGTTTCGATTTTTACGATGATAATCATACGATTAAGGGGGATTTGCACACACAAATGCGCTCATTTTTCCTGCTTTTTTCCTTTTAGTTCTATGCTTTGGTTTAACTGTTACCTTTGTTAGGTGAAAATGGAAAAGCATCTTTAACATTCATGGTGATTTTATTTAAAAAAAAAAGGGAAAAAAATTAATTTTTGTAAAGAAGCTTTTTATTTATGGTTGACCTTTATTCTTGTTTGATTCTTTCTAATGATAATCCTAAACAAAATAATAATTATGTTGATGTCATTCAGTTACCTCAATTCATAAGCATAACTGAACTAATAGAGAAGATTAACTGTTGTGATCGAATAATTATTTTTCATTATTATGGGAAATTTTTTTTTTTTCAAAACTTCAATAAAGATTGGATTTGATTCGAATATTAAGAGTTGGTAAGCTCAAGAATAAAAACTTACCCGGATGTTGATGACGCATTTATTTCAGGCCATGATAGTCTTCGCTTACAGAATGCCAGAGGGGGTCTATCTAATGGTGCTTGTTGAACAGGAGAGCGGCTTTGCCGAAATGATCCTTGTCTAGGTGGAATCATACTTTCCATGCCCCTTGATGAAGCACGTCTTAATGATCCAGACAATGGTGCAGATGCTGACGGTGACGGAACCTTAATATTTTTATCGTCAAGGAAATAACCAGACATATCATGATAAATCGCCAAACTCAAGATACTTGTAAATCTTTCAATCATTTACCACTTTGGGAAATCCTGTAAGCAAGAAAGATAAGAGTGAAAAGTTGTCTTTAGGAAAATGTTACTGTCGAAAACACTCTACTAGTTTTCTTTTCATCTCTCTCTCTTTTCCTAATATTTATTTTTATAACATAAACAAAAAATATCAAACTACCTATATTCTTTCATGAATAGTCTTTTGAATTCAGGGACTGAAATCTTATTACTCATACAAGCAGTTATTTCTGAGCGTAAAAAAAAGGATATTCTCTTATAATATTATATTATTCAGGAAATGTTTAATTAAGTTAATTAAGTTATTTTTTAAATGCCTAACATTTCACCAATCGAATATATTAAGCATTTGAAAGAAAAACATTTGAAAATGTTTAATAAAGAATAATTTTAAATAATTTTTAATTGAAAATTTTCTTTAATTCATCCTTAATGTATAAACATAATATAATATAATAGACCTTTGGTAATAATATGATAAGTTTCAATTTGAAACTTTCAAAATTTCTCTTTAGAGGCTAGGGAAAGCTCTATAAATTTCTTTCTTATTGCTTTACACATGTTTTAAACATTTACAATTTCACATCCAAATTTCTTCATCACCATGTTGATATAAAGAAATAACTTAAATCTGCATTCGTCAGACATCGATAAGCGAATTTCCACACTTTAATACATGCCATTGAAAGTGCCTTAGCTTTTTTATTTATCGTTTCGCTCCAGTCGATTAAAATAAAATTATCTTCGCATTTTTATTGGAAATCTAAAAAAAGGATCGAAAGTTGATAAGGAAGTGTCATTTGAAGCTTTCTTGATGCAAAGGAAAAGCGGAAGGCTCAAAGTCGCTATTCAGTAGAACATAAACTGATTAACTGTGAGTTGACGTGGGTGGAAAGCAAAGCAAAAAGTATAGTAAATTGTAACAGAAAAAGGCAGAAGGTTACTTCAGCTTTCGCGAATACTTCCATTCGCCATACAAAAAAAAAGAAGGAACAATTGAAAAATCACATACCATGCTGTGTTGACAAATTGCTGCTCGAATTGATGGTTATTGATGGAGTGGTTAAAGTTTTCGTGTTTGCATCCTGAACATTTGTCTCACCAGAATCTTGACGTGAAAGGGAGAATCGACGCGAGCTTAATCCCAAATTTGCAACTCCACTGGTTACATTAGCCACAAGAGAGCTAAAGAAACTCATTTTTCACGACAGAAAACTATAGCCGTAAAACACTGTAGGCAATCCTCAAGCACAATCACAAATGTTTGACTTCTACTTTTGCTCATAAATTTTTAATTTCACTTTCACAAGAAATAGATTTTTTTTGCTGGTCTTTAATCATAATATTCAGTCGAGAGCAATACTTAATTTTTATAACCACTCAAATAATTACTGAATAATTCTCAAAATCACTAGAGAGAAATATAAAAGAATTGTCTTTATTTTTTTAACGTTTTAAATATTTCTGTTTTCTCTTTCTACTATTCTGTTTTTATTTTGCTTTTCTTATATCAGAAAAATAAACGTGAATTTTAATAAAGTGTGATATAGCTGTTGATTAAATTGGATTGGAATAAGATATTTCAATGGTGCTTAAGTTTTATGGCTGTGAATATACATACTTATCCTTAAATTTTGCACAAATTAATGTTTTATTTCTTCTAAATAAATGTATTTATATTTGGTTTTATTAAAAACTAAAATTCACAATAAGTTGTTTCTATTAGAATATATTCTTCAATCATAAACACAATTAAACATTAAAACATTAATGATTCATATTTTATGCTTTCGTGTCATTTGATTTTATGTCAATATCCCCATTGTCAAGATATTTTTTTTGGAAAAATACAATCTTTTGTCGCAGGACTCAAGGCAAAATCTCGATCTCATTAACCATAATTTAATATGAATGTTGAAAGAACTAACTAAACATGCAGGGTGGCATAACTCATACCTTTCAGGACCAGCAGGGAAAAAAAACTTTTATAAATATCCTCAGGGAGAAAATTGCTTTTGACTCTAAGCTAGGAAATAAGACAGAAGTTTATTGACTCAAATAATGAAAACTTTTTTGATGAAATATTGCTTCAATAAAAGAAAGAAAGTTGAATCAAGCAGATAAAATAAAATTAATTGTTTTCTTCAAAAAAAAAATGAATGAACTCATCATATTCTAAACAAAAGAAGGACATAAGTAAGATATTTTAAGTTTCTTTTTGTCATCTTCTTGATTCTTCTTGACAAAGTAATGCCTAAAAGATTCTTTGTTAGATTTACATTAGAAGGTTACTTTGAAGGATCGAAAAAAAAGAAAGTTTTCCTTTTCTTAAATGATTTTTATAAGTTTTCTCGGTCATTTTTTTAATGATAAATAAAAGCACAAAACTCCTCATAGTGTCTCATTACGACTTTTTAGTAATAAAGTTTTAAAGTTATTAAAAATGAACTGTAAGGAACATTTTTAAGGAAATTTTGTGATCATTTGTTAAAAACAAACTTCTAAAATTTGAAATGACATGACTTTTTGGAATATCGAAAATAGGTCTTCTCTTCTTTGAACTTGATCTCGCCATTCGACTAAGTAAAAAATTTCAAGTCAACTTAATATTAAAAACTCATGAAAAGCGTAGAAATAAGCCAGTTGTTGAAGAATTTATTTTACTCATTTTAAAATTTTCTGTTCTAAGTATGTATTATGGCAAACGAGTATAAATACATATATAAACGTATACCCTTTAGAATACCCTTAAGATTTATTAACTTTGTCTTTATGATAGAGTGAAATGATTTTGTATTTATTCTTTCATCTACAGTAATTTAAGGGGGTCAAATAGCCTCATTGGCTTAAGTCGCTTGGAGTCGGGCGTACAATTCATACGTCCCGGGTTCGAACCCCGACTTGGTCATGAGGTAGAGTGAAGTTTAGATACTTCGGCCCTTAGTATAAAATATATACAGATAGTTACTATTAGTAACAAGTGGGGAAATGGCTACAAGCTCAAACCACTATAAAATAAGTTGAATCAAAAAAAAAAAAAATACAGTAATTTATCATATCTAAACGTTTTCAGCAAAAACAATAAAATTAATTTGTTCAGTGTTTTGCAAGAATTTTTAAGAACACTCTGTCGTTGGGCTATATTGATAAACTTTCTGTTGTTCGTTTCTTTCCTATATTCTTTCTTTTCTTCTAAAGACTACAAAACAATATTAACGAAAACACAAATCTTTTAACGTGAGTTAACTGACAGATTGCAGATATTTACAATAAAAACCTGAACAACCATCAAAGCATGTGCATATAAAAACTAATTTTGTTCCATAGGTTTGCTCTTTCTTGCTGATATTTGATGGTGTAATGATTTTAAAAATGTTTAAAATAGAGCTTCAGGCTTTTGGAAAATATAAATTTGTAGTAATCAGTTCAATATTATCAGTAGCACTTTCAATTTTAATTTTTACAAGAATCAACGCTTAGAGGCAATATAAATAAATGGCAACTGGAAACCCATTTGAAAGATTATGAAAAATTGATATCTTAAAAATCTCGGAAATTTCGATGGGAGTTGTTTCTTAGTAGAAATGCTCTTTGTGTGATCAACAAGCTGTATTTCACTTAGTGAATGTACAGTGGAAACCAACATGCTGATTGTAAAATTTTGACATTGCACTATGGTATCTTTTAAAAGAAACATTTTGTTTAACCTTCAATTTTTCATTCAAAAGAAAAAAAAAAGATTGAAGATTTAGAAAATTTTTATCTTTGGCGAAGGTAGATTTTTTTTATAAACTTCATAAGTAAAAAGTATCATGTGTGGAAATTTATATTTCTGTATGCCTAGGGCAAATTTATTTTGAAAAAATATTTTGAAGAAGCATCAATAAAATGAGGACAAAAAAGATTCAAGTGTAACAACAAGGAGGGGTAGAAAAAGCATGAGACATAAATAAGCAATTATTGGAGTGGAATTTTCACTCAAAGTAAATAAGACACGTTTATTTCTTCTCGTCATTCCACCTCCCACGTCAATTATGATAATTTTCTCAAATATTTTCCTCTTAGATGTGAAAATCTCAAATTTTCAAATTTCACATTCCTTATTTTTAGTCTTTATTTTCGTTCAGTGACGGATAATATTATGAAGAATGAAAAAGTGTTGAAGAATGAGAAAAAAAGTTTTCCCTTTCAACGAAAAAAAAGTCTTTAAGCTCGCTTTTCCCCTCAAAAATTATTATCGATTTCATCAGTTAATTTTTTATTTGTTAGGAATAGGCAACGATTTCAATTTGATACCGTTTCCTTTAACATCTTTCTGTCATTTTGTGCATATTTTGAATTTAAATCATATATATTTTTTAGTAACTTTTGTCACATAATAACTAGATATTAAATAAAGAAAAAGATCGAATTTGTTCATAGATTAATTGTGGCACGAATTAATTCTGGTAATCCGCATCATAATTTTTCAGCACTTACAATTCACTTTTTCTTGAAAGTTTTGTGAATAAAATTAAGCTTAGGCTACTCACTGAACATTTAAATAATTTTAACTTAACAATTTTGCACTATAATTAATTTCATTTCATCAAAAGAAATCTCTTTTAAAAGCGCAATTTTTTCTTCTAACTTCAATATTTCAAGATGCGATAAAGTGTATTAATTTAAGTGTTTTACTCTATCTTTACACTAAAAGATAAGAAATAATGCAGCAGTGTAATGCAGTGAACTTTTCAAAAGCTTTATGTAAATATTTATTTAAATAAAACATCTCCATTTTAAAATTTCAGAATCATTTAGCAATCCTGATGAAAATGTCGGCCATAAAACCAAACTGTGTTTAATGGACATTAAGAAGAATGCACACTTTTGTTCTAAAATTGTATAACAAATCACCCACGTCAATGTTATAATAACAATTTTCAGAATGAAAGAAAACTGTATGGTTCATTTTGATGTTTTTCATCTAACATAATCTATCCACCTGTTATCAAGCTTTTCTATTTAGTTTAGGCTTCAACACTTCACAGTTTACCACAAATTGAAAATTTTATTAAGTATATTGATTTGTATTTAATAAAAATATATTTTAAGATTTCTCTCAATTTTGTTAAAATCAATATTCCAATTAAATTTTCAGAATATTTATAAAAAAGTGGGCAAAACAATCACAATTTTCTTTCATGACATTTTTCATTTCATGACCTTCAATTGAATATATTAAATTGTGTTTAAAGTATCGTTTTTCTAGAAATAATCAATTTTTTTTTCTATACGTTAAAGATTACTTAACACAACTTAAAATGGTTGCGTATGATGAGAATTCATTTCACTTATGTATTCGCATAATGTCGTATACAATTTCGAGAGAAAAAATTCAAATTTTAAAACACACGAAGGAATGGAAAAGTTACAAACGACTTATATCTCTTGAGACACATATCTTTTACGTTCTTCAACATCACAACCCCATATCTATTTTTTTTTAATTTACGACAAACATTGATGATACGAGAAAGCAATTTCCTTTTAATTTTCTACTGCTTGATTCATTTTTCATTGCGTGTTGCGAAAACGAAAAAGAAATCTTAATAATACATACAATATTTCTTACAATTTTCCACTCTTCTACATGTTGCTTCATCAACCCTTACAAACTCAACATTTCATTGTTTATATCATAAATATCACTTGTAGTGTGAGTGAAGAAAAAAAGAGGCAAAGCTTAAAGGGAACTTAAAGTAGACATATTAGAAAATAATTTTCTCTTCAGTTTGGTCATAAAATTGGACAATTTCTTTCAATATTAGCATATAAAATTATTTCATTTTATTTTAAAAGAATGGAACTTTTTCCATTAACTCGATCCATTAAATTCGATCCATTAACTCTCTTTGTAAAATCATGAGGTGATGTACGATATAATCTTCATATCAATGGACTTTAGACATATTTAGTTTATTTTCTCGAAGCTCCTATATATCCAATAGTTAGTATAGCCTTACACACAAAATTATTATTTGCATGAGTTATTGAAGTTGAATCATTGAGTGAAAGAAGTTGGATTAACAGCTTGATTTATAAAAATATTGTTAGGAAAGTCAACAAGATATTTCCATTCACTTGAATCACACGTTAAATATATCATAATTGTTATGAACTTGTTTTTGTCCTTCAAAAAATACTTTAATATTAAAGAATTTTCTCCTACAAATACTCAGCAAATTTTTCTACACAACTCTTCTCCATCACAAACGAAGCTTTCTTCGTTTTATACGTCTTTTTCTCATTGAGTTTCAACACCTACTAAAAATCAACGAGCTTTTTTCTCTGAGGAAATTTTATAACATTGAGGAATAAAATTTTTCAGAGAATTTCGAGAGAGATTTTTTTATGGGTTAGTCTCGATATGAATGAAAGCTTCGAAAAGCTTAAATTATCATAGAAGAATAAAACACTAACACGTCTTCACAACTGCATTGATAGCTGTGTTCTCTCATCTCTCTCAATTTTTTTTTATTCCATATTAAAACCTGTAGCATTTGTGCTTGATACATAAATTTTCTTTTATAAAGCGTATTTCGTCTACACGCATCCAATCGATTATACATTTTCAAGGACCAGACTTTCAAAGTATAACGTAATGTGTGAATAGTTTAACTATATTTGAGCTTTGAATAATATTAGTAATAACCATTAGTACTTAAAATCAAAATTAAAATTTTATACTGTAGGAAAAGATACAACACTCAAAAGGGTGAACAAAGTGAAGCAATGAACTATGCAATGCGCATTTTTAAAAGCTCATTGTTGTTATTGTATGACCTAGAATGTTGCAAAAAGATACAAGAAGGAATTTTTCATAGATCTGTGATTCAAATCGCACAGGTAAAGACGTAGAAAGAGACGCGCATGCGATAAAGAAAACAGGAGGAAAAACAAAAATAAATTCACTGATCTTTGATGTGCAAAATCTAATAAAATTATTTCTAGGAAAGAATTCAGTATCGCTTCGCTTATTAATGGACTTCTTTAATTAATATAAAATAGGTCTTGGTGAGGACGCGACCGGATGTCCTACATTTACTTATGTTCACGCCACTACATTGAAAACATCGAATTTATTTACAATAAAAATGGCTGAATTGCTACATAGAAAGAAAAGGTTTTATGTTCATTTACAACTTGTTCGAATTGTCCCTACAAGAAATCTAAATTACTGGTAACAACGATTTTTGTTCTACGATTTTTAATACGAAATAATCTTAATTCGATTGAATAGAGGAAAAATATAATGGAACAAAATATATGGAAAATGAATTTTCAAATACAATCACCCAAACAGATTTTATCTAAATAGATAGTCTAAAAATGTATTCGATTTTATTTTTATTTGTAAATTTAGGTATGACGATTGAATTTCTATAGCAAATTAAAATTGCTAATTCCGAATAGGGGCTACAACATATTGTGGATAAAGTTAAGCCCTTAAAGTTTTACTCTCTACTTAAAACAACAACCAACTTCACTTCAAATAGAAAACTTTCCTTTTAGTTTGTTTACAACCATTTTGGCTGACAAAATCAGGAAACGTCTGTGAGACCGTGGTCTTTTTAGAAGAGATATGGAACTCCTGATTATACATTCATCCAATTCTTTTCTACTAAGTATTATATTAAATGTCGCATTATATAAGTATAGCATCTTACTTCTAAATAAAAATCGTTAAGAACCACTGAATAGCATTTTAATGTCCATAATCCTTTCTTTCAGTATCTACTTTCAATTCAAAAATTGTTAATTGACTGAAAAGCGAAACCGAATCGAAATATTTACTCTACATAAATACAAAAAAGGGTCGAGGAAAGTTCCATTCAATGAACTCTTCACTTTAAATCATGAAAATTCCGATGCGAAAATAAAATTCCAATGAAGCTACGCTTGTTAAAGGGCCAAGAGTTTCCTCATTCTCATCTCTTCCTTCTTATAATCTCGAGGAGTTTGAAAAGATTTCCTACCATCTTTTAATCCCTAACAAATGTCCAATGGTACACTTCAATCACTTAAAGTGTAGTGTACTTCTAGAAAGGCCCACGAAGAAATACCTTGGGTGATAAATGATAAGATTAAAATGATGAACAGCATTTAAAATATTTTCGCCGTCCTTTTATTTGTAATTTTTGTTCTGTTTCGAGTGGCTTCACCACGAGAAATGGAAGCACTGCTAAAAAAACACAATTATAATTGAAAAGCTTTTCTATGTGTTTATGGTGATTTTATTTTATATTTTCTTTCCATTCTTCCCTTCCTTTTTTTTAAATCAAACTCATGCCAAAGCACTGGGGGGAGCTGTCAGATATATTATGATTCCTCGACAATTACGCATTAAATATGTCAGCTGTGTAACATTTTCACTGCCGTTTTTCATTCGTAAATCAGTTTAACTCTCTTGCTTTACTACAGGTTATTTATGTGTAAGACTGGCTCGTGCGGTGGCAAAAGTTAAAAAAAATGTATGTAACTAAGTAAGTGTGCAGTAAATAAGTAAGAAAAAAAACTTTTACGGTAAATAAGTATCGTTGTGAAAATCAAGCATGGATATTTTTTTTAAACTTTTAAACTCATTGCGAGCCATGACAGCTTTTCAGAAAAAAATTTATGCCTCTTAAAATTTTTTACTTCACATTTATTGTTGCGGTTGCAAGTTGGAAGCTCTCTAAAGATCCCATTCAATAATTTCTTTAACTGAGATTAGTTTTATACATTATACATTCATCCAATTCGAGATACCAAATTCCAACATAAAGAAGCGAGAGCCTTGAATGTGTTGAATATTTAACTGCTATAATGTAATCTCTTGTACCAAAAATTTATATCTCAACAGCATGTTTCACAAATCCATTAACAATTCTTTCTATTTCCAAATAAATTTTGATCACAATGGGACTTGAACAAAGTTTGATCCAAAAGAAAATAATGTAAAGCCAATGAATTGACGAAACCTTTTGTTAAAGATGGTAGATTCTTATTTCCTGTTGTTATAGGCAACATATTTATAATGAAAACTCTTGATGTGGAAAATATCATGAAGAAAATCTTTAGAAGATCTTAAAAATCTCATATTGTGTTAATGAGCTTTTGTTTTATTACAAATAGATTTGTTAATGCGTACTAACTCATCTCTTCGATTCGATTCTAAAATTTTATTAACTATATAGATAGATATTGTATAATACGATTGACAAGGCAGATTGAATTTCTTACCAGATCCTAGATAAATTAAGTTTAAGGACAATTACAGGAAATACGGATGTCTTCAAATTGAATTTTGTGAAGTTTTCAATATATCATCTGAAACTCAATCAGACATATGTTAGATTCGTACCTTACATATTTATGTTCGTGTTCCTATTTATTCATTATTATTAAACTTAAGATTCTTGAGTTGAAAACTTCCTGTGTTTAATAAATAATGAACAATTTCAAACTTTAATTGATGAAACAAACAAAGCAGAAACCCCACAGCTTTACTTTTTTTTAATGAAGCCTTTTGTACATTGCATTTAATGTTTTAACTGTAATAAATTAAAATGGCAACTTTTTCATCACACATAGAAACCGAAAAATCTAATTAAAATCTTTTTCCTCCTCTCATTTTCTGAAGCCTTTTTTACTGTTTTGGTTTAGCGCATAAGCGTTGGGTGATAAATCAAAATACGTAATAGCTTTATTATTAGACTCTTTGCGCCTTTTTAGCCTCCCAACTCATCCACCATTATGTCAGTTATAAAAAAGCATGACAGTATCAATTCTTGTTGCTAAAAGAACAGCATAAGAAAAAGTGAAACTGAAACTTTCAGTCTAAAAGAAATATCTATTTCACGTTTGAAAAGGAAAAAGTTTTATTGGATCTAATTCTAATTAATATTCTTGCTCCGCTTTTATGCACATTCTTCCTGCTTTTTTTTTTCTACTTGTTATGATAAATTGTTGGTCCAATAATAAATTGTGTTTTCTCTTTCATGAATCTTGATGGTGTTGATGGTAAATAGATAAAATCCAATTCAAGATCAAAATCAATGAGAGTTCAAATTTTCCCCTTATACTTTTTTTTGTCTTTCCTTTTCCTTTAACTTATTTATTTATTCATTTATTAAGTTTGAAGTTCATTGACTGATGTTTTTGAAATAGAATGAATGATAACCCGAGCGGCACACACTCGCCGTGCCGGAGTCATACGTTTGCACTACGACGATTTTTAGTTGGCACTTCCTTTGGCTTTTCCTTCAGAAATCAGCGAAAATCACCGAAGTATCAATTTACCACTAACAGTTGACGCTATGGTGCTTCCCCACATGCCATTAACTCTAAATAAGGCTACCATTAGGCAGCTTAAGAAATTCTTCACTAGTCCAACACATAACTAACTTAAGGTGATAGAATTAGGCGATAGCCAGTAGTTTTTAGCCAAATGTCTTTCATATGGCGGATTCTAAAGGAAAGCCTTCCCATTTAAATGGAGACGATACTCGTATGCCAGATTTGTGAGAGACATCGCCTTTTGTGCCGCTCGGGTAATTAAGGTTTCAGTTTCCTAAGGAAAAAAGTTAAAAGTTAAGTAATTTATCTAAATTTTTGACGTTTCAGTGAACTTCTTCTTGTCAATTCACCTTATAATTTTGGTAAACTACTTAAAAGCTTTCAAATATTTTTACTAAAGGGTATATGTTACGACTGAAGTTCAGACGCAATAGTTAGTCGATTTATCTTTAAAAAGTATCCCAATCGTAATTTTTTCTGATAGTTTAATGTTTGTAAATATGTATAAAAAGAAAGCAGATTCGTTAGTGAGGTAACTGTCCTCACATTATATTATTTAGATCCACTTATCTTACAAGTCAATATTGACTTTCAACATCAGAACTCTTGAATAAACATGCTCATCTATCGTCGTATCATCCACTCAAATTTGAGAGTGTAATCAAGTGTACCATCAATGTCTCATTCATAGCATCGCTCTCAAAACAAGTGAGAAGAAGATTTGAGTAGATTTCTTTATGTTAATGGTGAAAATGAGCAAACAGTTTTATGTTTGACCAATATTCATTTCATTCCAGCAAAAAAAAAACAGTAAAAAAGATATATAAAGAGGGTGAGAAATGAGAGGAAGGAAAGATTTTTCTGTTGCCGACGAAGGTAAGTCGATAGAATCAAAGAAAATTTAGTGCCATGATTGAGTGTAGGAAGTAGATAAGCATAAAAAAGATTTGTCATTGACACCGTCTCTCTGGAGTTTGAACTGATACATCTGATTTATAATGTAAGCACTCATAAGCAGTAAGCTGGTTCATCTGATATCTGACATATACGGCATACACATAGACACATACAGAGAAATAGTTTCTTGATCCTTTTTGATTAATTCGACCCAACAATTATTATGTATGTTTTTTTGGCCGCACGAACTTATTGTTTTATTTTTTTCATGTTTGTTAATGTTTTTCGAGCGATTGTAGGAGACATAAACTGAGGTGTCTGATTTTGCTTTAAAAATATATTACTATACCTCTTTCTTACGATGATAGGTAAGTTTTTAGTTTTATATTTAGGTAATTATAAAGTGTTGATTGAAAAAACATTAAAAGGCAGAAATTGTTTTTATTTGCCATAAGCCTTGAAAGTGATTATTTTTATTTTTCTTCTTTTCACTATCTTGTAACATTTTTGTTTGGATCATAATTTTTACTAGATATCTCATAAATAAAAAAATATATTGAATATGAAATTATTATAACTTTACTTGAAATTCTTTAAAAAACAGCAAAATCATGACACACATAGTCATAGAATTAAATTCTTCTGTTTACTCAAAATTTACGTATACCTACATACTTATAAGATGCTTCATATAAAAAGGTTTTATTTATTCATTCTGAAGAATTTATTCAGCATAAAACCGAATCATGTTCATCATAAATTTAAAAAAAAATACGTGAGTGTGTGAGATGGGAAGTTATAGAATTTTATATCTTCATGTTTTCTTTTTAACTCATGTTTTACGGACATCTGAGATGTCCTCTCCATTTTTTTTTAATTTTTATAAAAGGCGAAGATGATATTTTCTTCTTTTGTGAAAGGAAATCAGAAAGAGCTAGTGAATGAGGAAAAACATATCCGACATCTTGTTCTATTCTTACAGTAAACAATATCATATACGCTTCAGAATGCTTGAATATGTTTAATGTTGTGGATAAATAAGTATACAGATGGGTCTATAAGAAAAAAGCTCCATATATGACCACCTCTTTCAGCTTATAGCGATCCGACTGTGGAATCAGGCATGAAAATTGTAAATTTTTGTGTTTATTTTAATAGTTATTAAAATACAATAAATTTGGTCATATTTTCAAAAATATGTATAAATTGGAGATGGGGAAGCTCCACATGGGGAGCTTCAAATTATGCTAACGCATAATTTTAAGTTACTCCGGCCGGTGTGGAGTTTCCGACTGCCCATGGACCTTCCGACTGTCCATGGACCTTCCGACTATCCATGGACCTTCCGACTGTCCATGGACCTTCCGACTGTCCATGGACCTTCCGACTGTCCATGGACCTTACGACTGTCCATGGACCTTCCGACTGTCCATGGACCTTCCGACTGTCCATGGACCTTCCGACTGTCCATGAACCTTCCGACTGTCCATGGACCTTCCGACTGTCCATGGACCTTCCGACTGAATTCTCAATGGACCTCGCTACTCGATGGACCTCGCTACTCGATGGACCTCGCTACTCGATGGACCTCGCTACTCAATGGACTTTGCTACTCAATGGACCTCGCTACTCGATGGACTTTGCTACTCAATGGACCTCGCTACTCAATTGACCTTGCTACTCGATGGACTTTGCTACTCGATGGACTTTGCTACTCGATGGACTTTGCTACTCAATGGACTTCGCTACTCTATGGACTTTGCTACTCAATGGACCTCGCTACTCGATGGACCTTGCTACTCGATGGACTTTGCTACTCAATGGACCTTGCTACTCGATGTACCTCGCTACTCAATGGACCTCGCTACTCGATGGACCTTCCGAGTGTCCATGGACCTTCCGACTGTCCTTGGTCTTCCACTCACTCTCCCACACGCGCACCGATCGTCCTATTCAAAAGAATTCTCGGAAATACTCTAGAAAGAATTCTCAGAAAAATTCCTGATAAGAATTCTCAGAAAAATTCCTGATAAGAATTCTCAGAAAAGTTAACAAAAAAAAAGTTACAGACAGACAGACAGACAGACAGACAGACAGACAGACAGACAGACAGACAGACAGACAGACAGAC